ATAGCCATATTTACACATTAAACCATGATTTAAGTAAGATACAACAGAAGCAATTAATAACAAAACTACCCACTATAAAGGCACACACTGATTATTATATAAATGAAAGAGAAGAACCGCCACAATACAAAATGATTAAATGTATAGATGATATACTTAAAATTGAAACTAATGATAAAACAAAGGAAATATATTTAGTGCCTGAAAATAATAATTTGGCAGAATTATTATTCCAGTTGTTGAATATTGGATATGAACCCAGAATTAAATACACAGGTATTATTGATGAAATAAGATTAAGATTGAACAAGATAACATATATCATAAAAACTCAAAATTTAATTAAATCTTCCGGCGATGGATGGGTTGCAGTGAGCAATGAAACTACATACAACAATATGAACAAAGCAATGTTTAATTTCAATAAATCCTTATTCATATCATCGCATAAATCCTTTTATAACGACATTGATATTAAAATATTAAATGAAACAAGAAGTATAGCACCTTCGGGTTTATTATCGAGTAATATTAATTTAGTTTATAAAACAGAAATAGATGTAAATAAAGCATTTACCAAAGGTTTTTTAAATATTAGGGAAATACCAGTATTTAACCAGTTTGATCATTGGAAAAAATACAACGATGAAATTAAAATAGATGAACTCCATGAATTAACTTTATATTATGTTGAAACTATAGATACAAATGTAAGACCATTAAAAACAACAATGGACAGCATTAAGGAACTAATAGAGAAAAATCAACACACCAAGCAGATGATATATTCTATTGCATATAGTAAAGGTATTGACGTTGCTACTTATATAGAATTTCGTAAAACACATGATTTAAGTTTGTTTTTAAATCCTGATGAATTAAAACAAGCAATTAGAAACATTGTAATAAGTGGTAATCACAACTTATTTTTCAACAAAAAATATAATCTAGTATATGGCAAGTTTTTGAAGGAATTCATCAATGAGAATAAGACACACAAAATCAATATTTTATATTATAAACAACCTTCATTTATTCATAAGGTTGAATATACACATATTATTAATGAACTTTTACAAACAAGTATAGATGAACATGACGAAGCATTAGATAAACTAATTAAAAAGTTAATAGCAAATGTAAATTTTTGATTATTAGAAAAAGGAGGCGCTACAGCGCATCAAAGTATTTTATTTAAAAGTATTGATGAAGCAGTCCATTATCAAACAGAATACGGAGGAAAAATTAATAAGTTATCGCATATTATAAGCGAATATCCCGAAATGATAACCGAATATGACGACGAAGGAGGCGCAACTACAACATATTATGGATTTGATGAGGATGAATGGGATGTAAAGGCATCATATTATATATTGAATTTGAAGGATAAGGCAGTATTAAGAAACGGATATAGATATATTAAAGAACTACTTTTACAACATCACAATTTTAAAATGAACCAAGACTTTAAGACACTAATAACTAATAATATTAATATATATAGTGTAAAAACAGATGCTTTTGTAATTGATACATGCAATGAAGAAAAAACAAAGCAATTATTAGAATTTCATGATGATATAGGAGGTTGGAAAGTTTCAAAGCAGAGAGATGAAATTAATTTACCTACGGTAAAATTTAACGTTGTAAATAATGAATTAATAAAAATACCAGTTTATGAAAGTAAAACTATTGATATTAAAGATGAATACGACACTGATAACATTATAGAGATTGTTAAACAGAATAATCCTATTATGATCAGAGGTGAACTACCGGGCACAGGAAAATCATATATATGTCAAAAAATGGTTGATAAAAATTATAAGGTAATTTTTATTTGTCCTACTAATAAACTATTACAGGCATTTGAAGGAGAAGCAATGACGATAAATAAATTCTTTGGTATTAATTATGGAGATGCTAAATTAGAACCATTTGATTTTACAGAATTTGATGTAATAGTATTTGATGAAATCTATTTTAGTAATTTAAATATATACTGGAGAATAAAACAATTTGTAGAACAGAATAAGCACAACAATATTATAATAGCAACAGGAGACACCAAGCAATTAAAACCAGTGCAAGAAATAACAAATACTCGAGACTATGAATTATATACTGATAATATTATAGATAACATTTTTGAATATAATATTTTGTTAAAAGAATGTAAGCGACTTAACACACAGGAAGATAAGGATAAACTCAAGAATATAAAATATGATATTTTTATTAATAAATTACCAATTAAAACTATTATTGAAAAATATTTTGAATACACCACAGACATAAGTAGTTCCAAAAACAACATAGCATTTTTGAATACAACCTGTAAAAACGTATCAAATGAAATTAGAAAGTTAGAAAATAGAAAGGATGAATATGAAGTAGGATAATTTTTAATTTGTAGAGAATATACTAAAACTAAAACATCAGTTTTTAACGTAAATTTCAAATATAAAATAGTTCATATTGGAAGTGATGGAATATTTACATTAAAAAATGTAAAAACCGAAATTTTACAATCCGTAGAAGTTGCTAAAATAAGAAGCAATTTTATATTTTCTTCTTGCTCTACATGTCATTCTACTCAAGGTAGTAGCATTGATGACACCATAACAATTTTTGATTATAATCATTTTTTGGTAAAGAATTATCCAGAATGGATTTTTACAGCGGTAACACGTGCTCGTGATTTAAACAAAGTCAAATTTTATAAATATACAAAGGATGTTGATGATGTATTTAATCAAAAATGTATTATGAGTTATTTTGAAAGGAAAATTTTGAATTATAAGGAACAAGACAGGAAAGCAAAAAGAAGCATACCTAGAGAAGGTTATGTAAATACTCAATGGTTTTTAGATAATATAAATAATCAATGTAATTACTGCGGTTGCGGTTTTACTATTGATATGAAAAATGGTAATATAATGACTAATCTAACAGCACAACGAAAAGATAATGAATTAACTCATACAATAGAAAATATCATCCCATTTTGTAAATTATGTAATTGTAGTTGTAAATGATGATAATTATAATTTAATTATGATAATTTAATTATAATTTTAATTTACTAAATTAATTTTAATTTAAAATTAAAATTCTTGTAAAAAGTATTTAAAGAAATATTACCTATAGATATTATATAGTGAGATGATGAAAACCAAAATCAATAGTTATATCAATAAAAAATGCTATGATTGTTGCCACTTTAAAAAGGAAAATATGGAATTGTATAAATTGAATTTACATAATGGAATAGTGAATAATATTATTGATTATGCATTGGACGAAGAAGATGTATGTAGAACTTGTAGAAGATGGCGACGATATCAAAATATAATAGAAAATATTTTGGAGATTTAAAAAAATAGATAAAAGAAACGTAGAAGATGAAATTTTAATATTTTTAACCGTGTATGGAAGACCACCTTATAGTTATGTTAGAATATTTCTAAAAATCAGTAAGAAAAAATATAAAATGATTGAAAGTATATTATGGATGTTGACCTATTATAGTAGGGAAGGTTTTGATGTAAAAGAAGACATTAAAACATATATCGAAAGTAAAAAGTTTAATGTTAAAAATACAGTGAGATATATTAATATTATTTTAAAAATAATGCATGAAAGACGTAAGTTATATATACAACTTAGTAGTCATCAATTAAATTATTATCCTGAACTTAAATTATGAAATTTTATCTACATAACCTAATTTAATTTTAATTTATTAATTTAATTTTAATTTAAAATTAAAATTCTTGTAAAAGTATTTAAATAAATATTTTATAATACTATTATATAGTGTGATGAGTGATACAGTCCATGATGCTAAACATATATAGAAAAAAAGTTTATGAGTTATAAATGTGAAGACTGCGAAATGCTAAAATTACCAATTGAACAGGGTTTTACAAATGGCGTTTGTAATTATATTTGTCAATATATGATATGCAATAATTGTAATAGAATTATAAACAAAATTGATGATATGAATAACAAAGATATTGATATTAGAAATAATGAAACTATTGATGATGATTTAGAAATATTTGTGTTTATTGAAATGAATAATTTCTTAACTATAGAAGGGTTTGATAATTTATTATATGAGGGCGATGATGAAGGAAATGCTAATGACTTTATTTTTAAGTATTATATCATGGTAAAAAGATTATACAATATGTCTTTTAGCATTAAACGTTTAAAATATGAAACATTGAATGATAATGACCTTGATTTTTTACATGAGGTTTTAAATGATCGGTATAAAACTCACGAACTTAGATATACAATAACACGTGCAATTGGAATAATGGGAATGTTTAGAAAACAAATAAGAAGTAATATTTATAATGAAACAACGTGTGATAAAATAATAGAAAGAATTAAGAAAGAATGGTGCCCGTAAAAAACGAACGAACCAGACCTTGCCCATAATATGTCTACAAAATTTGTGATAAAATTTATTGTAAAATAATTTATCATAATTTTTGGAATAATATTTATTGAAAATTTATTTTTTATTTTTTGGGTAAAATTTATTGTTTATTTTTTTTGTAAAATTTATTTTTTTTAAATTGATTTTTTTTTAATTTTTTTCAAAATTTACTTTTAAAAATATATATTTTAAAATATGGATGAACTTACTAGGAAATTACCTGCTTTAAAATGTTGATTTTTGAAAATGTGCTTTTTGAGGTGCTGTTTTAAAATGTTGCTAAAAGTGTGGGGAGGACCCTAGGATTTTTTATAGAAAAAAGATGGGCAAGGTCTAGTCTAACTCTAGGTCCCCCAGTAGTGCCCTTCTTAACCTTTTTTTTTTGGGGGGGGTTCCCCTACTAACATAGACTACAGAAAAAGGGTGCCCTTATTCTAACCTCTCTACTGGAGGACCTAGATGGAATTTCCCCAAGAGTTTGCTTTTTAGCTGGTTTCTTCCAATGCTTTGGGCTGCTTGGCATCGATCGGATTCACGCCAGGCTGGCGCTGCCGGGATTGCCGGGGCAGCCGGGCCCCCAGAGCGAAGTTTCGTCAATCACAATCCATATGTGGCGTCCATCTATGGGTCCCCTTTCCATCCCAATCCAAATCCGGGTAAGTGAAGGTTGGCACGGTTCCAACCCCAGGTGCGGCCGCCTTGGTAGCTCCTTGCATGGGTCCACCATGTTGGTACCAGGTGTTGATTGTGACTCTATGACTTACATAGGTGAAAATAGGGGCACCTTCTGACAAGTGCTTGTGGGGTCTGATTGAGGGGCCCAATTTCGAGGACCTTTGAAAGCACTCCTCCCCAAATAAATCCTCGGAAAGGGCAACTTGCCGCGTTCTTTTTCCGGGCTGGTTCCAAGTTGAACGGAATGTTGAATTCAACTCAAGGCGATCAGTTTGGCACATTTGCTCAGGCCGCAGTCTGCGATTGACAATCGCTTGTACGGAGCTCAGCTGAAAGGCTTCGACAGGCAACAGTGAGCGTCTGTGAGCGGCAGTGAATCACCGGTCTGTGGATGACCTTGGGTTCATAGATCCCAGATTTCAAATCTGGGATCTATGATGCTACATGTATGGTTTGTATATTATCTGTGGGTGGAGGCAAAGGCCATAAACGCCGTCATGGCATCATTTAGACGTCCAACCCTATAGCCTATATACAGTGAGAGACAATCTGTCAGCCCACTACCACAAACTTAGAGTTTTTAACCAAGAGATGGGTGGGGCACAATCAGGACAAGCAAACCATGATTCTTACGCACTCGCATCCAAACCAGGGACGGTTTCGACTCCGAGCCATTGTGCAAAGTCGATTAGGTACTGGCAATGGGAGCTGAATGGGAATGATCCACAGTCAAAGCAGATGAAGTTTAGTATGGGGGATGTAGGGGCCAGTCTCCTTGCCACAAATACTTCCGGGGGGAAGCAAAAAGAAAACAACAAGCGCATGTTTGGTGGAGTTTTTTACTGTTGTTTTTGGCAACCACATGCGTCAAGGGCATAGATCTGTGGATCTGTGGATCTGTGTATCCGGAGCCCAAGGAATGGGAAGTGTCTCACCCCGGGGAGTCCTGAAGGCCCAATGAATGTCTCATCTGGTTCAAAAGCTGGGCCCAAAAGGGGGGGAGTTCAACGAGTCACCGGGTTCCCGAAATTGGCCCCCCTTGGAGCAATTTTTAAGTGAGGTTCCTTCTGGTGAGGTCATGTTCAAAGGGGAAAGTTGGGCCTGTCTTGTTTTGAGGGTGCCCCCTTTTGGCTAGTTCAAAGAGACACCTCCAAGGAAAACACCAGACCATTTTTTGGGGGCACCCCATTACAGGACAAACCAGTTCGTTGGATAGTTTTCATGGAAACCATAGGACAACAAAAGACCATGTTGGGGCACCCTACTTTCGGACAAACCAGTTGTTCGGTTAGTTTTCAGGGACACCTCCTAGGAAAACAACAGACCATGTTGGGGTACACTATCATAAGAAAATAAGCTCAGGTGATATCCCCAACAGCATGCAGTGCTCTTTTTCGTGCTCGCACCACCCCGCAGCCCTCGTAGAACCTCGTGGAACCCTCGTGGAACCCTGGTGGAACCCTCGTGCAGGGCCGCCCCGGACCACCCCGGAGCCTATCTGGGCTGAGACCCCAAAGCTTTCAGCTGTCGGGGAAAAAAGAAAGAAAAAGCAATATATGGAGCTCTGGGGCTTGAAAATGCGTCCGAGCGCGAGGTGCCTTTGCTGCATCCCCACCTTTGTGAGCGCCGAAGCCTCAGACGCGCGAGAAAAACCCGTGCGATGCGACGGATCGGTGCGAAATCGGCGGGGCATGAGAAATGGAACCTTCGAAGCATCCAACTGGTGTTTTTTTTCCCCTTGCAGACCAATTCCTGGGTTCATTCCCTCATTTTTTGAGCACCAGCAAGCAAAAAGGAAGCCAAAGCACCCCTCTCTGCAGGTGCCTAAAGGTTGTACATCCTTATGTCCAACACCAGTTTGGGGTTCCCCCTGTTTGGGTGCAGAGGGATTCGACAGTTGCAGAGGGGGGAGGAAGGATTCCAAGCTTCGCGATGTTGTTCGCGGAGATTGCTTGATTCAGGATGTGGATTTGTTTCACGTCTTAGCAGCTACAAGGTCAAGGAAGGCAGACAGAAAGTGGGACAGTCAGCTGCAAGTTGGGGGACACACTTGTTGCTACGTGTTCTTCTGTGTAGGTGCACTTTGGATCAATCCGGTTCAATCCTGCGGACCTGAAGGGATTCCCCATGGCATTTCACTGACTCCTCTGCGGTCCGGATGAATGCGAAGCGAATTTTTCGTTGGGCTGCAGCGTTGACATGTCACCCAGCTGCCAAGGCTCACAGAGACCTCGTAGGGTCACAGGGTCAGACCCAACTTGAGAAACCGGTGCTTCACCCGACCGGCTGCGAAACGGATTCATCCGATTCGCCGCGATTTCTGGGGCTTCTTCCAAAACTACGAAATGTGTTTTGATTGTTTCATGTGTAGATTAAGTGTAAAACAACATCCATGTGTTTTTGGAGTACCTGGTTGCGGGTCTTCCGAAACCGAGGAGGAGCGCATCAAAGAGTTGCTGATCACCTTTGGACAGCTAAAGTTCTATGCGCTGCAGAAGGATGAGGAGGGCAAGTCAGCCCGGGCCAAAGTTAGTGCGATACGCGCCGGAATACGAAGCTGGAGTCATAGGCGTCCTCTTAGGTCAGTTTGGTTGAAAAAGGATGGCACTGGATCTGGTTCTAAACATTTACCAGTGACATCTATTGTTTCAAAAGGACACCTATGACTGGAGTGTGTTTTTTGTTGGTTTGGGTGAGAGTACCTTGAATTGCAGAAATGGATTCAAGCGTCAATTGAGGTTTAAGGGGATATTCTGCACTGGAGGGTCCCATGATGCTAGGGCGCCTAAAAAACGTATTTGATCAGCTTTTGAAGGTATGCCAATGTCCTCGCCCAAAAGGGCAAAAGGACCACCCAGGGCGAGGCTTGCTTCCCTTGTCTCTGTCTGAAAATAGAGATCTTTGCTCTTGAATGGCTTCAAAAGGACCCGTCTAGGAAATCAACCACATGAAGGGGGTCCTATGTCCAGAGACTCTCCAACATGCCGGGGATCCATGCCGGTTTTCTAGAAACACCGGATGCTGTGAACCTTGCGCTGACCAACTAGAGCTACGTCGCAACTTTGGGGCCAGTGCAACCCTTTTGACCCTCCGATGCAACGGTGACCATCTGGACTCTCCATACATGTCAACTTGGTGTCATTCACTACCCCGAAATAAAAGGGTCATGTCTCACCCCATGCTTCAAGGGTCGTGGTGACTAGGCTATCAGTCCCTGAGAATTATGCGAGAGGCAAGCTGTGCGACTGGATGATTTGCAACCAATTGAGTTCCTTCCAGCCGCTCAAGGCAGCAACAAGCTAAACCTTTTAGGTTGCTTCCTCCATGAGTCGCTTCAAAAACATATGCCCCAAGGAAGCTTACCAACAGCGTCGGCCAAAATTTGTTCGCTAGCGCTGGAATCTGCTCTGAACTTTTCTGTAACCTCCCCAGAAACCCCTCTCAGGAACACATTGACCATAGCTGTTGAGGCTGGGGAAGAAAAGGAGGGGCCCGTCAAGTCTGGGTAAAGCATTATCACCAACCGACAGCAGTATTTCACGAGTCAGCATAAGGATTCACCCAAATATAATGGCTGGCTGGTAGTGAATTTCTGGACTCCAACCCCCCCTTGCCCATTTTTAGTCGGCAAACGAGAAACACCCCAAGCTCAAAGCTTCAACCCACCCCTACCCAACGGCGCAGCGGTTTAACCCCGCAAGCGATTTTCGGGGCCTCAGGTCGGCGTGGCCTTCTTCGAGTACCAGGATATGATGACCCAGCAGCAGGCCGACCTCTCGACCACGCCTTGGGGGTGATATACAATTTGCGAGATTGGCTTTAGACTCCAGGCAACTTTAAGCGTGTTTTTTGGCTCAATTTGGTCTTCCTTCACTTCCCCCTGTACACATTAATTAGTCAACTTTTGGCAGGGGTCTATATAAGTTTGGCCTGGTAGATCCCGGTAGCATGGAACTATCACTATGGACGGCATGAGAGGGTTCCCCGCACACAGGTAGTTTCGCGCTCTGCGCGAGACTACCGTTACAGGCATGCCTTTGTGACATAACTTTCTATTCTTTTCTCAAAGGCTGCGTGATCCATGAGGGTGGTGGCAGAATCGAGCATGTGGACCTGCCGGTCCCCAAACCCACGCTTTTATTTCCCCACTTGGACTTTAGTCACTTTTGGGGGTGAAGGGGCCATTTTGGTTGCAAACAACACGTCCTTCCAACTCCCCTTGAAAAAGGGGAATCACCGCATTATTTACGGACAATGTCGCATTTCAGCATGGTTCGGTCCTGGTTGCTTTGTTGAGCAACTCAGGAAGTGGAAAAACGGAACTCCAAGCTCAGTCGGCACCCAACTTCGGCCGATCTTCCGCTTGGCTCGAGAATTCGACGTTCCCCCGCTGGTTTTTTCAGAAGCCATGGAAGCGGACGCCGCGAGCTCCAGGTGGAGCTTATGTGGGGATCTACCGCAGGTGCCGCCGGGAATGGCCCTCCAGTTGCACTGGGTTCCAACTTGCTTGATGTGTTTCATTGGGGCCCGGGGGTGCTCGATTTGAGAGGTCTTTGTTGTTTTGTTATGCATGTGTTTCCCTGCACAACAGGGCAAACCCCCCCGTTTTTTCTCCAAACCAGCCAGAAACAGAAGTATGGAGTGCAGGTTCTACAAGTTGTTTTTCTCCCCGGGGCAACCCACGAAACGGCAGGTCAGGTCCTCGTCGCCTTTCCACATGTGAAGCAACTCCAATGCAAGGGCACCCGCCAAGGTTTGGGTTCCAAAACCAACGGTGGCCCCAAAAAAGGAAGGGGTTCTAAGTCTTGGTCCACCTTCCGGCTCACAGGTTGCAACTGGCTAATTAAGCGAACATAAATGGCAAATGCCTTTTTCGCCCCACCCAAGCCACCAAGAATCTTAATAGGTTTTAGTAATTTTAGCTCGCCGAATCTGGAAGTCCAGATTCCAACAACCGAGATAAGCTGTTAATTGTTTTAAGTGCATTATGAAAACTATCAAACTACAAGTTTGGGGAATCTTCCCCACAGGGCGCGGGGAACCTAGCCCAAGGCCGCTCCGAACCACTGAAGAGCCTATTTGGGCAAAGACCTCAATGCTTCCAGCTACTGGAGGGAGATAACTATATTCTACCCCTTAAGCTTGAGAATGACTTCATGAATGGGGGAGTGACATTGTTGCCCTCACAAAAGTGGCTGACGGGCAAACCAATCCATTTTTTGCCGCGCGTCCAAGGCCCTGGTGCCCTTGGGGGAGATCCTGCAGCAACAGGATGCCATCCACACCCTGCAGCAGGGACTAAGAAGCCAGGTAGGGGTTCCTTGGCACGGGCTGACTAGGGAGAAGCACACAACATGTCATTATCTCGCCAAATGGCCGCGGCTCAAACATGGTAACGGTACCCAAATAGCTGTCACCTTGGTATATGGAAACAAAAACTAGAACTGCGCTACCTCAGCTGTAAATCTTGTGCCACATGATAAGTTTATATGGTGTTTTGAGGCGCAGGAATATTGATCAACCCCCAGGTGAAGAAGTCGTGGTGCTGGCAAGTCTTCAGCTACGCTGCTGCTGCCTGGGCCAAACAACCGCCGCATTGGTTGCCTTTGAGGAGGAAGCAAAGCGAATCAAACTCTTGCCGCTTTTTCGCCTTTTTTCTTCCCTTTTTTTGTTGGGGGCGGGGGTCCTGCAATTTCGAGACAACATTTGACCAAATCTGGGATCTGTGTCGAAACAGTTTTTACATCAGGTTCACTATGTTGGCAACGCGTACTTTTGAGCTGGGTTGCTCAAGCCCTTCACAGGGGATCTCAAGCTTGGCCAGGATCAGCGGGTAATCCTTTGCAGTGTTCCCTCGATGTGATTGAATAGTTCCTAATATTGAAGCAAGCCACACAGGAGATCAACCTCTTAGGGAATCAAGCCCCTCACAGGGACCACAAGCAACCAGTGTAACGGTTTTTGATAAATGGGAACCAGTGGTTGGCCTTTTGTTCTATCAAATCAGCCTTTTAACTTGAAGCAAATTGATTGCTTCCAGCCACGAGGCAAGTCAGTTTGACCAGCCCAGGCTTTTGTGGCTTTGGCGGCCTGGGTGGGCAAGCTGCCCATCAGTGCAGGTTCTTGGGAGAAAGATCTTCACGCGTGCCACGCCCAGTTCAACCTGCTCAACGCTTCCTTAGCAGAGGCCCAGGCAGAGATCGCTAAAGTCAAGGCGTCCATGGCGGATATCCCAAGCCATGACCAATTGCACCTGCTCAACACGTCACTGTCTGAGGTGATGGCATCCATGGCGGATATCCCGAGCCATGACCAGATCAACCTGCTCAACAAGTCACTGTCTGAGGTGAAGGCATCCATGGCGGATATCCCGAGCCATGACCAATTGCACCTGCTCAACACGTCACTGTCTGAGGTGACGGCATCCATGGCGGATATCCCGAGCCATGACCAGATCAACCTGCTCAACAAGTCACTGTCTGAGGTGAAGGCATCCATGGCGGATATCCCGAGCCATGACCAATTGCACCTGCTCAACACGTCACTGTCTGAGGTGAAGGCATCCATGGCGGATATCCCGAGCCATGACCAGATCGACCTGCTCAACACGTCACTGTCTGAGGTGAAGGCATCCATGGCGGATATCCCAAGCCATGACCAATTACACCTGCTCAACACGTCACTGTCTGAGGTGAAGGCATCCATGGCGGATATCCCAAGCCATGACCAATTGCACCTGCTCAACACGTCACTGTCTGAGGTGAAGGCATCCATGACGGATACCCCGAGCCATCACAAGATTAACCTGCTCAACACGTCATTGTCTGAGCTCAAGGCATCCATGGCAGATATACCGAGGCATGACCAGATCAACCTGCTTAACGCATCTTTGGCAGAGGCCAGGGCAGTCGCAGACGCGCACTTCGCCCAGGCAACGTCAGCCACGGACAGAAAGGTGTCGGAGATAAAGACATCCAACGGTATTCCTAGAGGCATGGTTGTGGAAAAATTCTGTATCCACACAATCATGTTTTAAGTCTCAAACAAAGTAGTCGTGGGAAACTGCCACGTTGGTATCACAAGAGTATGGAAAGGCAGGGATAGGAAGCCATGGGGGTAAAAATCCCACTTTGGCATTCCAACAACCTTGCCCGGAGGAGTTATTGTGGCATGGAGTGGGACGAGCGCTGAGGTTCCAACTGGGTGGCACCTTTGTGATGGGCGCAACTTGTCAGTTGAGTTGGCAAAGGTGTTCAACGCTTTTCGTTGGCAAAACGTTGGCTGGTTTTATCATTTCAGTCGCCCAACAAGTTGGAGTCATTGTTTGGCCAATCTCAACCGGTCAGGGAACTCCACGCCAGACTTGGTCGGGCGCTTCATTCTGGCGGCGCAGGAAGGTCAGGCAGGTTCGGTGCCAAATTGTGTCAAGAACTGGACATTGGCTTAACCTTGACCTTGACTTAGGCAGGCAAAAGGAGGCTGTTTAAGCTGGTGGCTAACTCACAGGGGCTCAGAGAAAAAGGGAATGAGTATCCCTTGTGGTTCTCTTTGGGAGCCCCATATTCAGTCCCAACCTTGTCTTTGCTGTCTGCCACGCCTCCCAGCGTTGCGAGGAGCACCAAGTCGGAGGCACGTGGAAGGTCCAGCTATCTGTCGAGACAATGCCTTCGCACCGACACACAGGCGTCACTGAATCGAACGTCCACAGCCACTGGTACGACCGCGTGTCACGGGGGAGCATAAGATGGAAGCCTGAGGGGCAAGATGCAGTTTGGGACGGAGAATATGAGACCAAGTATTTTTGCCAGACTGGTTTTTGGCTGCTTGCGGTTGTGGTTATCTTTCTTTTCATTACCAAATAGAGCTGTAATTTTTGTAGGGCTCGGATCAAGCCAATGATTTCGGTTGCATGTGTAGTAGGTTGCCAAGGGGGTTCCCACGCTTCACAAGTGAAAGGACAATGGCTGGATACCCGCAAAACTGGCGAATCCACATTTTTGATAACCAAAGGTTTTTCAACCCTCTCTAGATGGTGAAGGGTTACCTGGTCAAACGATTCCCGATCGGGCTCGAATGGATGCAATGGCTCAGGTATGCACAGGATGAGTCATCCGAGTCTTCGCACTTTCACAGCTTCACAACAGACTTCGCCGGCAAAGGCGAGCCTCTCGCGATCGCCAACCCCTACTACAGCTTGGCCTACATCATGAAGCTGTGATGCGATGAAATTCAGCAAAGGGTCCTGGGATGAACAATGACCCGAGGACTACTTGTTTGGTAATATCTTTACTGAACGTAGGTTTCCTCGTGGACTTTGTGCATCTGCCAAAAGAACGTGGCAACATCGGTCTCCCAGGACCTGGCAAATACCTTAGAGCGCGTGTCCGGCGCGCGACAGACAGGCAGCGTATCGGCGCTAACGTGCAAAAAGATGCCAACAGCTCCAGACATCGAGTGGTTTGCTCCCTTGTCTCCTTTTTGTATTGGAACCTTTCCGCTTGAACTCAAGAAGGCGATGCCCTTTGAGTGCTTAGGGTTCCATGTTTTACTCCCAGACCTGGCCCAGGCCTTCCCGAACCCATGAAACCCAAGGAAACCCACGTCACGGACTGGTTGGGTTCGCGGACCGGGGTTCGAGAGTTGCACTCAAGGTCTTTCTTTTCAAGTGCCTTGTTCAGCTCTGAACGGAAGCCACAAGGGAAAGTACCTTCTTGAAGTCGCCCGATAGAGAAACCCCGGCGGCGCAACCCCCTCCCCCAGGCCAATAATTCTCCAGGATCTGGAAGTCCGTTGCGGGTTCATGCAAGGGCGTCTCCAATCCAAACCTTGCGCGCGGTGTGGTTGCAATCCATGTGGTTTGTTTGGTATCATCCATGGTGGGGTGGGGGGGTGGGGGCGGGGTGGGGGTAACTGACCTTGTATTTCTGACTCGGAATGAGACCCGCACAAGCCTCGGTGGGAACACACATGTTGATGGGTGAGTTTCGGCAGGAAACTTTCTTTGTCCTTCTGGTATTTATGCTAAGGTATGACGATATGCGTCAGGGTGGAACATCCGTCATTGTTCCCTTCTCCCTTGAAGGTCGCAGGGTGACCATTAGGGAACCACAAAGATGACCTTCACCACTGGAAACAGTTAGCCATGCTCATGTTGGGGCCAGGAATATTGATCAACCCCCATTTCCCACGAGTTCCTGAACTTTAAATTGTTTTGCAAGAGCAAGCCGCAGGGGTGTAGTCGATGGCCGTGGGAAGTCGGGTTCCTCACAGAGATAAGAACCCCACTTTGGTCGATCTTCCACAACCATGCCCTCCAAATACTTGTTTTGCAGGGGAACAGAACTACACCTGGACCCTCAACCTTACAAATGCATCATGGCTCGCATTTTTTTTGGGGGGGCAATGCCCGACTTTCCCTGGTTGGGTCCATGGGGCTGAGCCAGGCGCGAGTTGCCCTGGAGGGCCTCGAGTTGGGCTGTGGCCCCAGGAGCTTACCCCCCCCCCATCCGAAAACCAGAAGCGGGTGTGTCGTTTTGGAGGGTACCCTGTTGGTTTTTGGGAAAGCGAAAGAGACACCACCCATTTTGGATAATCCCATTTAAAAAACGTGGTCAAACATGTTCAGATGTGGTGATCAAGATTTCAGGCCAGGGGACCAAAGATTTTAGTCCTTTCAATTCACCAGGGTTCCTTTTTGCCAGCCAAAGACCGAAATGCGCCGGGGATCCGATTTGCTGACCTCGCTTGAGGCCAGTTGACGGGCGCGGAGCCAATTGGCCACAGTTGATTAAGAGCTCTTGGGGGGTTCCATGCCAAAGGGACCAGGGCCTCGTTTAATCACATGCCGGCCCTGGTGACAAACACCCGATTTTCGTTTTGCCGGCGGAGGACAGTTGAATCTGGTTTCTGCGTCACGACAACCGCATAAAGCCGCAGGTGGTCATGTTCTGGTGGTTGTGATCCGGCCCTACTTATACAGATGCTGGATTGTGAACCTCATTTAAAAAAAAAAAAAAAACAAAAAAAAAAAAGACGCCTGGACGCCGAAGCAGAGGACTTACGTGACGAGCATGGGGTAACGGTGACACCCAAACCGCTGCAGCTGGCTGCCCTAAACAACTCTGTGGAAGTCGTGCGTTGCTTGCTGCAAGCCGGCGCTGACAAGGACAAGACCGAGAATCACGGACAGGCTGCCATGCACATGGCTGCCATGAGTTTGGCTGTGGGAGTCACGCGTTGCTTGCTACAAGCCGGCGCTGACAAGGACAAGACCGAGAATCACGGCCAGGCTGCCATGCACATGGCTGCCATGAGTTTGGCTGTCGGGGTCACGCGTTGCTTGCTACAAGCCGGCGCTGACAAGGACAAGACCGAGAATCACGGCCAGGCTGCCATGCACATGGCTGCCATGAGTTTGGCTGTGGGGTCACGCGTTGCTTGCTACAAGCCGGCGCTGACAAGGGCAAGTCCGAGAAATCACGGAGAGTCTGCCATGCACATGGCTGCCATGAGTTTGGCTGTGGGAGTCACGCGTTGCTTGCTACAAGCCGGCGCTGACAAGGCCAAGGCTGACAATCACGGACAGGGTGCCAAGCACATGGCTGCTATGAGCTTGGCTGTGGGGCTTCTTGCAGCCAGCCGGCGCTGACAAGGCCAAGGCCGAAAATCACGGACAGGCTGCCATGCACATGGCTGCCATGAGTTTGGCTGCGGGAGTCACGCGTTGCTTGCTACAAGCCGGCGCTGACAAGGCCAAGGCCGAAAATCACGGACAGGCTGCCATGCACATGGCTGCCATGAGTTTGGCCGTGGGAGTCACGCGTTGCTTGCTACAAGCCGGCGCTGACAAGGCCAAGGCCGAAAATCACGGACAGACTGTTATGCACGTGGCTGCCATGAATGGTCATGGTGGAGGCCATGAGATAGTTCTGCGCTTGTTGGCGCCCCCCAGCGTCAGCGGCAAGTCCAAGCCAGAACATGCAGATTCACCTGACAAGCACAGGCGACAAAAACCGTACACAGTATTTTTTGGGGTTGTTTGAAGCCGGTTGTGCAAAATACATTACACACTGAGTGAGGCTTTCCCTTCAGGGATGACCCCGTAGTGGGAGTCCAGGATCAAAAGACGACTTGTTGATTGATAGAGTTGTGTCGATTGATAGAGACGTGTCCCGGTTTACAGGGGAGCCTTTACTTTACTTTGGGGGCAACAACTTCGCCAGGTTGATGAATCCCAGGTTGACATGTTTGCATTTTCAGACACGCACAGACCCACGAAGATTGTGTTCAATCTTGTTTCCAGCTCGTGATGTTGTAGCCACGCACAACAGGGCATTTGCTTTAATTGGTGCTTTGGTGGGATCCGTGCACCGCAGCTGTTACCAAGCTAGGACCCTTGTAAAGCAGATCGTCCACTAAGCAAAGGAAGTTTAAAAGAAACATCCGTAGTACCAAGGAAGGCCACGTGAAGGCTAGCAGTCTTCTCAAAGTAGATGAGAGCGGAAAGCAAAGAGAAGAGGACAAAATGTCGTGACAAAGTCGAAGAGCGCGGAAGGAGAAGAAAAAGAAAAAGAAGAGAGGCAAGGAGGAGAGGTGACAAGTGTTCAGATTGCGTGACAGGTGCAGTGCTCGGGGATAGGAAGTAAGCGCCCTGTGCGTGTTTCGCGTGTTCCGGGAGCCAACCAACCAGTCGTCCCAGCCATGACCATGGTTATAACCCACAGGCCAGGTCAATCCAGTCTGTGGTCAAGAGATGGGGTTGGAGATGTGCGCGACGAGCTTTCAACTTTCGAATTTGGCTTGTTTGCGGTCTACTTACTCCACTCGCCCATGTTTGGGGGTGGTGTTCATTGAGGCAGCCCACGACAAAAGGCGCAGGAAATCGCATCAAGTTAGGCGATGCGCGACATCGCCTTGCTGACACGAAGCTCAGGACTTCCCACCAATCCCGGTTTGATGGGTCCCACTCTCCCTTTTACTGGATTCACTACTGGGATTGGCGCCAAAATGTGGGTTCCGTTTTGAATCATGGTCACTGGGCTGGGGATGGCTGTGTCTCGACCTATGCCCGCGCAACTGCCTGGCTGTCCTTCGGTGTTCCTGACAACATCAAAAGGCCCCCCCCCCCACCCGTGTTTGGGACACCTTGCGAAGCCACGGACATTGCCAACTGCCTGGGGGCCCACTAAAGCTGAGATTCATACAGTATACAGGCTACACAACAAGTCTTGAGGCTGACTCAAACGGATGCCTTGCAGAATGTGTTCCCCAAGTCGGCGTCAACTTGACTTCGGCCAAGGCCAATCCGGTGAAAATGGGCAACCCACATGCTCATTCAAAGTTTGGTTTCTTGGCTTTGTGGGTCCCCAGTTTAGGAAGCACCAAGTGTTTGACCCTCTTTGGCAATGACGGGCCCTGCAAACAGCAATTCTACTCTTGAAGGGAGTCCCTTGATGTTTAGGCGATGCTGGGAAATCAAAAAGAGCTTATTTGGGGAAACGAGTTCACTCTTAATATAGGTGCTTTACTATGGGGGTCCGTTTCTTATTTCCAGTTGGCGTCTTAGGCCGTGCATTTACTGACCTCACTTCGCATTTAATGGACTTCAGCCACCAAGACTTGGCTCAGCTTTCTACCTGTCTTTTTTTTTTTTTAAAAGGGTTTTCCTTCGTTTCCTTTCGCAAACAGTCAGAACTGTCTGCATTCCGGTCGGATCCATTTGGCCCAGTCTATTGTGTGCCTAGGCAACAACAAGATGAAAGTGCTGAAGCCGGATCAAGTCATCGAGCTCGGTCTGGTGCGGCGCCGATGTTCGCGGTTTTGCTTTTGTCGTGCGAGTTGTCGGTGGAGCGGAGTGTTTTTTGTTTTTGGCCCCTGGGATTTAAACAAAAAAGAAAGAAAGAATGGCTTGGTCTGACCCTCAAAAATTCCGGGATTCGCTTGTCATATTCGAGGATTTGACTAAATATGCAATGTCAATCTAAGCATCGCATGTTTCTTTGGCCCCAGATCCCAAGACAATCGACAATCGGCACTGAGCCCTTCCAGCTCTGGGACCTGTCTTTGTTTCCCTTTCGGGTTCTTTGGAGCACCCGTACAATCCCCCCGGGGTTTCCCCGAGGGAACTGCTCAGTTTCAACTCCCAGGCCTATGAGTTACCCAGTCACTGGCGTCGCGAAGGTCCAAGTCCTTGGAAGGATTTGGCCCCCACCTTTTCGTGGGTTCCCTATTGGGATGGGTTGGGACTGGCCAACGGATCCAGGAGTATGAAAATCGAAAGCAAGCTATGAGTGAGCACCCGTTATGAAGCTTATCCAGTTTGGCTCTATGCTTGACTACCTCGCCAACGATCCCAAAGCCATGAACTGTCGAATGAAGTGCGCTAGTCATTAACGGATTCCCGTGAAAACGATGGCAAGGACCCAAATTGCATGATGAAACTCGTTAGGCAAACAATCGTGGTTATTTCACCCCCGATTGTTTGAATGGTTGGAATCCCAGGGTGAGGACAAATTTGAATCACCCAGCCATCGAGCCTGTTGCCCTCCGCACTTCGCTGTTTTTTGGTGGCTTCCTCACAGATGGTCGGCCCAAAAAGGGCCCACTTTGTCTACTAGTGTCACTGGGCAAACGGGAAGATGTGTCTTGCTGAGGAATGCACTGCGTCTCATTCCTTGCGCCATGCAGGTTCCTACGAGATCTGGACAGTAGCGACATGTGTGGACATCACCCATGTGCCAGGGCTATTCCACTGACTGTGCATAATGAATTAATATTAATTTCACGGGCGCAATGGAATTTTTGTCCATGGTCCAAGGGCGCTTGGGCGACCCCACCCCATGAACTTCTAGTCGCTATTGGCCTTCTGTTCACATCTGGTTCGCTGGAGCACTGCAGCTTTGCCCCAGGCACGTAGTCCTGCAGTACTTTAGGAGAACCCCCTCACAATGCATGTTGTCTTGTCTTCTATACCTCAAACAAACACTTTGAATGGGGAACCACGTCACAAGTGACTGCTGAACATCAATCCCCACGGATGTCCACCAATGGGTCCCCTGTAGAAATTCACGCCAAGCAAAAGGCACCATCGCCAGAAAAGTAATTTCACAAATTGCCTCCCCCCAAGAGGGAGAGCTGACAACCTGTGTACCTCACGAAGACACGGTCTTGACATGAATGTTCCCAGCAGTTGGTAACTGTTTACTTGCCAGGCTATTCCAAGTATGACAGGACAAGAGATGGGTTGCGATCGACTGTCTCAGGCATCAATAACCACATCTCAGGCGCCTCAGGACTTCTCAGACAACACCCCTCCGCCTTCCAAGCGGATGCTTTGCTGTGTGTTGCACCTTGGGCGTTTTGGCACCTCACGGCCAGGTGCGGAAGCAACTTGAGCCATCCTGGAAATTTGCACAGCGGATATGTAGTTCGTATCAGGGTTCAAGATATTGAGGCGGCGCAGGTGAGCTTGTGCAGCTTGTTTGCATTCTCGTTTAGGGATGTATTTGGCCCTGCCAGGAGAGATGGGCTCCGCACCGGCCTTTGCCCCCAAACCATCCCACCCTCCCTGCTTCCGCTGACAGGATGGTGCCAAGTTCGGACCGCCGCGCCAGGTGAACAGAGAACAGAAGCTAGGTGCCCGTGTGGTGCCGAGCAAGGTGTGGCACCCAGGACTGAGGTGACGTCCCACAGAAGATCAACGTCTGCGCGGGCTCGCCTGTGGGATCCTGTCGGGAGGGCGGGTGACTTTGGTGGGTAGGGGGAAGAACCCATTGCTGATCTTGTGTCGTGTTTTGCCAGCTCGGAAATGGGTGTCTCTATTTGAGGGCCCAGAAAACAACATACCCAAACACACGAAAGGGGCTGCGAAGGGAAGTTGCTTTAGCCGGCTTTTTAGTCGAGAAAACCCCACCCGTGTGCAGAGGGAGTTCCCTTTGGTTTCTGAGCTAATCTGTAGCGGAGTAAATGGAAACCAAAGGTAAAAACACAAGTTTGAGATTCCCTCTTTACAGACACACCCATTTGGATCCGCAAGATATTGCTTTTTGGATGGGCTAAGAACGAGCGAAGGCCGTCAATAACGGGCCTTTGCCTGGAAGTTCCGTGTTCTTGAGGGCCGCGGCCCTGTACGTGTGCGTAGCCAAATGGCATACTTGTTGAATTGGCAAATATTAGAACTTGTCGGGTGTAGGCTTCTTGATGGGTTTAGTCAACGCAAGCAAACTTCGAGCTTTTACCGGCCACCTAGCTCAGGTAGTGTTTCTTTTCATCACAGGGGAATGTCAATGAGGAGGGTCGCAAGCTTTGTTCAGCAGTTTGTTCTTCGTATAGGGAACTGAAGCTACCAGAGTCTGCGCAGTGCAAGCAGTGGACCCTACAAAGGTGACTCTCCTTGAGGTTGATTGAAATCAATCCGCTGATTCATTCTGCCCGATGGATTCCGTGATTTGCCTTGTAGTTGTATCCCACTACGGATTTGTGATGTTGCTCTTCTGCGGATTGCGGCTTGGGATTGGGGATGCCCCCGTTTTGGACTGCCCGGCTTGGGATTCCTTGCTTCTTAGTTTGGAAGACTTGTACATGTACAGACCAATCAATTCTGGGTGTGGTTCCTTTTTGTTTGGGAACCCCTTGTTGATCAGGACGAACAAATCAGTAATTATTGCGGTTCACCAAGACATTTCCCACCCTTGAAACGCCCATTTCAGCCGGTGCCTGAGGTTCTCTACCTCAAGAACATTGTCTCAACAGAGGACCTTGCCGACGAAGCAGGGCGTGGAACTCAACGCAAGAAGGAGCTCAATGGCACTCCGAGTACAATCGAGAATCCAATTAAGGGTAGTTTCAGGGTTCTGGTACAGTGCTTCTTGTGTTTCTGAACTTTATCCATGTTGGAAGACCAGTTTCGCGGCAAACAAACAGCTACTCTATGACAGCGACAGGGAGATCACAAGCGCTACTTCTTTTCCCACCCTTCTGTATCTCCGGTGCCGTGCTTCTGCTTTTGGAGGTAGAAACGACAGATGCAAAGACCTCACTCACGCCCATCCTTTGTTCTAGTTAGGAGGTAATTTGCAGAAGACCCCTGCGTGGAAACTCGAGTGTGCACAACCTAAAGCTGGTGTCCGCAAACAGGGGTCTTCTAAAAGTGCCGGGCTTCCTTCTGGAGTTCCCAGCGAAAATGTCTCATTTCCTAGGGTTTGTTTGTCTTTTTGCTTGTGTGCTTGCTTGCTTCCTGGCTTTCTGGCTCTCGCTGGCTTGCTGGCTTGCTAGCTTGCTGGCTTGCTGGCTTGCTGGCTTGCTGACTTGCTGGCTCTGGCTTGCTTGCTGGCTTGCTGGCTTGCTGGCTTGCTGGCTTGCTGGCTTGCTGGCTTGCTGGCTTGCTGCCTTGCTCTGGTTTGCTCTGGCTTGCTCTGGCTTGCTGGCTTGCTTGCTTGTTTTGTTGTGTGGGTGGTTGCTGGCTGATTTCTTGGATTATTGCGTCTTTGTGTCTGTGTGTTTTTGTGTTGTTTTTTGTTTGTTTGTTTGTTTGTTTGGTTTTTTGTTTGTTTGCCTGTTCGCCTGTCTATGTGTTTGGTAGGTTGGTTTTGTTTGGTGGCTTGCTTCGTTGGCCATGTTTGTTTATGTGAATGTAATTGTGTTTGTTTGTTTTGTTTGTTTTGTTTGTTTGGTTGTCTGCTTGTGTTTGTTTGTTTATTTGTTTGTTTGTTTGTTTGTTTTTTGGCTTTAGTTTAACGAACACCAAACCAGAGTCCGTTTCGCCGGCTGCCAATTTTGACACATGTACCCAGTTGTTCCATGTTCGTGCCTTCCAATCCTCCAACTTCCGCGCTGCTAAACCCAAACATCTTGTTTTCTTCGTAATTCGCTCGAGGAAATCTTGTACACAGGCACAGTGGTCTGTGTACAACGTGACTTTCGCCTTAAATGGCGTGCTTCCCCTCGCAAAAGAGGCTACCAAGCCTCAGTGTTTGTTGCTCAGCTGGGTGATGTCCTTTTTACTTCCCTTTCGCCAAATCAACCCCAGAAAGGTGGTTCCAACCCCCAAAGGATGAGCACGGAATGATTTTTGGACAGCCCCAAGCTCCCCCCTCAGTTGACCTATTTGAATGAGCAATTCCGCTTTTTCCGTTCCCCTTTGAAACAAAGTTGTGCGGATCAGTAGCCCGTGGTGCTGAAGTCATGCCTTATCTGCGTGGCAAGACTCAGGTCAAGACAGGTTCAGGCACAATTTCCCTTCCAACCATGAATCAAACCAACCAGTTTTTTTTTGGGCGGGGGGGTCCAAAACGACCCCGCAGTCCACCCCATCCGCGTCAATGTTTTATTGTTTTTTTCCCGGGTAACTTCGCCGCACAAAGCCACCGCGGCGGAGCACCATTTTCACCCCGCCCCCCCCCCCCCCAACAATGGAACATGTGGGGTAGGTTTGGGAATTTGTCCCTTCCATTTCCCCCCCCCCCCCCCGCACCCCCCGCGTCTTTGGAGCCTCGCCGATTTGTTCGCCGCCGAGCAAAGCGAGGTACGCGGAGATCTGCACAGACATCCGTTTGGAGGCGGAGAAGTTCGGCGCCGTGGTGTCCATCGAGGCGAGTGGGCCCAGGGGGTGGGTCGGTTTTGGGAGGCTCGCTTTGGCCTTTTGGTTTGGAGAAAAATAGAGCACCATTTCATGGAAAACGTTGTTTTCAATGATGGCTTAAGACCAAAATACCACTTTAAGGGAGTTCCCGAGAAAAAGACATACCCATGTTGCAAGGGAACCAGGGTGAAAGCCTGTAAGTTCAACCATGTTTTTCGTAGGAAGCAAGGATGAAAGACTGTAAATTCATCAGCATGCCAGAAGAAAACCGATGATTTTGAAGGGGTCGCCAGTGCCCTTCACTCTTTGGAATGGCCTACTTGGGACTGAAAATGCACCAACGGTGGTCGAGTCGACCCTGCCCCCAGTGGATCGCCATACCACAGGGGGGTCCTTGGATTTCCCTTGTTGGCTGACTTTTACATCACCTTTTGGGCCAGTTTAGCTCAGTGTCCTTACACAGATGCCAATAACTGTGAAGCACCCCATAGAATCCACCCCGCGCCATGCACTCCGATGTCTTTTCCTCACCCTCTCGAGATGTTTAAGGAAGCCAGGAAAGGTGCCATCTCCCTCCCGTAAAAGGAAACCCCCAAAAGGGTACAGTTGGATGAAAGATGCTAGAAAGTCAGTTGCCACTGACCAAAGAGGTAGAAGTGGAGTGCCAAAAGGGTTGAGTTCCAAGTGGAACCAGTTGCAAGCCAGTGGAAACCCTCCAGTTACCGAGCCAGGGAAATGGACTGCGGAAAGCATTCCAGTGGAAACCCGAGAAGCTATGAGCATCTGGTGTTTGGTGGGTGTTTGGTAACCCAATTCCTTGGGAAATAAGGTCACTGAAGAATCGCCATGGTTTACCTAAGGACTTTCACAATGGGATCCTTGCCGTGTTTGGGGTGAAGCCTTTGAGTTGCAGCTTCCTATGCCGGCAGATGGGTGCCTTGTGAAGCGGATCCCCAGAACAAGCACCCAGATGTCCGTGAAAGGGGAAGCGCCCAAAAAGGGTCCCGGGAAACAAAGATCACACACCCAAATGGGATGACCCAAGTTGAATGATGATATGCGCCCAAATGGGACAAACCGATAAACCCAAGCATCAACCCATATGGGACCAAGAGGACAAGCTTGATTTTAGCTGTAAGTGGCTCGTGTCTCTGGACAGGTGCCCCGTGGCGGTGGCTCCGGCGGGGGCGGAGGCCCCGGGGGCCTGAACAACGCCCTGCCCGCGCCAGCAGGAGACGCCTTTCGCTCTCGCCTCGCGTTCGCTTTCGCCGGGGCCGGGGGAATCCGTTTAGGATTCCCAAAATTTGGAGCCCGGGCTGAAGATCGAGCGAAGGGGTGCAGTGTTTCGGTATTTTTTTTTTGGTTGAGAAGTAAGCCATGAATCCAGAAGTCACTGAAGACTGAGGATTTGGAAAGACTCGGCGCTTCTTTCGTAGACGTTCCGTCTCTTCAGGCTGGAGTGAGAGAAAAGACTCACCCGCTTGCTTTCCCACTCAGTGAACCGCTCAGGCGAAGAGATGCTGAAGGTGAGACTCATTTGTCATTCTCTTGTCACTCAAGGGATGACATTATCTAAAATCGGGGACGCTTTCTAGGATGATTTTGAACAGAAACCAAACATTTTTGTAGGTAAGCAAGTTAACCACCGCAAGGTTTGTGTTGTTTTGATTCTCGGTACCTTGGCAATTAGAGACATTGTAGCAATTATTGTAATTCATTACCAGAGCGATATCATATATCTAGTAGGTGGAAAATGGCTGGCTACCTACTGGTTGCCTAGGATCCACTACAGCAAGTATATTGTTGTAGCTAATTAGGAGGGGGGATTCCTACTAAGTCCCCCAGTAGTGCCCTTCTCTCCCCTTTTTTGGGGGAGGGTTCCCCTATGTACTAAAATCGACAGACAAAAAATGGGTACCCTTATTCTAACCTCTCTACTGGAGGACGCGCCTAGACCCCAGAGCGGTTCTTCTTCAGGACCTTTGGCGTTGACCAACGCACCCACGGATGAGCCGAAGGCCGGAATTCGGAAGGGAGGCTCATGGTCCGTTTGCGAGATGTGTCCGTGACGCTCGAAGCGGCGAATGTGTTTGTGTTGAGGGAGCCTTTTCAAGATAGATTGGTGTGTCTTGAATTGGGGTAATCCCCGCACCACCAAAATGGGTGGTTTTCTTTTGGTTTCTCTTCAAACACCAACCAAAAAAGGGTAAAGACACCCCCCAGATCATGTCCTCAGTGAAAGGGGAAGCACCCCTGATTAGTACAGCTCTGAGGATTGTAAACTTCATGGGAAGCCGTTCCTGATTGCTCCGCTCCTTGCGTCCCCCTCCAAAAAGAATAGCCAGAACGATGATGTGTAACTAGCTGTTTAGACATGCAACAGGGGATTGAGTGGGCAACCCTGCTTCCTCCTCCCAAGAAGCCACCCGTCCCTCAAACTGCCCTCAAAACCCTGGGTGCCCCCTGAAAAATTGGGATGCTCCTAAAGTAAGCGGGTGATTTGGTTCCACTTTGTAGGGTCAGACCTCCATTGTTCCCCTGTTTGTTTCATTCAAATCCATGGTTGTTGTTGGGAAACCTTCGACATTTTTGCTTATTGCGGTTGAGTGGAAAATCCCACCCAACTGCTCAACTTTCTCATTTCTTGCTCTTCCAACGTCCAGCCAGTATTTTCATGGAAATCCACTGGGTTTTGTCAGGTTCCGGGTCCAGGCGCTCCGCCCCCCCTCCCATTTGATTTGATTTGATTTATTTGATTGATTGATTGGTTGCTTGATTGATTGATTGATGGAATGCCATCCTCAGATTTCTAAGTCGCACTGTCCCGAACAGTCCATCACACCCTCCCCTCCCCTCCCAGCCCCTCCCCACCCGGCCCCTCCCCGGCTCCAGTCCACCGCGCCGGCGGCGCTGCCCGCGCCCACGCTGCCGGACCTCTCCATGGCGCTGGTGCCCATCGGCGGGCAGCTGGCGAAGGCGAAGCTCCGGGCCACTCGGAGCCGATCCGTGGAGCCCATTTGAGCCACGTGCTGAGTAACCGATTCGGGTAGATGCTTGTTGGGAAACCATTTTCCCATTTTGCTTATTGTGGTTTAGGGCACTTAACTGCTAAAATTTATGTTTTTGTTCCCCTTCCAACGTCAACCAAGGGTAGATGAAGGTTAGTAAGGGCCAGTCCCAGCCAGAAATAGTTGTGGAGATCCGCCTTCTTAATTCTTGAAGCATGGTTCTGGGATTACGACCATTCTATGGACCGAAGAAACATGTTCCACTCGTTAAATGTTAAATGGAAAATGGCCGGGCACCTGGTTGCCTAGGATCCACAGCAAATATTTGGCCGTGGGTCAACACCAATGGGATCCCATGTTGCTTGGTGACCGCCCATTTTGGAACTTATTTTTCGATTCGCCAGTGACGAACCAAAACATGCCAGGAATCTTAGTGACTTCCATTTCTGTGGGCCGAAGAAACATGGCCATTGTGGGAAATTCATCCCAGGTGAACTGCCACTTTTGGAAACATCCCAACCCCTGGTGGACTGCCACATTTGGCAACTCGAAAAAAGGGGCGACCCGCCAGCAAGAGGTTTTTTCTGTTAGGGTCCAGTTTGCAACCAACGTTTTCATTGTTTGTCTTAAGGGGTGTCCATAGCACAGGTACCCCCGTAACCTCCACATACCTGTTTTTTGTTCTTTTTTTCCTCGGTTGGTATGCTTGAAAAACACCAACATAGTCATCCATGGAACGGGGAACCGCCTTGTTTTCCTTCGCGGGTGACTTATTAAAATGTCATGAAGAAGACTAGCACTTATCCGGAGCAATAGAACAGAGGATTCTACATGGTGCCTACATTTCAGGTAGGGATGATGCTTTAAGGGGAAATATGGGGAACCCCGTTCTAATTTATGCGCACTTTGGATGAACCCGTTTGTACCGCCCTTCATTGCCAGACCAAAGGCTTAACTTTGCCTTTTATGGGTGGATGGATTGATGGATGGATGGGTTGATTGATTGGTGGATTGACTTGCCTTTATATTCCCTTTTGACCAATATACAGTCACTTTATGGGCGGAGCAGTCTGACTCAGAAGTTTGAAGGGGCACCACCCACGTTTCTCAAAACAAAGGAATCCAAGAAATGTTTATTTCCTTGTGGTTTCCTTGAAATTTCATCCAAAAGAGGTCCACCGATTTGACAAACCTCAAGCTGTCAGCGACGCAACTCTTTCGCCAGCCGCAAAATGATCAAACGACAGGATGTAGGGCCTAGGGTCTCCCTCGAGTTTGGTGAAACATGGGGCAACGTCCCATGATTCTGGGGAAGTGAACCGGCAAGAACGGTACACGTCAGGTCAAATTCCCCCTGACACAATGTCCCCCTCCCTTTGTGAGCCGGGTGACGGGTGCCCCCGTTTCCCCAGGTGGGGGCAGGGATCTTGGAAAGGATCATGTTCAAAGCGAGAGCTACCTGCACCCTGAAACCACCCATAAAACTGTTTGAAACCGCGCCACAGTCCCATGTTTAAGCGTTTGAGGGTCCGGGGAAATTATTCTGAGTGCAGCCCTGTTCGTACTTAGCTTTCACATCGAGTTGGTGGAGGGCATCCCTTAAAACACGCGGGACAGCCAAATCAGCTGGCAGACCCTTTAGTTGGTCGGAAAATCGTTGGAACCGGCAGGCCGCCAGTTTGTTGTTGACCATGTGTCCTGACAACAAACATTCATCCTGACTGCGACATCGAAGCAACGGTCAGAAAATCCGAAGCTGATGGTCTGTGAGTTCTCCCTGAGTTCCTGCCAGGCGGCACCTCAGGTGAGGCTTTCATATGGCACAGAACTCCCTTGACCCAGGGCCCTCTGAGGCTTCAGCGTCATTTTTTTTGGGGGTTGATCACTATTCCTGGGTTTCCCCCAAATGACCATGAGCAACTTGTCCCATGATCCACGGTTTTCGTCTTTTTGAGGTGTTTTTCTCCAGGGTCATCCCATGTTCATCGCACCCTTTGATCAAGCCCCATCTTCGCTTGGGATCCTGGACCTCCCCTCTTCTGCCAGCCTGGCATGGGAACTGGCGGCGGCGACGGGGCCGGGGCCCCACAGGGCCCCAGGGCCCCAGGGCCTCACACCACGGCTCCATGCCCCCAGTAGACAGCGCTTCCAGTTGCCAGCCACTTTTGCGGGTCACCAGGGCCAAGGGAAACCATGCATGGTTTCCGCCTAGAGATCATACCTTGCCTATGTTGCCCAGCCCTCTGGCGGTAGGGTACCGAGCCAGTCCTGAGGTGAGTTTAGATGGATTTCCTTGGTGTTTGATTCTGGTGATTATGTGCCATCCATTTCCCCGAAACACCCAGGGCTGGTCCTTTACTCGCTTAAGTGTTGCTGGACTTGGAAGAAAAAAAAGTTCCAGGGTGGCTCCAAGGCTTAAGGGTCATGGAGACTCCTGGCGTTTCTTTTCGGTTTCTTCCCCCTGGCTTCGTTGTTGTTTGTTCAGATCGAGAGATTTCTCTGCCTCTTTTACGGAAAGCGATTCCACCGATCCGGAAGTACGAGCGAAAGTGCCATGTAGGTCCTGTACTCGGGGATCCATTCGCAGATCTTCTGGAGCGTCAGAGACCACGTGTTATGAGTCTCAAACCTCATAGTCAGCAGGGGAAATCTACAAACCACAGGCTTGGGCGGGCATTTGCCAAACTTAGATAATTTCAGCCTGAGTTGTCCTTGGGCCCCTTGCTTGCCTCTCATGCGCATTCTCAATCTTTCATGCTACGCCAAGCATCGAAGATTGTTCTTAGCCCAGAAAGAATACCCCCACAGTTCCCAATTGACTGATGGTTCCTTGCCACTTGTCAAAACTATGCTGACGATGCACTCTTAAAGGGTGACTGCCTATGTTGTGGAGGCTTCAGTTTCTCATGGCCAGTGCACCGCATGATGTGATGAGCGCCTTACATGCCATTTAGGATTTCGTCTCAGTGTCAATGGAGCCATTGTCAATCAATGGTTTCACACTCCCTCACTGCAGCTGTAGCTTGATGAGATGAGTAATTTCGGTCGAGAACTGAGTCTTAGTTTGATTGGTTTGTTGTCCTAAACCGGAAACATCGCCGTGCACCCAAAAAGAGAAACAAAGATCAACATTGTGCGCATCCGCGACCCAGAAGTCTCTTCTATTCCTTTACGAAGAAGTTGTGAGGTTCTCCAAACAGATATTTCCTAGATTCGGGTCATTGTCCTGATTGCTCTATGTCAGTTTTAAAGCATTTATTATCTAGCTCCCCCAGTAGTGCCCTTCTCTCCCCTTTTTTGGGGGAGGGTTCCCCTACTAAAATAGACAGAAACCAAAATCGGGTACCCTTATTCTATCCCCTCTACTGGAGGACCTAGTAGTTTACTCTCATGACTAAATTGGGTTGAAAGTACCCCAGAATCACATTCCAATTCTTCGGGCCCCCAGACTCAAACCCAGGAATTTGTGAAAAGCAAGTCTCCCCAAAACTGGAGGACCTAGTTCTCACCTCCGGCAAAGTGTCCGCCTGCGGCCTGCGGCCGACTGAAAGCGGTTGAAACGAAGTTCACTGAGGGCGCATCTGGGCCAGTGGACCCGAACACACCTGGCTTTGGCTACGCCTTCATCGAGTTCGCCAACATGGAGGCGCAAGCAAGTTCGAGACGCGGAACCCAGTTTGCGAAGATATTTGCTGGAACCATCGGTGTCCTTTTTGGGTGGTTGATCCATAGGCTTTTGTGGATCCATAGGCTTTTGTTGAACCATAGGCTTTTGTTGAACCATAGGGTTTTGTGGAACCATAGGGTTTTGTGGAACCGCAGGGTTTTGTGGAACCATTGGTGTCCTTTCTGGGTGGTTGAAACTGGTTTTCGATGGCGGTGCAATCGTCTACCACGGATTATCTATTTTCCAAGGAGGACGCCTCTGTGCGGAGTAGTTTGTTGGTTGTCAACATGGGAAGACTCGTCTGACGGTCAGAATCCAGATATCGTCAAGCCCCGCTCAATGAATCGCTCGAAATGTTTCTTATTTGTTGAAATGCCACTACACAGCTGTTTCTATGTCAAAACCAACTGCACAACAGCAACCCTCCAGAGCTAGCCCCATGTGTGTGTGTGTGTGTGTTTCCCCAGATAGGGGGCCAAAAAAGAATGTAAACACCAAATCAAAACGAAATCCTTGGGTTTCCCTTTGAAACAATCCCAATTTCGCTTGTTTTCCCCGCGGCTCAAAGCGTACGGAGTTAACAGCTTGAACGCTCCAAGATGCATTCCTTTTTAGGTCTGGTTTAGATTGATTTGATACTCCATTCACCAGGGAAGGCCATCTAGTTTTCCATTATATGGTCACCTATGTCAAGATGTGTTCCACTGTCAAACCAGGCGGGGAGCATTGCGTAAGGGCCAAACGGTTACTAGTGGTATTGACTAAGATTGGCTTCAAGTACCACGCCCCTCATTCTAAAAAATAATGGCGCTTGTAGGTATGCGACTCCTGCAGTTTGCCTGGAGTGATGGTTTTGGGCAGCGAAACTCATCGGGGTTTTATTATCGCTTCAATTTCCCTTTCTGGGGAAGACACCATAAATAGAGTTGGGGAGTTGGGGAGCAGCACCATAGATTGATCTGCCTGATAGACTCTGGGGAGTGGGTCCATTTGAGTGACATCCTCAAAATTGCCCTCAATGTGATTGTTTGTTTGTACGGGGTTGCCCACCAAGTTCCAAACCATTCTTTGATGGGCAAATTACAGTGCACAAACCGAAGAACATCGCAGTCTCGCCTACTTTGGCTGCTATTTGCTGGGATCTGTAGCTTTTAACTTTTAGGGAACATGTGTGTTTTCCCCCTAACCAGCGACAGACAAGACAGCTTTTTGCACGAACGACACACCCGAATAGGAGCTCCTCCAAATGTTCACTTGACCCAGTGTTTGGACTTTTCTGAGTGGGATCCTTTTGGACGATCCCACTTAATCGGACAGGCTAGGGAAAACCGTGAGGACAAAGGGTTCGTGTTTTTCAAAGTCGGTCGCCCAGGTTACAACCCACCAAAAATAGTCCCACCAATTGGAGGTGGAGTTCAGCCTGTTATCCTTACCCACATTCCCCGTGTGGAGGTGACTCTACTAGCCCCGGATGGCTCACTGGCAACGAACCTCCAAGTACCCCGACCGAACGCGGCACCGGCCAGGGCAGCTCCAAGGCGAAGAAGGCCCTCAACGGCCGTCGCTTCGGGCGCGGACCCTCGGGCTCGGATCGGCTGCGTGGGTGGTTTGGGTGGATGGGAAAGACAGACACCCGTTTGGTCATTGTTTTCTGTTTTGTCTCCCGTTTTGTATTATTTTCTCTTTTTTTTTGTGAAACTATTTGTAGTTTGACTAGTTTTGGTCAATGCACTCAGGAGATGACGTATACTTGTCCTTTTAAGCCCCACGGCTTCACAACGGAGGGCTCCTGGCAAGCCTTGCCGACTAGGGAAAGCGGCTGCCACGGAAGACTCGTGAGATGGGTCCATGCTCATGGAGTTGATGCTGTGAGATATTGCCCCGCGTTTATGGAGTTGTGTCCCGTTTTGGGGAATTAATGGAAAGCCACCATTTTGGAAGGTTCCCTCTTCAAAGACCCACCCATATCCCAAAGGCGGTTCCATGTTGGCGAATGAGCCGACCTTCCCGGCATGGTGTCGAGCTTGGAGATCGGTTTTTGTGACCCACATCATGGTTTGAACATGGGCCTGTCTCCAAATGGGGAGGGTTTCAACACCAGTGGTATCCCCTCGGTGTCCCCGAACCAAACGACCCTGGCACCGTCAAGCTAAGAAGCACCCTCAGGTTTCGAAGGCTTTGAAAGCCGGGTGCCTGGTGTTCTGCTCTGACGTTCAAAGGGTGGAACCGCCTCAAAGTGGCTGTTGGACAAGAAAGCCCCCTGCAAATGATGCCCACGAGAGGGGTTCTCAAAATATAGGTCGGGTGGACCCAAATTTTGGATGGTTTGAAAGGGAAACCAAATAGGAAACCAACCAATTTCGGGCACCAACTAGTATTTTGAGAAGCACTCATCAAAGTTTCCAACAGGCTGCAAGTAATCATACCCAGTCCTGTGAGTTTTGCGTAGCCTCTCCGCCATCACTTTCCACCGTTGAATATTTCATTGGAGGGTGCTTTTGGTAAGCAGCATTCTTGGATGCTCCTTTCAGCTTGGTGAATGACTTGGGAAGGGAATGACACCCAATTAAAAACAAGGAAAGAAAACGTGGTGGTTTCCTTTAAGGCGATGCCTGGGCTCATTCCCAAACCCAGCAACACATGGTGAATCACATCGGATAAGCCCCGCATCAAAATGGCCCTCACAGAACCAACTTGATGGACCCCATTTTTTATCCACATCTACGGCAAGCGAATTCATGGGATTTTTGTACCTGTGCCGCTGGAACGCCGCGGGATGACATTGACGCGCCTGCAGCCTGCGCAGGTCGCCACAGGTCGTGTTGTTTGAAATATTTCTGCGGGATGAATGGACCCTCCCCTTTTCATAGACCCCATTCGCATAAAGTGTCACAAGTTCGTAGGTGGTTCGCCGCCTGGGTGAGAACCCATACATACCAGGGTTAAGTCCACTGTGCCACTGAAGGTGGGACGTATAAATGGGCTACCTAGGTTACCAACAACTTACTTGGCCGAACATCCAGGTACACGGCTGTGAAAATCAATGGCTCGAGCGCGCTCAAGATGGCAGACAAACATATCCACCTAAATCATGTCCAGTCACGGGTTTCTCGAAATATGGTGGACCTTATTTACAGGGACACCGAAAGGAAACCAACCACTCTAGGGGACCTTTCCCTACTTTGAGAGAAACACCCACCAAACGTACCCCAATTCAAGTTGATTCCCAAATGTCACAAAAGAGGTTTTTGCAACAACCATTTTTTTAAAAGGAATAATAAACACCGGGTTGGGTTCTTATAAACACCAAAATAGGTTTGTAAAAAAAAAAAAAAAAACGGCTCCGTCGCACTCAGCGGCCATCTGTTTGCACCAAAGTGATCGCCAGGGCCAACGTAGTGGAGGCGGAGCCGGCGCCTTACTCCCCGCGCCGGAAAAAGTGGGATTGAGTGCGTGGTGTTGTGAACCCACTTCCCGAAAAGGGCCCCAAGAGGTATTTGGCTCCCAGAAAAAAAACTGGCAATTGGTATTCGAGTGTGTTGATGTTTTTGTGTCCCCTACAAACAGGCAACTGATAAGGCAGGGATGGGAAGTCTTCTCTGTTGCCCAGTGGGTTGCTTCCCTTTTTCAACTTTTTTTGAGTAAGGGTTCCGATTCCTTTAAACTCAACCAACAAAAAAAGGCGCCCTTTCGTTTCCCATGCAAATCCACTGCGCATGTTGGGCTGGGAATTCAAGAAACTTGCAGAGGTTGTTGTGGGAGACAGTATTTGTTTCGACTTGTGAAGGACGAGTTAGCAGGGATGTGGGCGAATTTTGCACAGAACCATAGATGTGTCCATGCCCTAGGATCTCCTTCAATTTGACGCAGAATCTAAACAAATGGTTTTCTGCGTTCCCCAAATTCCAAAATGTTTTGGGGATTCCCACCCTGGACCTGGTCTTCACTTGACTAGTTCATTCTGGTGCGGAAGCAGAGAGCAGATTGGCTGTTGATGTGTTCGAGAGATGGTCTGGGCCGGGTGTTCGAGGGAACCCTTTTTAGATTTGGGTTTAAGAGGAAAGCACAAAGAACTCGCCAATCTGAAAAACACATGGAACCCTCAAGGAACCATGAGGGGTGAAACAACATGTCCACACATCCACACCTTTGCATCCATCGCTTTCCGGGTGTTACATAGGGGGTCTGATGACATCCGAAACGTCTCTATGTTGGTTCCCTATGGGGGAACTTGACCCATGGCGTTTCTCCTTCCTGTTTCGACCATTCCAGTTCCAATCAAGGGAATCACCCGTGAACCCATGAAACCCGGACCCAATGAGCAGGTGGCTTGTGTGGTGAGCAAGACCCGAGGTTCTTCTCAGAAGACAAGTACTATGCCAAGGACTTCCTGAGGCCCAGACCGACCCCCCCCCCCACGTGGGCTTCGAGGCCTTGCGGCCCTTTTCTAGGCCCCCCAGCCAGGTGCCCTTTTACCCTTCTCTCCCGTTTCTTTTTTGGTTGGGAGGGTTCCCCTAAAATCGACTACAAAAAAGAATCAGGTGCCCTTTTTCCAACCCCTCTACTGGAGGACCTAGTTGTGTTTGCAGGGCTTTCCCTGAGTCGGAGGCGGTTCTCCATCAAGCTCTCGATCCGGAACCGGATTTCCTTGCTGATGGCGATGTAATTTTACTGGGGGTAAAGCGGAGGTAGAACTAGCAAAGCTGTTCTTGGGTCCCATTCTGTTTCGTGTTGGAACTATTATATTTGCGTTGTTTACTCAACAGCTGGAAGCCATGGGGTCTCTGCCCAGATGAGCTCTGGGGCAGCTTTCAGAAGGAGGGTTCGCTTAGGTTGCACAAGGTTCCGGCTGTTGGGGATGGGCCTGGTTTGCATCTGGTGGTTTCTCCTGGTCACCTGCGAAACGCCGATGGGAACGCCGATGGCTTGATGTGGGGTTGGAGTCAGAGGCTAGGCCTCTTGAGAGGCAATCTGCAAGGTCCTTAAGGCTACGAAATGCTCGTTGCTTGCCCTGTCGTGGTCTTCAGGGATTCTGCACAATGGGATTGGTGAAGACTTCGTTTTGAACAGCCCACACATCGGTTCCCTAGGTACATCGGGATTTGGGTGCTTCCTAGTTTGCACTGATTTGCCTGCCTTTTGTGTTGTGTGACAAAGTTGCTGAAGCCACACAGAGGCTTTTGGTTTTTCAGTTCTTGCAATGGTGGCCCATCCCCTTGCCATAGTTTAGCCAGATATAGTTGCCCATAGAGTTCGGGTTTGCGAGTGACTCATGCAGCTTCCTTTCTCATCCGAGGGACCCCGAACATGTTTTTTGAAGTCTTTGAGAGTCTTCCTTGCCCTCCCGCTTCCAGCTACCGGCTAGTAGGTTTATCAGGGGAGGCCATTGTGTAAAACCTTGAGGTAAGCATACCGAAGGGTTGCCTACTATACTGGCAACTGGAAGCAGTGGGCCTGAAATTTCGGGTCCAAGGGGCTTTTGGGGTTGGGACCTTTCCCATAAATGCTAGTGGCACAACCTAGCTCGGTTTTACATCTGGCACAGCAGTACGGGTGCTTGTTAAGGGGGAACCCCAAAGTAGGATGTTTTCCTTGAGGTTCGTTTCTGGCTGTTTCCTTTCGATTTCCTGTTGTAGGCACCGCCAGAAAGGTCCTCCGTTTTGAACCCCCCCCCCCAATCCGCCAACGGGGTGGCCATGGGCGTTCGCAGGCCCACGCCGAACATCGACGAGCCCAAGAAAGAGATTGGTATGGAGCTCGCGCTCGTGGGAGCCACTCCGGCGATGGAGTTTGGGTCTTCACCCGGCTTTAGGACAGACCGAGCAGTGGGCGACCCCGGTTTTTTCAACCCCAAACCTGTTTTGTGATCATTGCTTACCTGGTTTCTGGGCCAAACAAAGGGTCTGGGGGGTGGAAAAACATGCTCCTGCCCCCCAGCCACACTTGCTTCCATTGACCCATGCCCGCTTTGACTCCAAAGGTTTGTCCCTCTCTCTCTCTCTCCCTGGAGTTGGCTCGCGGCGTTGCTTTTTGTAACCTGTAGCTGTCTCCAGCTCTCGCAGTGATGGGACGCGTTCGCAAGGTCACGGGTCAAGATGTGATGGGCGAGGCTGAGTTTGCTGAATGGTGGAGTAGGTGGGGTGCTGGCCACCTGGGTGAGGTGTTCATTGATGTGCTCAGGCGTCATTTGGCTGGGCAGCTGCAGGTGAAGAATTTCAGGCAGCTGGCGCTGGTGCGCGGTGATGAATTGCTTTCAGCAGACAGCCATTGGATCGATGCAGACCTGGTGGTTGTGATCCGGCCGTACGTAACAGATACTGATGGCGGGGCAGCACTGGTGGAGGCGGCTCTGAGTGGGGACCTTGCTGGAGTTGTGAACCTCCTGGACAGGCCTTTGGACCCGGACACCAGAGCAGATTACCCATGTGAAGATGACTTAGACGATGGCCCTACAGTGAGGGGAACACCCCTGCAGTTGGCTGTCGAGAGCGGCCATCAGCAAGTTGTGCATTGCTTGCTGCAAGCCGGCGCTGACAAGGACAAGATTGACGATTGTGGAAGGGTTCCTTTGCATGTAGCTGCCCAGATCGGCCACGAGCAAATTGTGCATTGCTTGCTGCAAGCCGGCGCTGACAAGGACAAGGCCGACAGTTGTGGAAGGTCTCCCGTGCACATAGCTGCCCAGTTTGGCCATTATCAAATTGTGCATTGCTTGATCCTTGTTGATGCTGACAATGACGAGACCGACAATTACGGAAGCCCCCGTGCCGAGAATAGCTGCCCAGACCGGCCATCGGCAAGCTGTGCATTGGTTGCCGCAAGCCTGCGCTGACAAGGACAAGGCCGACAGTAATGGAAGGTCTCCTGTGCATAGAGCTGCCCATGACAATGACGAGGCCGACAACTATGGCAGACCCCCTGCCCCTCGGCATGTAGCTGCCGAGAATAGCTGCCCAGACCGGCCATCGGCACGCTGTGCATTGCTTGCCGCAAGCCTGCGCTGACAAGGACAAGGCCGACAGTAATGGAAGGGCTCCTCTGCATGCATCGGCAAGCTGTATGCATGCTGCCGTGTAGATTCACTTTGCTTCACGCAGTAGCGCTCCGCTTCCATTCACTTTTGCCGAGCATGAGCATCAACTACACCAGAGCCGCCTTTGAAGTTGGAAGTCTCTGTGTTTGACGAAAAGAGGGGTTGGGGTATAGAAGCAAAAGCACGCAGCGACGTCGTCCCATTGTGCGGCAGTGGGAAAGGAGGTATATAAGGTCGATAAGATGACAGAATTGAAGGTCCAATTATGAGGAATCTTTTTACACTAGCGGACTTTGTTTAGTTTGCCCTGGCATTTCAAGGGTGCAACAATGAGTTTTCCATTGACACGACTGTGGTTTCGTTCTCAATAGAAAGGACGGCGACATCAAGGTTCCGTTTTGTGAGGCTGCAAGCTGGCTGTCCCCAAAAGCGTCATTCGAATCTCAGGGCGTCTCTACCTTTGTCTGTTCAGGTCAATGAAACTGCGTGTAATCAAAGAGTCAAGGCGAGTGCTGGGGAGGAGGTGACCAAACTCACTTCCTGAGTTGCTGTACCGTTTTGTTGTTCTTCTTTAGATTGGCATAGAGGTAAATACGAAGTGTGGATGTTTTGGCCAGTTGACCCAAGGGAGAAAGAGAAAACCCCATTGTCTTACTTAGCACTTGACTCAATTCTGAGCTTGCTTGACTTGAACCTAGAGTTGATTGCCATGAGAGCCCTCTCTTTTCCCATCGGTTTCCGAATGAAGGGCCCCCATCTCCCCCCAAACTCCGGGCAAGAAACAACGAAGACGGTGGCCACCCAAAAGCCCGTTTTTTCTTTTCTTCATCTAGATCCCCCAGCTAGGTGCCCTTTCTCACCCCTTTTTCTGGTTGGGAGGGTCCCCTACTAAAACAGACTACAGAATAAAGTTGGTGCCCTTGTCACCTGTTTTTGGGGGAGGGTTCCCCTACTAAATACAGACTACAGAAAAAAGAAGAAGAAAAAGAACGGGTACCAACTTCTTCTAAGCTCCAAAACTGGAGGACCTAGTCATGAGGGAATTTCGCCAGGGGGGCGACGCCTTGGACGAGGCTCCGGCCGGAAGCCCAGCAATTTTCGGGCCATGTTCGGCGCGGTCTTGGCGAAAGAACTCGACGTAGCACGCACTCAGTGAATTGTGGTTCATCACTATTTTTCTCTGCGAATCTCGGTGAATGAGGTTGTTAAGCCATTTGGTTCATAGCTACTCAATTACAAATTATGTGGTGCATCACTGAATTACCTATTGTGTATATATATATATATGGGAAACTATATCCAGGTGGTGGTCATAGTAAGATCATATGGGTTATAGTTGCTGCTATCCAGCTCTCCCTGGTTTCGTACGGGCTTTGGGATGCTTTAGGGCTACTTGAGCCCTGGAGTGTCCGTTTGACCATGTGAATACCCCATCTTGGTGTGTCCCAAAAAGGGAACCCCCCAAAATGGAAGATGACGTTCTTTGCGAGGGGTTGCTCATTTTGTGCAAAGGTCATGCAGAGTCGCACCAAATCGATTGATTCCCTTGTTCATGACGGGTCTTTGGCAGAGTCTTGGGCGTCACCAAACCTGCAACAGGCTAGACCTGTCGAAGGGAAGAGCAACCCAGTATTGATCTATAGGAATAGGCGGTCACTTGCAAAATAGATTGTGGACTTCTCGAAACGGACCGAACGGTCGGAGGTTTTGCCATAATTTCGCGAAAGTTAAAAGGTTGGCCTGAAAAAAGAGTGAAACAACAAGCACCGACACAAACCAATCACACACACAGACACACACACAAACACACAAAGAGACACACACAGACACACACACACAGACACACACACAGACACACACAGACACACACAGACACACACAGATACACACACACACACACACAGACACACACACACACACAGACACACGCACAGACACACACACACAGACACACACACACACACACACACAAAGAGACACACACAAAGAGACACACACAGACACACACAGACACACACACAGACACACACAGACACACACACACAGACACACACACAGACACACACACACAGACACACACACACACAGACACACACAGACACACACAGACGACACAAACACACAGACACAGACACAGACACAGACACAGACACAGACACAGACACAGACACAGACACAGACACAGACACAGACACAGACACAGACACAGACACAGACACAGACACAGACACAGACACAGACACAGACACAGACACAGACACAGACACAGACACAGACACAGACACAGACACAGACACAGACACAGACACAGACACAGACACAGACACAGACACAGACACAGACACAGACACAGACACAGACACAGACACACACACACCCACCCACCCACCCACCCACCCACCCACCCACCCACCCACCCACCCACCCACCCACCCACCCACACCCACACCCACACACACACACACACCCACACCCACACCCACACCCACACCCACACCCACACCAACACCCACACACCAACCCACCCACGCGCGCACGCACGCACGCACGCACGCACGCACGCACGCGCGCACGCACCCACACACACACACACACACACACACACCGCGCGCGCACCAGTTTGTGTTGAAGCTGCCCTTTGGCAGGTGACACCAAAAGTGGAATATATACAGCATTCTGGTTTGTCAAGGTTCAGGAAACCCTTGTTTAGGGTTGGCTTAAAGGGAAACCAAAGCGGAAGATACCCCAGAACGGGTGAACCGTCAACATGGGCAATGTGTTATGGATAGTCCTTTCGGGTGCAGGCGGCATTAAGTTTAAAGGGCTTGTTTCCAAGGCTGTCGCAGAGGCCTCAAACCGCGTTTTTTTTATTCTTCTTCTTTTTCTCAAAGCGTTCTCCAAAATGCGGCGTGGAAGATGTAGCCCAGACCTCCATTTATGGGTGCTCGCCCTTTGTTCAACTTGTTTTTGGAGGGGCGCTTGCCCCTTTACATGGTTGTTGTTGGGAAACATTTTACATTGCTGATTGTGGTTTAGTGGGGAATCCCCCTTAACTGCTAAAATTTAGATTTTTGCTCCCCTTCCAACGTCAACCAAGTTTAAAAACCAGAAAGAAAAGAGTGCCCATGGCTAGTAGGGGTCTTTTTGCTACCCTTGCTTACCTATAGCTGGGATGGGAATGCTTCCTGGAGTTTAGACCAAGGGAACCGCCATTTTTAAATGTGAAAGCGGAAAATTTGCTTGTTACATAGACCCTCACATTACCGTGAAGTGCTTTTGCCCTTAACCTTTGTTGTGATATCCCATGTTGGGTAGTTCGGGGGTCCAGGTGCCGATTTTACTGCCTGGGCTAAAGGGGGGCCTGGCCGCGCCTTTTTTTTCCGGCTTCGACTGTGGCTCGTTGGTTTTTAGGAGTTGAAGACTCGCAAGTTGCGGGGGCTTATGTATAGATAAACAACTTACGTGCATGTATAAGACACATGTATGCATTACGATTGTTAGGTTTACTGAATATGGACCTAATCAAACACGTGGGTGTTTATTAAAGTCGGAGACCCGCAGAACGGGTTGCTTTCTCTGGTTTTCCTTTAAAACCACCTCAAAAGGGGTCCACTATTTTGAGAAGCCCCCATATTATTTCGTAGACTTTCAAGCTGAGTACATGTGGGTCGCCCCCTTTGGGTGAGTTGTAATCGGAAGCAAATGCAAACGAGCCAGTTTTTGGAGGCTTCCAATTTAAGAGGACTCTCACTTGGTTTTGCATGTTGGTGTTTGGCTTTGTGATCTTGTCCTGCTTGTGCATGCGAGTACACAGCTCCGATATTTTTCTAGGAACCTCAGAAGCGGCTGGGCTGGACATGTATCCCCGGGTAAATGATGTGCCAAAACGCCCCCCAAGTAGAACTTACGCCCTGGGTGTGTCCCAAAAAGACTGTCGCTTTTGGTTTCCCTTGAAACCCAACCTGGCGAGGGAAAAGATCCCACATACAGATTGATGTGGCTTGCTACCAAGGTCATGGTGGAGTGATTTTCCCTCGTGCCGTTGCCTCAAGCTGCTGTGGATCTGAGCACCATATGGGTATGTGCGAAAATAAGGGACTAGTATACCCATATGCGAACTCGGCCACCAAACCTTTGAACTTCCTACACCAAACCCAGGCTCCGGCATTGTCCCATGTCAACCCAAGTCAAACCGAACCTTTTGAGCTTCGGGGCGCCCAGTTTCGATCCAGTCGTGAAGGTTCCAAACAGTTCACCTGTTCCTGGGTCGTTTGGGGAAGGGAGTATCAAGCCTGGCAAGTCCGATTGCGTGCTAAGGAAATTGAATGCAATGGCATGCTAGAAGAGCCTTGGAAAAAGGACGTGAGGCCTTCTTTGCATTTTGTGTGGTGGGATCTTCACAAACATTGTTTTTAACAACAGCTGTCCCCTCTGAGTGGCATTTTTGTGGAAGGGTCTTTGAAAACAGACATGTTTTGTGTGAGAAGATATGTGAATTGTTTGGGGAATTGCCTTTGAAAAAGATATGCTTTGTGTGATAAGATAAACATGTGTGTTTTGTGTGAGAAGATATGTGTTTTTTGTGGAATAATCTTTGCACAAATAAGTGTTAAATGCGAGAATATGTTGTTGTTTTTTGAATAATATTTGTAAACTATTGGTTTGTGTGAGGTGATATCTGCATTTTCTGTGGGACAATCTTTGAATGAGATATGTGCTGTATGAGGCTTTATTAGCATTTTCCACCCAACCACCCACCCACCCAACCCACGCCCGCCCACCCGCCCAACCACCGTGGGACGGGGGCTGGGCGGGACAGCGGGGGAGGGGGGGGTGCTGCTTTGGCACAAGCTGCAAGCTCAAACTTGGTTTGTTTGTTTTTTTTGCTTTCTTTTACCCCACCCACACCACCCCGCCATACCCCAGAGAAAGACTGAAAAAGAAAGAGAAAGAGACAGAAACAGAAAGAATGAGAAAGAATGAGAGAGAAAGAGAAAAAGAAAGAGAGAAAGAGCAAGAGAAAGAGAAAGAAAGAGAAAGAAAAAGATCATGACAAAGAGAAATAAAGAGAGACAGGAGGGCGAACGGACCAAAGTCTACTCAACTGACCCTGGCTAAGGATGATTCTGATGATGATGATGATGATGATGAGCTTGTTTGCCTTGGCCAACCTTGCAACAGTTTTCTTTGGCTGATGTTTCTTCTTGCGTTTTACCGCAGGTGAATGATTGCGCCCTACCGGACTGGGCCCATGAAAATTCCGCGCACACTGAGATGGAGTGTATGGCCCTACGGATTCCTTTTGCAGAGGCATACCAAAACCTGTCACTTGGAGGTGTTTGGAACACATCGCTCGCTCTGTGACCAAGGTGGCGAGAGAAGAAGTTATGGGTCTCGGGCCGCGGAAGTTTTCACATGCGCTATATCCACCAGAGCATTTATCCAGCGGAATGTTCGATTCTGCGCAGAAATTTGTCCATGTTCTATATTGGTGATGTTTGGATTGGAGCGATGACCAACACCTTTGGTCATCCAGGTTTTGGTGCCCAGATGGGGTGACGTGATTGGCTTGAGCCAAGTTGAAGGAATACGGTGGAAGTGAGCATAATGAGTCAAGAGGCTTCAGACCATGCATTGAATTGCATGCAATGATCGAGAAACTGTTCGGGCGCCGGCCGCCGGAGGAGAAAGAGGCGCTTCTTTGTTGCCATACCGATACTTAGCGGCGACCGCCAGATGGCCCAAGTGAGCCAGTTTCTTGTTCTGTGTTGTTGGGTTGGTTTTGTTGACTTTGCTCTGTTTTTGTTGCTTTGTTGCTTGTGTTGGTGTGTTTCTTTCTCCCATGCAAGGCAATGTTTCGCTCGGTCCGCCTTTGTTACTGCTGAGTTCCTGAACTTTAATGATACCTTTTTGTCTGGGCACACCGATTGAGTTGCAAACAACAAGTTTGGACTTGTGTTGGCCAAGCCACTGTACTATTTATTTGCAGAAGCTTGGGTGTTTTTTAATGGTTTCCCTGTTGGGTTTTGATCATGACTGGTATATATGCTTTATGATTTCGAAATCCCAAATCGCGAACGAGGATAGATTGGAGTATCATGTCAAGCATTTCATAAGCAGCCTTGTCCTCAATCTTTCCAGGTGCATCCGGTGCATTTTGATCATTTTTTCCCAAAGGGGCTTGACTACTTTTTGGTTAATCGGAAGGCTCACAACGGACTCGTCATTGTCTTCTTCCACCGGCCGTTGGCTTTCAGCGAAGATTTCGCAAGCGTCGGGTGCACCTCCCTGCAGGTGTGGGAAGGGAGCTTCTCTGTGGTTATTTTCGCGATGCTCCGGTTTTTGGTTGGGTTGCCCCAAGGGCGTGTTGATCTCCCCACAAAATGGGATAAGTACTGTATGAGGTGAGCAAAGTTGATCAAAGAAGAAGGAACCTCTCTTCAAATGGTTGGTTTCGAGATGGTTCACTGAAAATGGAAAGGTTTTTGCTCCGCAAAGCCAAACTGCTGCGCAGCCTCCGCTTGAACCTGCAAGTGTATAGATGTGTACAGGCCCCAGACAACAACCCGCTCACAGCTCAACTGGTTATGGTTGGCCATTTCTACTTTCCCATCCACCCTTCGCGGGGTGCCTTGAAGGACCATTTTCCTTTGCAAGGAACCCTTTGCTGGGTTCCATGCTTGTCGATGCCTCACATTCGGGGAACCATCCCGAAATGGATGTTTCTCAAAATGGAGAACCCCGTTTGGGTGGTGTTTACAGAGGAATCAGAGCAAAGCCAAATGCAGGGGGCCACAATGTTGCGAAACCCGCATATGGTAGGTAAGCCATGGAGCCACCCAGTTCCCCACGTACAGTGGTGATTGGGATTGGGGCAAAAAACCGATGGCGCAGCTCCGCTGTGTTAAAACGAGACCCCGTGGCGGTGTCCTTCCGGTGTCCTAACCCAAACCACCCGAAACCCTCATTGGCCGTTGTCGCGGCGGGTTTCTCTTTTTTTTCGGCGCTGGCGCGTCGCATCGCGTCGCCGTGTTTTGGGCGTTGGCCAGGGCAAAGTGGGCGGGGCGGCCATGCACGCCGGGTGCCGGCCTGAAGCTGTCGACGTGATTTGGGCCCATTTGAATCGCGACCTCAGCGGGCCTAACGTTTGGAACGGATTTTTGGACGGACAACTTTTCGGGAAGTTGGATTTTTCATTGGACCCACAAAAGTTACGCTTTTTGCAGAGGGGTCAACAGCAACCAAGTTGTGGAGATCCCTTGCCCCCTCCAATGGAGGGTCCTTTCAGCTTAGGACCTGCTAAGTTCATGGCATCCATTGGAGCCTTGTGGATGAGAACCAGCTTAGCCCAATGCCCATTGAAAAAGACAATGCATGTGGCTCTCAAAAGCTGGCGCACCCTTCGGCGAGTTGCATGTCCGTGAACAACCTTCTGTAGATTTCTTTGGATAACAATTGGGCATCAATTGTTGGTAGTTGTTTCTCCAGATGGACCCCTTTTGGCATTTGAAGCCAAATGGGCTCGGACCATTTCTCCAATTTTTGAGAAAACCCTTACCTGGTATCTGACCGTTAACACAGATGGGATGACCCCTTGCTTTTGGGTGGTGACCGCTTCCTTCAGTCAAAACGACACTCTTGGCACCTTTTCAGGTTCTTTTGCGCGTTGGGTTTCATTCGAAGTTGACAAACGAGATGCATATTTTGGCGGGCAAAAGGCAGCCGGGAAGGGCCCCTTTTCTGTGATTGTTTGTGATTCCGCCTAAACTCATCAATTGACACAGCAACCCATGGACCCATGACACTTCCAAAGAAGAAACACAGCCCAACGACAATGGTTTTGTGTTTACAAAAGAAAACAGCCGCGCATATCAAACCACCTACTGGGGTATTCAAGCTTCTTTTAGTAAATGGTTATAACCAGGGGGCAGTTGCCCCAGTTATAGTTATACGGGCTTCTTGGTTGAGGATACCCATTTGTTTGGTTTCAAAAGGAAACCGAAAAAGGATCACCCACATCTTCTTCTTTTTTCTTCGGGGGGGGGGGGAGGGTGGAAGGTGGCCTCCTCTAAAATTCGAGACATGCCCATATCCACGGGTTATATCCTACTTGCCCAGTTGCTCGGTTCCATCGCGAAACGAAGCCGCGGATCACCGACTTCGATGCACTCCAAGGCTTCTGAGCCTCGTGGCGCTGGCGGTACTGGGCTCGGGAGTGAGTCGGGAGGAGCCACACGGTGATCTTCCAGGTCCCCCCAGCCAGGTGCCCTTGTACCGTTTCTTTTTTGGTTGGGAGGGTTCCCCTACTAAAATAGACTACAGCAAAAAGTTGGTACCCTTCTTCTAACCTCTCTACTGGAGGACCTAGTCTTGCTGGTGCTCAGGGTAGGGATTCCCGAAGAAAGGAAATTAGATGGGATGGTCTTTTTTTGGGGTCATTCCATTTCTCATTCCATTTCTCATTCCCTGTTGGGCACCGGCAAGTTATTTACTTGCTGGTTCTCAGGGAATGCCCCATAGTTTTGGGAATGAGCCCTGGAGATTTTCTTGCAAGGAAAACTGTAAGGGATTGGTTAGAGGGGTTATTCCCTCAGTCCCTGCTGAGAGCAAGTTTAGGCACACCCCTCAAAGTTGTACTTGGTGTTTGATATGGTGCCCCTCAACAAAAACAGGGTCTCCAAAAGTATGTCAAATGGTAGGGTAGACCATGTATGAAACAGGGTCAGACAAACTGTTTTGCTGATTACCCCTGTATATGGCTATGAATTTCAACAGCGAACCACCTCACAAGTTGTGGGTGGACTCAATCCCTACCGAATTGTCGAAATTCATACTTCCATCAACTGCACTTGTTTTCGTTCCATTGCCACTGGAAGTCTGGGTTGTTTCAAAAAAGGCATGTCTTTTCTTTATTGGACCCTCTTGTGATGAATTGAAGATCGCAATGCCATCGTGCAAGGATTTGGGCTGTTTAAAGGCAATCCTGAACCCTTGTATACATGTATTTATATATGTATAATATACACGAAAAGAGTTTGTAGTGGTTTCCCAGGATTATGGAATTGGATTTGCCAGCACTCCGTTTTGAACAGCCCAGATAAACTGACATCAATTTCTTCCCAACGACACTGGAGGTCCGGAAAAGCGGCATGTTTTTTGCTGGACCCTTTGGTGACACCCGTGGGTGTGTTCCATTGTGATCGCATAGGTAACCGAGGGGTTTCCCACTGGTGGAAAACAAGAAGCGGATCGAACGGTTGCCTATTGCCGGGATCCAATGGTTTGGAGTTTGTGTTTGAGTTCACCCATTTGGTGCGTATAAGGGACACCAAAGAGAAAACCACGGGATTTGAGAAAGACCCGGATGGATATCTCAAACTTTAAGCTTTTGTGGGACGATCATTTGGGTGGTAAACACTAAGTTTGGACCTTTTTCGGCCAATCACCTCAGAAAGTGACGAGACTTTTCAAAGCGAACGCCCTTGGGTGGGATTTGAACAACCCTTTTCCTTTAGGTTCCGCCAAAGCTCCGCAATGGCTCTGTGAAAGGATTCCCTCCTATTTGAGCAAACCGGCCGAGAAAACTCCGCGAAAGCGATCCTTAGATAACGCATGCCCGCAAAAGTGAAACGTGTGGCCGCGAAGGGCAGCCCCAAAACGCACTGTACCTGGACCCTCAACTCAAGTTTCAATCATGGGGTCTTGCCATCCAACATGCTGTTATATGGTGGAAGTCCAATTCTCAGAGGTAGCTTGAGGGTTTTCTTTGCACTCCCCTGCGATTTGTTCTTGAGGTCGCCTCGCCAGCACCTTGCCATGATGAAGCCAGTTGTAAGGCCCGGGAATGCTGGAAGTGCTTCCAGGGAAGGGAGCCTTCATCATGTATGTCGTTATAATCAGCACACCTCCCTGTACCGCAATTCCAGTGGTTTCGGGCGCTCTAGAGGTAATTCTGGCACAATGGCAAGTGGACTTGTTTGCATCGTGGATCGTAGGCAGCCAGGGGAATCCACTGTAGTCCTACCAGTGAGGTGGCTGTGGGTCAAAACCAATGGTACCATTTTGGGGTGGGTGCAGCACCCATTTTAGTCTTCGCGGGGATTGGGATGTTCAGTGGGAAGTACGGGATTTTGACCCATGGCCAGGTGGCAAACTTCAAGCTTTTGGCTGGCTGGCTTCTTCACTGTTTCAGTCAAGACCCAAGAAGGTGGAACTTTCTTTGGCCTGTCGACTCGGCAGCTCAGTAGGTAACCAGGGAAACTATGTAACCAGGGAAACTATGCGTGGTTAAGCCCTGAAGCATCTTGAATTCGGCAGACCTTGTTCCCTGCGAGAAAAAAAAGGAATGAAATGATTGGGCAAGTTGTTCAAGATGGTCAGCCTCCAAAAGGATTATTCTGATTTTCTAGCAGAACAACCGGCAACTGAGCATAGCCATAAGATAGAGAGGGTACCTAAGGATAGGAACTTTCCATGTTGAGCAAGGAACCAAGTGTTTGTTCAATTTGGTTTGCTGCAGGTGTCGTTGCAGATTGTTGCATGTTTCTCGTTAAAGGAAGTGTCTTAGTTGAAAAAGCGCCCTCGATCTTCGAATGGTCATCAACCGAGTACGGAACTTAGACAATGGCATTTCTACCGTTTTAAAGGAAGGAACCTGCACAGGAGTTTTGACTATGGCACGTTTGTGGAATCCCAAAAAATGAGGCAGGGCGATGTTTCTCAGTTGCTACGACTGGGCGGGACGACAAGAGGTCTTCACGGACAACATGGTTGGAGATTCCCAGGGCTTCCAATTACCACTCTAGTAGCTAATCAGGCATGTTCACCTCAAGATGTTGCATGATACCAACTAGCTGCACTGCCTGCAAGCAAAAAAAGACAATGAGTTAGGGGAGAGGGGGATTTCGGATTCCGCCAGTCAGAGCTTCTTTCTTCTATTCTTGTTTCCCTCTGGGACTCGACAAAATGAAACAGTGGGACCCCCTACCGCCGCCGAAAAGGTAGGGGGGGTGTTGGAGGGAGGCCAATCGAATAAACTCATGTGGGTGTGGCTCAAAATGAAAGACCTAGGGTTACGCAGGTTTGGGTCGTTGGTTTCATTTACCAAGGTGCCATTTTGGTGTTTTTTTTTGCGCCACAGCCATGTATCCCAGTGGATCCCGAAGCTTTTTGTCTGTGCTGTTTCCTCTTTGTCGGGGACATCAAACAGTGAAATCAAACAGTGAAATCTTCCATGGAGAAGAGGCAAAAGACGGCGACTTGGCCTCAGTGCTTCCAGTTATATGGGAGGTAACCAGGGCAAACCATCATGCTAAAACCTTGAGGTACTGCCTGGTTGTCTGTAGAGGTAACTGGAAGCACTGGGACCCAGCAATAAGTTCTCAGTCCAAAACAAATCGACCTTGTAGCCTGGCTTCGCGCTGTGGTCTATGTGTAGGTCGCAAAAGCTCGCCGCTTGTTTCATTGTGTCTGTTGTATGATGGAGGTCCGGATCTTTTTTTGGGAAGCGATGGTGAGACATAGAGGCGCCACATGTCAAACAGATCCTTTGGGCAGACCGATTGAAAGTCCGGGTCACTGAGGCGTTTGTTTGTTTGTTTCTTGGTCGACTTCTATTTTTCGCAGAAACTCAAGTAAGCCAAACTTCGCATTGCCACATTTCCGCGAAGACTCGTGTCTTTGAGCCCTGGCACTGGAGGAAACGAAGTAAGCGCAGGCACCAAGGACTTGTGTTCAAGTTCCAGGCGCATCCTGACCAAGGAATCCGTTGCCAACAGTACAGCACATGTTTTTAGGGGAAGCAACGGTGTCTGACTGCTTGCACCAACGGACAATCATGTGTGCGGCATCCTAGAACTGAACACAGTAGTTATAGAACTTAGAGCCAATTCGACGGGTCACCCACTGTGTGGTGTTTCGGCCGGATGATTGGCACCATGCCTCACCCTTCGCTTGGCCGATTGCCGATCTCAATTTCGATCCTGCTCGGCTCAGCTTCAACTTTAGCATCTGAGTGGCATTTGACCGACAGCGCAGGCATGGCGCTACGTTCAAAAGTATAGTTCTCAAATAGTGGACCCGTTCATGAAATTATATCTCCTGCAAAGCCCAGAGGACAACATGGTATTTTGCTCTGCCTGTGAAAGCCATATACTGCAATGTCAGACTAAGCTAATTTGGACCACGAGGATTAATATGCTTGTCTTGAGATGTAATTTCCTTGTTGCAAATGTGCGTGCCACGGACATCCGCAAAAGAGTCATTGTGATGCATGCGAATCAAGGGAGAAACCAATGAACAAACCTACGACATTGTGGTTCGTAGCTGCATGGAAAGTTCGAGGTCGCGATGCGCAATGTGTTTCAGGCGGTGGATATGTTTCTGCCATCCATCAGTTTGACACGCACGTACACACAAAGAATTGGCATCAGTTTGTGACATCGGCAACAAAGACGATGTTTCACAACACAACACACAGGCTAACCAATAGGAGCTCAAGATATCAAATATGAGCGCTCGGGGCCTCCAAAGAGGGCGGTTGACCTCCAAAGACCTCCAACTAGAATTGTGGGCCGCTAGGGTTGGGTTCTCAAAATAGGGGAACCTTCAAACTAAACTGGCAAGTAGGTCTCCTTTTGGTTCCCTTGAAACCAAAAAGGGTACGCAACAACCCTAAGGCTCCAGATGTTTTTTGACCCCTCAAAATGGGTTGTTTTCCAGGGCCCCCGAGGGGTCAGGGTTCTTCATTGGAGGGCCCGGAACACTGCATTGGAGGGGTCATGAGCCTTAGGGAAAAGTAGGTGTAGGTTTTCTTTTGGTTCCCCTGAAACCAAAAAGGGTACGCAACAAAGACGCATTTGGTTCTGAAGACGGATGGCGCATTCGCTGCCGGTGATCGACTTGAAAGATCCCGAGCTGCCGGCGAAGCTGTTGGCGGCGATTTCCGGTGAGGGTCCAGGAGTCGGTCGCGGGTGCTGCGGTTGCAACATTTGGGTCGGCGTTATTTTGTTAAGGACCCTTGGGGCGGCTTTAAAGGAGAACCAAAAGGACGCCAAGTATTTGTTGGGTTCTCTATTGTTTTTGACAACCCGTCAACACCCTTGGGTGGCTTTAAAGGGAAGCCAAAAGGACGCCACCCATTTTGAGGTTCCCTGTTTTGACAGCTTTATTTTTACAGCCAGACCCTGGAGCCCTTAGGGAAGCCAAATGAAGGTTGTTGAAACCATGGTTTAAACATGGTTCACAGGGTTGGCCCAGCCTTCGTTTGTAGAGGCATCTTCTATTGGGGGACCTCTTTGTGGGGTTCAATGTTAATTTGCACTGCAGTAGATGGCTACGTGCCAAATAGCCGTTTATTTCCATTACCCAACAGGAAGCCAACAGGGAATGGGCAGCTCTTGTATTTGTTCAACCCCGTTTTAGCAGAGGGTTTGTTGCAATGTGGACACGGTGTTTGTGTTCGGAGCAAAGGCGGGTAAACAATGATGAAACTATGGAGCCCCAGACTGCAAATAGAGGGCATTTGGTTCCTCAGCCTAGGGAATGTGTCTTACACACAATATGCGGTGTCTTGGCTTCTTGTTGTTCCGCAGTGGTGGTAATAATGTACATTAAGCAACTTGGGTGGATATATGGCTGTGGCTCAAAATTAAACGAGAGGGGTTGCGCAGGTTTGCTCCATGTTTCCACTTACCAGGGTTCCATTTTGGTACTGTTTTTTTTGAGCCACAGCCATATTTACGTAGGTGATACGATCCATTTCCATCATTGCATGCGCAACGACATCAACTGAAGTCGGTTTGCATTTGGCAAGTTGTGTTTCATCGAATGCATGCTTAAACAGCAAAGCACAGTTTCAACCACTAGCAAGCAAGTAAAACTCATTTATTGATGCGTTGGGTTGTGCATTGGCTCCTTGGTTCAAATGTTGTTTTTTGTTTTTGTTTTTTTTGTCACATGTTGTTTTGCATCCACAGTTGAGGATGTGTTTGTGTGTGTTCTCCCTCATGTACCCAGGAGCCCAAGATCCCATACAGGTTGCGACCCCCCAAAGGCTGCAAAGAAGGAGTCTTTGGGGTTCTGAGGTGTGCATGTCTCAAAACAGGGGGACCTCCCAAAAAATTGCTTTAACTTTAAACCGGCCTGATGCCAGGCTCCCCTTAAGGAACATCCCCATGCGAAGAAAGCACTCCGATTTCGCCTCGGAGGATTCTTCGGTTTGGGTGTGTTTGGCACTCCCTTCAACTCAGCCCAGGAAGGTACGGACCAACAAAAAGGTCCCCAGTAGTGCCCTTTTACCCTTTTTGGGGGAGGGTTCCCCTACTAAAATAGACTACAGAGGACCTGGACACCAAAAAGACACGCCCGGAGGATTCTTCTATTTGAAGTTCCCCGATGGCGACGCTCTGGCGGCAAAGACGTTGGAGCTCTCCAAGGATTTCTTTCGGCTGCCGAAACTGGAGAAGGCCATGCCGGAGCTCTGGGAGAGATCTCTCTTGTTGTCAAAGTAGGGGGACCCATTTTGGGTTGGCCAGGTTTTTGGGAGGAACAAGAAAACTTGGGATGACTTATGTTTTTGGAGGAACAAGAACATTTGGGATGGCTGATGTTCACTCGTGCCATTAGTCTGTGTATATGTTGGTTCCGTCGAGCATCCAGCCATCCATGCAATTTTTTTTGCTTGGCGTTGTGGGACGCTCTAGATGTCCCACCCAATTCAGAGGACGAGCCCGGATTTCACGTATCCGTGGCATTCTGTGGCTGTTGCCAGGATGCGCTGAAGAACGACCAAGACTCCTTCTACTGGATCCAGGAGCCAGGGTTGGCCAAGGTTTGTTCACACAACCAGACCCAGGGACCTTTCAAAGGCAAACCAGCAAGAGGCTGTTGAAACAGTCTGGTGGTTTAAGTCATGTTGTCAACATGGGGTCGAATCGCACCACAACGCTGCGTTGTATCTTCACCATGCTCGGGGACCCTTCGGGTCTCTCCCACGCTGAAGCGGCAGATTCCCTATTCCTGATTTTAGATGTTTTCTGCGGAAGGAATGGCCCATGTTCGGAAACACTCACAGAGGCAAAGGGACACCGATGGGGATGGGACATTTCTGATGTTTTCCTTTTCAGGTCCAATGATCGGCTGGCACAAATTCAGGAGCCGGGCAGGAGTTTGATCCACATCCCTTCCACAGGGCCTGGGTAGTTGTGCTGTTCTTGGCATCACTTTGATTTGCTTCAGTTCTTTGTGTTTAGTGTTCTGTTACTTTTTCTGTTTTTTTTGGTTTGATTGATGGCTGCAGAACAAAGGGTCAGCAATACCGAGCGTGAAGGTATCGCGGTGTCAGCGACGATTCCAACTTCGCGGGGGACCGCAGAGAGTCCTTCAACCTTCGAATGCCCCAATCGATGTCGAACGAACTTTGCGGCATGGCCCGACTTAGTTTTTTTCGCTGCGTTTTTTGTGGCTTAGACATGCTTTAAACATCTGCTTTTCGGCCCACAGGTGAGGTGGGGGTGATGTTTCCAGGTTGGACATCTAGTTGGAGCCCTCTAGATTGCCCGGACAGGCAAGCGAGTAGTAACCCTTTGCCATAGTTTTCCTTTCAGATGGAGACAGGGAAGCCCCTTGGTTGCCTCCCTTGGACTTTTAGCTTCAGTGGGATTTATGATTTATCACATATCCCACTCAAAATTTAACGTCAAGCGGGGGGATCAACAAACCACTTTGCTGCTAGTTAGTTAAATGGCATCACTGGGTGACCTTCTCCACCTGCCTTTTTCCTTTCTGTTTCCTTTCAACCATAAATCATCAACCAGTTAACTTTTGGCGGTCGTCTGGCCCAGGCGGGATGGGCGAAAACCGATGGCCCAGCTCCGCGGAATGGAACGAAGAGTTCCGAAGCAGCAGCGAGGAATACTTCCAGCTGTGCTTCCAGACCTGCAGTGAACTACGCAGGGCCTTGGCGCACGAGAAGTGTTTGGGGCCGTTCTTGGGCAGTGAGGCCTGGGGTAAAACTGGGCTTGACCAAATTCTGTGACAAGTCGTCGCGGGGATGGAAATGCTTTGCAATCACATGCGAGGCGAATTCGGACAGGGCCTTTGCCAGATCTAGCAGCCTACTCGGCTTCACCCATTACAACTATAACGACTTCAAGCCGAGCGCTGGATATGTTGTGGCAGATGCTTCAGAGCAGGTGGGCGCGCGTCAAAATTAGGGTGTCAAGATACGGACTTCGACCCTTGCCCAACATATTGGTGATTGTCCTTTTGGTGTCGCTTCAAGCCAAAGTGACTAAGGCGACCCAACAAATCACAAATCACACACATGCACACATGCACGCATGCGCAGAGGTTTTCGGCATTCGTCCACATCAAGACGATGGCCTCTGCACCTTGTTGTACACCGACGGCCAGCCAGGGCTGGAATATGCCAAGTGTCGTAGCGCGGGATCGATGTTCTTCGCTGAGAGCTGTCGCAGTGATGAGCAGCTCAGTCAGCGGATCGAGCTTTTGACCATTTTTTTGGTTTTCCGAGTTGGTCCATTTGTGTCTTAAATCGGGAACCCTCCCGTTTGATATAATTGGAAACCAAAAGGAGACCAGCCTCTTGGAGGGGTTCCTTATTTTGAGACACGCCCATTTTTTGGTCGTTGCCACAAGAAGTCGACCTTTTATTTCGGGGTCCTTTGGGCTACTGAGGCAGTTTTCGAAGGACATCCTCTGGGAAGAAGTGCCCTTCCTACCTGGTCATTGGATCGTGAACCTCGGCACCGACTTGTTCCTCCTTGGAGTTGGCATTGTTTTGCTTTTCAACGCCCATCGAGCCCATTTCCCTGCATAGGTTACAAAGGGGTCCCCACCCTGTTATTTTGGGAACTGGCATCCACTGGGATGGGGAAGTCTTAAGTTGCGCAAACTATGCGCTTTTCTTTTTGTTAAGCAAGCTGGTTGACGCAGTTTAAGTTTGGTATTGAATGCATGTACCCAGTGGATCCCGCTAGCGGTGTAATTAGTATGTGACTAAACATTTTTTTTTCTCCGGTGTTCAAAGGGTGGGCAAGGACGTTTTCACCTACTTAATAGGAAAACGGAATCACTGGGTTTGTCAAGGCCCAAAGTCTAAACTAAATCATTGAGTTCCTGGAACTATACTTTTAGGACGACCATTCTAATGATAAAGCAAGAGTTCAGACTTTTTCCAGCCATTCAATTGAGAAAGTGAGTTGCCCTGGGGCCCCAAGGCCAAAGAACTCAGCCGGGCCGTAAAATGTCTGAGGCATCCCATGTTGAGTCAGAGGGTCCAGTCATGCTTTGGCCAAAGAGCTCCGCCAGGTTCCGTTGGGCGCAGCAGCGCTCAAAGGAGACTTCGGATTGCCGCAGCTGCAAAGCCACGCTGCACCGAGTGGTGCCCAAGTGCCGCGAGAGGTATTCCATGCCTTTCTTCTACGAGCCAAACTTGGATGCCATGGATCCATGCCAGCCTCACAAGAAGAGATATGAATACTTGATTGAAGATGCCAAGTGAGTCCGGCGTGAAAGGAGAAAGGATCAATTCCATGCGTTCGCGGCACTCACACATGTGATCGCTTGGGGGGTGGGGATGGTTTCCGTGATTCTCAGGATCGCCGTGATTGGAATCTTCCCACAAAAAGGTGCTAGGAGAAGCGAGGAGTTGATGTGGTGCTGCCTGAAAAGCAGGCTAAAAATGCAGGCCAGGAATCTAGCAAAGCGTCATGTTCTAAGTTTCCAGAGTTGAAGGCTTTTCTTCGTGCCGCTCGCCTTTTGAGTTTGGCTACCCATCCTGAATCCACAGGTCTTTGCGGTCTTTACCCTGGAGTCTCTACAAAGATTGGGTTGAGACCTCTGTGGGTATGTGACCTCACTTCTTAAGGGTCGTGACTCCAGGTACGGATCCAGCGGAATCGACCTCAGGGTTCCATCTTGTGGGCCTGAAGGTTAGTCCAAGACCCGCAGGGTCGCTCACTTCGGAATCTTCCAAAGGCCTCTTCGATGCACACGGGGGTTTTGTTGGACCACCTCCGATCTTTGCCCCCACAGTGCAGGCTTCTGGAGCTTCGCACCTCAACCAGTTGCCCCTTTGGCATGTCAGATTCCCCCAGCCGCATGCCAGATTCTCCCAGATGCCAATGATTTCTCTAGGCCACCTCCACAGTGGACATGAATCCCCGGCTATGTCCAGTCCATAGGGTCCTTTCGGACCCACACGTCCACGTCCACGCGGTGCCCAGCACCGGCGGCGCTTTCCGCCGAATGGTTTGCCGCTCGCCAGGTGCGGCTAGACACGCTCAGCTCCAAGCTCGAGGATCTCCGAGATGAGATGAGAGGCTTCGTTGCAGCTTGAAGCGAGCGGACCTTCGGGTCCCTTGGGTTTTTTTTTGTTGGGGATCCAAGTTTCACCCGTGTCAGGTCCATGGGACCTGTCATGTACCACGGGATCCAATTCTGAAATTTCAGGTCTTGGAACTAGTTGTTAAACGTGCGGAGTATTATTGGTAGTTTACTGTTTGGAGAGGACGTGAATGGGTAGACAACCCAAGTTCCGCAAAGGAACCAAAAGGACAACCCATATTTCCCAGGTTCGTTTTGAGAAACTAGCAATGTTGTCCGGGATTGACTTGGGGTGCTGGCTTTCTTTTGGACGGACTTTCAGCAGCATTGCATGCATGTGTGCGTGTGTGTGTGTTCATTAACACATTGCTGCGACCATGCGACAACTGTTCTAGTAGATATGCCAGGCACATGCCAGACATATTGCGCAACTAGAAACATCAACATCCCAGCCCAGGAGAGGCACCCTCCCGACCCCCAAGCCTTGCCTTTCCTTACCAAAGAAGCGCCGCGAAGCCTGGCGCTCGGCTTTCGCCAGGCAAGCACCTCACGCTGCAGGCAGGGGTCCAGCTCTATGTCCGTTGCATTTCAAGCGGCCAGGGAACAGGCGCTTCACCCATTCCGACATCCGAAACACACCCTTTCCGTTGTGTTTTTTTTTGTTTATTTTGTTTTTATTTTTCTGCTGGGTTGGATCTTTGGACCTCAGCTTTTCGAATACCCCTCGTGTTTCCTTTTCACCTGCAATAAGTTCAACCCTTTGTGCTGGGTGATCTACAGCACCCAAGCTATATGGTTCCATTTCCCTTAATGGCTTGCAACCTCAGGTTCTGCTTTGGTCAACTGCACCTTTTGCCCTCCACCCTCAAACTGCAAAAGCTGGTTAATATTGCTTGCCTGGGTGATTTCCCACATAGGGGAGGTTGAGGGTCCTACCTATAAAAAAAAGTGGAACCACAAATTTGCTGAGTTTGGTCCTTTGGTGTCAGACCCTTTTGTGATGTCTCAGGGTGTCCGAGCCACTTCCATTTAAAGGGAACCTCCAAAAGTGGCTTTCTCGTTTCGATGCAAAACACCAGTCAAGTATAAACTTCTGATTTGGTTGGAGATCCAGTGACCCTCGCACATGCGTTACATGTGTTTCTTCGTTTGTTTTGTTTGTGTTTTGTTCTGTTTGGTTTGGTTTGGTTTCCCCGTGTTTCAAACGCCGAAGCCGAAGCCCCGGAGACGACTCTGCGCCGTGCGGACGATTCGCCGTGCGGCGATGCGGAGGCGCTGGAGGAGATCCGGGGCGGCATCTTGTCGGGGAAGCGCGTGGAGCTGCCCAGCGCCCAGCGCCAGGCGCCGAAATTCGCCTCGCTTCGCTCGCTGGTTTGGGGTGGTAATTAGGGAGTTTGGGTGGCGGAGATTCGTTTTAAAGGGAGACCAGGGGATTTTCTCCCTGTCTCACCTCCTTCCTTCATTTTGGTTTGGTGGTTTTAACGGGAAGCCAAAGGGAGAACCACAAAAATTGGGGGGAGGGTTCCTCCGGAAAATGGGGAGATGGGGTTTCAGTCGCGGAAGGGGTTTCCGTCTGGAAAGTATTTGGACCTTTCAGGCTTTCCAAGATGGTGAGCCTTACCTGTTGAGCTGGAAAACTATCAGCTTTTTGTTGACAGGGTTGCTTGAGTGCTCCCGGGCAAGCCGCTGAAGTTAGCAACCAGGGGAAATCCATCCATGGTAAAACCTAGAAATAAAAACATACCTGGTTACTTACTATTGTGGTATCTGGAAGCACTGGGCCATGGAATTTGGGTTCGAACATGGTTATGCAGCTGTTTCTTGTTATTTGTCATGGGCTTGACTACGGCCCCAAACACATTCTTTTTTTGTAGGTTCCAGGCACGTTGCCACACCTGCACAAACAAGGGATGGCTCCTGGATGGGACCAGTACGGTCACGGTGACAGAAGCATGGCCTTGGTTTCAGGATGTTTGGGGGATTGAGGGCGGGGTCTGGTTGAGGCTGGTTTGGTGGCCTGTCTTGGATTAGTTTTGGGTTGGTTCTAGCTCCGCTGTTGGTTTTATGTTGATTGAAACCACTGCGGGATCTTTAGGCTGGATACAGGGCAGGTTCCCCTACCCTCTATCCCACACATGCGGAAGTGCGCAGGAGGGCGTTGGGAGACTCACATCCTCTTCCCTGATCTGGGTTGACCGGCCCAAGTCGAAACTCATTGTGCCTGGACACAAAAAATGATGAAAGCAACCTTTGTGTTTACCCCGGGTTTTACCCTGAGTGGTTGGCCCTGGTTCCCCCGTGCTTACTGCAGTGGTTTACCCGGAGGGGTTTGAAGCGCGCGCTGCGCGCGCTAGCACCTGGAGAAGGGCAGCCCGCTGATCAGCGAAGTGACCTTCGACGCGAGGTGCGGAGTGACTTCGGACTGCGGGGCGCCTTTTTGCTGGGCCGTTCCACGAGTCTTGGTGGCTCCCAGCCATCCGGTTCCTTAACCTTCTAGCCTTTTAGTGCTTAGTGGGGATTTCCATTCAACCCACTACAAGTCAAGCTTTTAGCGGGGGATCTGAGGACAGCCCAGGAGATCAGGGTTTATCCAACCACTTCTGTGACACAAGGGAATCCCCTCTTTATATGGGGGGTTGGTCTTTGGGGTTGGCCAATGGTCCATGGCAATGAATGCCGTGGCTCTGAATCAGTATTGGACTACCTCCAAACCACTGCTGGGGCTTATAATATACCCTTGAAAGAGTAGGCAGAAAGTTTTTCCCTAGCAGATGTCCATGCTACTGAGAGGGTGAGACTACCTTTTCAGGAGGCCTCTTGTTGCCGATGTCGAAGCCATCCACGAGGAGTTGGACCCTTTGGGCTAGGAATGGTCCTGAATATTGACTCGAAAGGGGTACCCTGGTCTGCTTGTTTTCCTGAAGGAACCCACAAGAGGGGAGGGGGGGGGTGAAACCAGAGAAGATTCCTCTGAGTGTGTTGTTTCCGTGAAGGAACGCCAGGGTAACGTGCGGGAAACAACCTGGCTTCTCCATCTGACCCTTCACACATGGGTGTCACCCCTGATTTTTGGGGTGACCCGTGTGGCCTTTGCACTTTTGAATTTAGAGGGAGTTTCTCCCCCTTGGGATCCAAGCGCGATCGGCATTTGACTTTTCGACTTTTAGACTTGCTGGTGCGATAGGTATGGAATGAGAAATGGAATGAACCTGGGGATCCCTTAAAGGAAACCATTAGGGTCATTCCCTTGTTCCCTACCTATCGCACAAGCAAGTAGAGTTTGGAGTTGGATTTATGATGTGTCACACCAAAAGCCTTTGACTTAGGGATCGCAGCGTGCAGATGGGCCGAGCCTCGGGATATAGCCCGGCGCCCTTTCTCTTGGATTGGACCCGACTAGGGTTCCCGAGGTGTCATTTCTCTTCACCCTCGATCTTTTTCCCTTCACCCTGTCAAGTTTGCTCTAAGAGGTATACCTCGAAGGCTAAGTTCCGCTTTGAGGTTTCCTCTTTGGGGTGTCCAGCTGTCGGCCCGCCCGTAAGCGCCGAGCGCTGCTTGCGTGCGTTAACTTTGGAGGCACCGGCCGGTGTCCACCAACGTGACGCGGCACTTCCAGCCTGGCTGCCAGAGGGAAACATGGCAGTTTCTGCCAAGCCCAGTGCCTCCAGGCGTTTCGCCACTATAGGTAACCTTTCGGTATGATTGCCTCAGAGTTTTACCATGGTGTTCCCTTAGTCATTTTGTATGCATGTTATATAACCGCTGCACAGCCGGCTTGAGTCACAGCGCCTGGAAAAGACTGAAGTTTTCACTTTGGTAGCGGAGCACCTGGCTCCAGCTGCTACCATTCGAGCCATAGGCCTCGCTGCTTTGCTGTGCCAAGGCTCCTCCGAGCCGCAGGGCTCGCGACCTCAACGCCCTCGCGGCCACGACCTTCGCACACACGACGATGCGCCTCTGGGTGCTGTGCTGCTTCGCAGCAGTCTTGCAGGTATCACCGGATAATAGCACTTCTTTTCATCGTGGCGACCTTTGCCACGCAGCCCTGGACCTACGGCCGGATCTTGGACGGCTTCGCGCAGAACCTGCCCTATGGCACAGCCCAGCACTCCGGGCGGTGGGCAATTGGAGGAATTCCGGAAAGCCATTCCCCTGACTGGGGGCCTCACATCAACGGCTATTCCCCCAAGACCAGCTTCGCGAAGCTGATCTGTGAATATCCGGATGAGGTGATCGGCCAGATCATGGCAGGCCGGTTGGTTGGCCGTGCTCAACGGCCGGCCCTGGAGCTTTGTTTGCCAGGCTCCCGTGAGGCTCTCAGTGGATCAGGTGCTGGATCCCAACGACGGTGTCACGATCCTTCAGCACCACACACCTTGGAGAGTGCAAGCGCTTTGCAACGCACTGAAGGACGGCTTCGGCGACAACGATTGGCTCCAGATCACGCAGTCGCTGGAGTCTTTCTTTGACCTGCACCGCCCTTCAAACCAAGGCCTCCAGGAGGAGCGTGACGTGGAATGGCGCTTGAGGTACGACAAGGCCAACCAGCGTGCAGGGCTAAAGCAACAGCTATGAGGGCTACTCCGACGACCAGAAGTACGGCGACTGGGAGAACTGTGGTGGGTGGTAAGATCCATTATTGGAAGGAGCTGAAGGTGATGATCAGACAGAATACCAAAGTGGAGCTGAAGCGGACAACCCCCACCTCTACGGCAAGAGCAAGGGCAAGTCTTTGGCAGTGGCTGCTTCATGGCACATGGCAGCTGGTTGCCCAGTTCCTCGTGGCGGTGGCAAGTCCCTTCGCTCGAAGGGCAAGGGCAAGCGCAAGGGCAATGACAGGTCTTTCGGAAAGGGCTCTTGGAGCAGCGGCCCTTGCGAATACACCGACCATGAGCGGAAGCAGGCAACCAGATGAGGCACGCCAAGCATTGCCTGGCTGTCATCGAGCAGCCCGAACGGCATGTCAACATCGCCAAGTCAAGGAGTCTTCACAAGCCGAGATGCTGCTTTCCCTCAAGAGAGCTGCCACATCCTCAGATTTGCGCATGTCCAGCAGATCATCCACGGCAAAGCCACAGACCCTCAGCTTTCAAACCAGCTCTTCAAGTACGACCGTTGCCAGTTTCTGCCGCATACGGATGTGGAAAGCCTGCGACGTCTATCACATCGTCGGAATCTCCGGCGCGGCCAACAGCACCCTTGAGGAAGTGAGCATTCCGTTGCCCATGCACATGCTACGCTGCAGATGTGGTTGGCGGCGAAGCAAGTTGCTGTCCAGCCCTGGTGGGCAATCCGGCCCTCGTCATCAGGATGGGAGCGATCATCGCCGCTCACTAGTTCAGCAACAATGACGGCTTGCTCATCATTCCGACTGGAGAAGGAAGCATGAACCACGAGAAGGCGAACCCCAAAAACTACAACCTTTTCAGACTGCTGCTCACAGACAGCAAGCGCTACATGCTGCCGCTCTATGGTGACGTCACTGTCAAGACGGACCTTAACAACATCAAGAACTTCCTCTGCCAGGTGATGCGGAAGTCCCGAAGCCAATGGAACGATGTCAACCAGCGCTCACGCCAGAGCGGAGGCCTTACGATCTACAAGCGCAGATGCAATCACCTGATGAGCAACCGCGATCTGCCGTTTCAACCACCACTGCAACCTCCCGCAGCTCATTCCTTACCACGACACTGGGAAGTCGGGTTCAGAAACGCTACAAGGCGATCAAGGAGGAGCCTACTCCGCAAGGTCAGCCGACTGGATTGGCGAAGCTCTGATTTGGTGGTTGCAGGACTGCGTGCCTTTCCGGGCAACTTCAAGTATGGATGGGACCTCGCTGCCTGATCGTCAGAGCCTGATCTTGGAGGCATAGGACATGCTGCAGCTGAATTCTCATATGTCGCCCAACTTTGCGCAAGAACGACAAGCCCTGGATCCTGGACCTGCGCTGCTGGCAAAGAGGCAGTCGGAGAGTGGCAATGCCTTCATCCTGGGGCAGCCGACCACTGCTATGTGGAGCAGCCTTGGCAACTTTGCAGCACGAACTACACGATTGCTGGCCACGAAAGGATTGGGGCACGTGACGAGGCGAACCGGCCAATCCACAAACCGACTGGCCTGCAGGCGAACACGTCGTTGCGGAACTCTGTTCGACGCTGCCAAGGGCATCCCGGTCAACGTGGACTTCTACAATGCTCAGCCAACGGCGTCTGCGGCAGTGTACCCACAACAGCTCTGCAAAGCCATCCTGAAGGATGTCAAGAAGTTCATTGCCGCACAAGAGAGAGCAAGTCACCTCGTCTGCCACAAGTGCTCGAAGTGCAAGCTTGGTCGTGTGTTGGAACCGAGCACACACCGCGAGAACGCGACGCAGACACACCTCACAGCTACCAGCCACATTTTCAGCATCTTCTGGCACCACTCCACACGTGCGCCACGCAGTGACAACCCTTCGCCGAAGCAGATGCGGAAGAGTACAGAAAAGTTGAGGAAGGGGAACCTCGACGAGGTCACCATCAGCGTCCCAGATGGTACGGAGTTCAACGCCACCAACACGGTCACGCTGAAGATGCTCGTGACTGGCCCGGTCGCAAGCAGAAGGGCAAGCAGAAGAATCACAAGACCCACTTCATCTCGCGCTCCGCAGATCCATCTTCGGAAAGCAGATGATGGTGAAGGGGAGTTTGCGCTCCACTACAGGCGGAAAGATACCCATCCCTATTCGTGGCGAGGTGAAGAAATGGGGCATGAAGAGCACAGAGGATCTCCGCACCTATCGTACCACTCCGAAATGTCCGACCGTGCAGAGGCACCTTCCACGCGGACAACGTGGATCCAAGAGCATAGAGCAACGACGAGCTCAACGAACTTCGCTCATGGCACTCACTGCTCAGACTGATGAGCGACACCGAGAGCAGCAGACCCTACAAGATCACCACCCACGGGTCCAACACTACTTCTACAGCTGCCATCATTTTGGAAGACGACTCACCAATTCAACCTAACATCACCAACAATGCGCAGTGAACGCATGGACATTGAGCAGGAGAACCTGGAACGACAAGGGTGTGAGACAAGAATGGTGACTTTGCCTCATGCGTGGCAGAGATCTTCTTGAGCATGCACAGGAGGCAGTGGTTAGCAAATCCCGTTGCTGACAAGATCCTCACAGACCACGCTATCTCCAAATCATCTACGGCAACTCGTCTCAATCAGGGGATTATCCTCTCCACGGTCATGCGCAAGGAGGACGAGACCCGAGTCATGGGACTTGCTGGCGCCTTCCTCAAGGGGTTGAACTGTATACAAGGACCTGTGGAAGATGCTGAAGCAGTTTGGACTTCACTCCAAGGAAGCAACCATGCCGCCGCGAAACGTTTGATTGCCAGGGCAAAGCAGAACAAGGCATCGCCATCTACCACCGTCCCTTCTACGCACGGCACTTTCGCCTGGTTTGAATTCATGATGCCTCGGCGGCACTCTCAACCAAGCGTCACAAAGCTCGCCTACTGAGGAGACGCGGCATGTATGCCTGAAATCGGGCGTGAAGAAGAATTGCCATCACATAGTGAACAAGACTAGCATTAGGAAGCTCGAGCAGCGCAAGCGTTGCCATTCGGGCTTGTAGCTCCCTTCTCACCTCCAGAGCAGAAGCGGAGTCATTTTGTATGTGTGTTACACAACCGCTGCACAGCCGGCTTGAGTCACAGCGCAAGACAAGACTGAAGTTTTAATTCCTTGTGCTATAGTGGCTTGCAATCAGAGCCACTGGTAATGGCCATTCACCTTTCTTGTTGCTGGTTTTTGAAGGGAAACGAACGCCATCGGCCCATAGTGTGCGGATGTGGGTGGTTCTGTGGACCCTCAAACTACCCCGAAAATTGGAGATAGCTCAATTGTTTTTACATTATACGGGTGATTTCCCATGTTGAAAGGTAGGTTGTGGCCAGGTACCGGGCTTAATTGGGATTATGGGTTGTGGTGACTCATATGTAAACTTTTGGACCATGTAGAACCCAAAGTCGATGGGTTTTGGTGCTCACATGAGTCACAAGCAAAGCCTGGGCAGATGAAGGGTAAGGGGCAGTCCCAGCCAGAAGCATGTTGCCTTTGGGTTGTTTTGGCTTCGACTCATTTGGGGGGGGGGTGGTGGGCATCTTGAGTGTTTTTTGAATGTACGTCAGCCAAATGGCAATTAGGCCAAAGATGGGACATGTCCAACAAGAATCCCAGCAGGTGATAAACTTTGCGCCCTGTTTGTTTCCAAGGGCAATGTCGTGACAGGCAACACCTTGTATTTGCATGTTGTCTATTTTAGACTCGGAATCGATTGCACAAAGATGAGGGCAACCTCTTGACGGGAAATTCTTAAAGATGCGGAAAGCTCGCTGCCCCTATGAATATTTTTCCATACCCCGAGGGTCAGCGGGTCCCTTGGTACCTTCTCAAGACGTAGACCCTTTCTGCCCCACCCGAAGCACCCCTGGACCCATGGCCCTTTTTGCGGTTCTTATGTAGGGCACTTTGCACGCAATGATACGCAATGCAAAGGCTTGAGCCTGCGGGGTGGTTGCGACGCAGTCCACTCCATGTGTTTCGCCCATTTTGCGAGCCCCAGACCCTCCATTCCCGGGGTTGGTAGGGCTGGTGAAGAGCCTTTACGGTTTCAGACAAAGAAAGAAGCACCCAGATGGGCACGAATTGGAATTGGGGGGCACTTTGGCGGATACAGACATACATGGTTGGATTTATTTCTGGCGAAATTCCGGCACGTTTGAGGCCAGACGAGTGCACTTCTTTCTTTCAATGCCAATTAGGTGGGTCGTTGCTTCACATACAAGGCGATGACCCCAAAGGGTCATGGCTGGACGCGGCTGACTTTCTTAGCTGTACTTTCCCTTTGCCTTTCATGAATGTTCCGCAAATGAGATCATTCAACAAACATCGAATATTAAGACAACAAATAAGTATATCTTTCGTGAGGGACCCCAATCTTGTGGTTTTAAAGGAAGACCAACAGGTCAACGGCCATTTATACTGTGGGTCGCCTAGAAAAAAACACATGAATAATTATGAAACCAAGAAACGAGATCCAGCTGAGACCCGCGTTGAGCCTTAGACTTGTTGGCCCTTCCGACGCGCTCCGATCCGAAAAGACGCGGGCGACTCGGGGCAGTTTCGCCCAGGTCCCAGCGGGTCATTGCGCCCCACCTGGAGGCCAGGAGTTGAGCGCTGCAACATGTAAACCTAGCATCTTTCGGGGATCCTCTTAGAACCTCTGATCCTCTAAACCACATGGGAGGGTGAGCAAATATGTCCCCAACTTGCTCAGTGAATCTCGGAGGGTAGGGAATGAATCATTTCCCCGAAAAGGACACCCAGCTGAAGCAATGACATGGATCCCCAGCAAAAGATTCAGTTCCGGGGGAATTCCAACTCAGGCATCCCATCGAAGGCCAAAATGGATGTGTGACTCTGTGCGTTTCTAGAGTAAAACCACACATCTAATTGGGGTTTCTGGTTGGAAAAAACTCTAAGGGAACTCGACCCAAGCGCTTCCGATCCATGGCTTGCCCCTTTTTGCAAGCTGCCTTTCCCCCCCAACTCCAAAACCCCCCAAAACGCCTCGAGGATTTTTCGCCCACCAATCGATCGAGCTCGACAGGTGCGGCTCCATGCCTTCCTCACGCTGAAGAAGGCCACCCCCGGCTCCAAGGCGGAGTCGCCGCGTTTTCCTGGGGCTTTCGGGGCGAACCGTTCTCGGCGGCTTCCGGGGTAGCTGTGGGGCTTTTCAGTGTCTGGAAACCTCAGAAACCGAGTTGCGCGGAACATGGTCTTTGTGTTTAGGATGTTTTTGTTTGTTTTCTTTTGCGGATGGGAGCGACGGGCGTAATTGCCTCGCACAGAGTCCAGCTCCCTATCGATGTTCAACAGCAGCATTCTTGCCTGTTTGCATGGGCTGTTTGCCAAACAGCCTGTTCGAAGATGTTTTTGTTTGAACATTGGGGACCCTCTCAAAGTAGTAGGTGTTTATGCCGGCTAAACCCATATAGGTGCTTCCCAGAATGGGGCACTGAACATGGCAAGGGTGTCCTTTCGAAAATATCATTTGAGATCGCGCATTTGAACTGCATATGCCGCCGTGCTGTTGTGTCTTTTTTTGAACACAATTTGCAAGCGGACAAACTGCAGGGCTAGTTTCTTTCGAGGTGAGGATAAGCAAGCTACCCCTTAGTTGTTCATGTTCCCAAATGGGAAGGATTTTTTTTAATAATACACCTCTGCTTGATCGAAGAAGTTCAACCCATTTGGCTGTGGGTCAAAAATAGGTACCCCAAATGAACCCTAAGTGGAAACATGGACCAGAACCTGCAGTCCCCTGGCTTAATTTTGACAACCATACCCATTTGGGGATCTGGATCACTCCTCGTCTGGGTTCAACCGTCGGGCCGCGGCCCTTCGCAGCAGGCGTTAAAGCAAGACGAGCAAAAGTCACCCTCTCGTGGTCTTGGGTGTGACCTTAGCCAAATAGATTTTCAATAAGCCCCTACGGCAAAAGGTCTGACGAGCTTTGCTCGGAGGAAAACAGCAAACCAGCTTTGAGACTGCTTTGAATCCCAATGGATTTCTTTTCAACTCCCCTCCGGAGCCTCTGTCTTTGCACGCGCTGTTTGTTTGCTGAAACTGTGACCCAAAACTGTGACCTTTGCCTCCGCTCAGCAGACTTCTTTACAGGTGGCCTCATTCGACGGGTCAGGCAGGCTCTAGGTAAAGGTAAGCTTTACCGTTCTGGGCATGTGTTTAGTTCTTTGGTTCTGTTCGTTCTTGTGAGTGCAAAAAGCAGCATTCTGCTCAGGCATGAGCATTTGCGCACATGCCAAGTGCTTCCAGCTCTCACTATAGTCGGTAATCCTTCGGTATACCTCAAGGTTTTACATGATGGTGGCTGGAAGCACTGACGTCACCGTAAACCTACCCTATGCCAACCGTAAACACGTCCTTTGCAACCCCGAAACTAACCCTGAACCCGCCCTAAGCGAGCCCTAAACCAGACTTCACGTTTTTGCTTGTTTGCCTGGCGTTTCCTTTCAACATATTTCCCGTTTTACCTTTGTCAAAGATTCCTCCATGTCAAATTGGTTCATTTTACCTTTCAGCCAACAACAAGTGGTAACTTGCGCCTTCTTGCAAAGAAGAGCACAATGGTACCTTTGGGGGTTCCCTTCAACGTCTGACAGGGAGTCTCAGGGCCCACGATCGTCTCCAGTCCTCCGCGCTGGTGGTGATCCTGGACTCTGAGCCGTTGGCCCGTTCACAAAAATCCCCGCGCGGGGGAGGGGAGTTGCGGGCTTCGGTCTCCGGTTTTGGTTTGCTTTTTGACGTTGCCGGAAATCGACTTTTTTTGCTTATGTTGGCCACTTTGTTGGTGTCTTTCCCCTTCATGTGCCCTTTCAGCAAGGAAATTGAACTTGTTGCAGGTCCACGTCTGCCCCTGTTTAAGATTGACTAAATATGAGGCAGAAGCTGATAGCAAGGAAGGGGTGAGGGACCCGACATACCCTTGGGATGGTTTTGAGGATTGAGAAAACTGCGTTCTTGGATCCGACATAGCCTGGGGCACCAAGGGAAATTTAGATACCTCTGTTTAACACCTCTTCACCGTTCAAAACAATCCGGGGCATTGCTTGTTTTTTGTTGACCCTTTTTGCCAGACGAGAACTCCACTTTGGTATCACGAGAAGGCTTATTGGGCCACAGGGTTTATATGGACCTCTTCGTACGAGTTAGAGGTGGCGGCGTACCTTGGACCCCTAAGTTGAGAATTCACCCATGGTTGAGTCTCCAGGAAGAGGCATGATGTTGTTGTCTTGTTCTCAGACAATTGCATGCCAGGAGTCTTCATGATTGAGTTCACAGACCCAAGATTGAAAAGTCATTTTGGGTACCCATTTTGGGTGCCCTTTATCGTTCATTTTGACCCACAGCCACAAGCCGAGGTCCAAGCTGTCGATCTACTCCCTGGAGAACGAGGCTTTGTTGGAGCGCTTCGACCTGGGGCTTGGAGCTCGGACGGCTCCATCGCGTCGGCTCTGAAATATGGCGACCGATTTGGAGGTGCAGCTCTCGGGTTGCAGGCCCTGAATCCAATCAGTTCTTAAACCGAGGTGTTGGGATTGTTTAGGTTTTGAAATTATATACCAGAGCATCCCCGCTGCGGGTATTTCAGCAGGTAACCAACGGTTGGTTGCTTATATAGGCAATTGGAATCACTGCTTTCGTGACACTGAAAACAGGGTCTCAAAGAAGGAATCAGCCAGAGTCAAGTGCCTGGAAGATCGGAGTCCCCATGTTGTGAGAGATCAAGGGCATGGATTCTGTACAAAGGAGTTCTGGGTGCCTGGACTCTTTTGGGACAAACTCCCAATCTGTCTTCCCAACCTTTCCAGAGAAACTACAAAATACCAAAGGGAATCTGCTAGTGTTTGAACTATAGAGATGCTTGAGCATACGAATCATGTACCCCAGACACAAACGGTTGAAAGGCACAAACAACGAACCGGGGTGCTTTGTGTTTTGTCCGTTCCACGAGCCATTTGTCTGAAAGTGTGAAAGTCGTGGGACCCCAAAGCTGGCTTTCCTTTGACTTCCCTTTGAACACCCAAGGGGGTTCCCCAAATAAACGGAGCACCCACAAGTCATGAGGGTTGTGATCCTACTTATGCAACTTGCAATGAGCTTACCAAAGTTTGATTCTTTCCTGCTTGTGACTTGTAGTCGGTTGGCCATGGGGCTGCACACAGGAGAGCCCCCAGATCCTCAGAGCGCCTTGAAAATAAGGCCTGACGCCTCCTTCATGTCTCATTTCTTGGACACGGAGACTCCAGGTACCAAAGGCTTTCTCCCGTTCTGGCCACAGGAACCCGTGTCAGAAGCACTGATCACGCCGCTTTCGCTGGCCGAGGCACAGCGGAGAGGTGAAGCAGCTGGAGATGTCACCCTCCCAGGAGAAGTTGGTCGGAATGGCTGAGGTAGATTTGCTTTTGGGTTTGGTACCCGAACTTTACGGCTATTTGGTAGCGGATCTTTCGACTTTTCACGTTTTGGGAACCAGAGGATGTTCCATTGGACGAATATAATGTTAAACTTTTTGCAGAGGGGTCAACAGCAACCCAGCTTTATCTACTAGAATCGTGGTAGCGACTGATCTCTAGAATGGTTTCTCAACATAGTTGGTTTTCCTCAACAGGTTCTCCAGTTTGGTTGCTTGCCGGGAGGGAGGGGGGTTCTCAAAATTATGGTACCCTTAGTGTAGCACCCTGACTTAATCTACTACAATTCTGGCACCAGCCGATCTCTAAGAAGGTTTCTCAACATAGACTACTTGATACTAACCTGCTCCTGTAGCCATCAGAGGTTCTCTTAAACATGCTCCCCAGAATGGTTGGCAGTGTTCTCAAAATCGTGGTCCCTTTACTCTACCATGCTGTACTTCTCAAAATGGTTGGTCCACGCACTTGGTAAGGGGACACCAACCTAAAGTGTAGGTACCTGGTCAGATGGTACATTGAGACTATCCCATAGCAACCGAGGTTCAAAAAGGGAGTGGTTTTCCTGTTGTTGACCCCAAAAAGGGTACCCTCCAAAAACAACACCCCCCACACAGTGGCCCGTTACACCGTTGTTTGCTTTGGTTTTCCTTTGACTACCAACCTAAAGGAGGTAAAACCCCCATTTCCCAATTTGAGTGATATACTTTACATGCCTTTCCCGTGGAAGGGTCGAAACATGTCCGTTTGTGTGTCGATGTTCATTGAGCCTCTCTTTCAGGGAATGCTCAAAAAGGGTACACATAGGGAGCTCCGGAATGTGCGGGGCGTCTTCTTTTGAAGTCGATACCCTTTTGGTATGGTGTGAAAAGAGAAGCAGCGGACTGTGCCATGTCTTTACAGTGAGACTCTGTGCACTTCCGTTTGCTTGACTGCTTCATGCAGAAGGCCGTCACACAAGGCCAAGCGATAGAAGCAGGATGTGTCAATCGGCTTTGTCAGTAGCTATTTGTTCGGGTTAGCTTAGAGATACTTTTTCGACAAGGAAGATCCAAAGCAGGGCTGGATGGCCATAGGTGAGGAACATTGGGGCTCTCCTATCAAACCCGACCCCGTTAATAAGAAACAGCTTTCTGAACAGGGGTCGCCTCTAGTATATATTGTAGGGTAGGCTACATGTTTGAAGCACAATCTGAACATATGATTTTCTGAGCAGCCCAAGCTTCGTTGGCATGTCATGGATGTGGGGATCCTTGGGGGTTGCCCGCACATTCCACAAGGCTGTCAATGCAACCAGGGACGTCTAGTTCAGCAAGAAAACATATGACAATGTTCTGAAAGCTACCCGTGGGATATTCCTTGAAACTACCAGGTTTTTCTTCACTTGATGTAATTCATAGATGAGCGCTGACCCCAGGAACAAGCGTTGGGTGTATTATTTTTTGTTTGGGGGGGGGGGGGTGGGGGCGGGCCCAACAGTGATCCGGATCTCCCCGCACACCCACTCATCAACTGGGGTTTGAACAAATGCTGGGTTGGCACTGCTCCCCTGTAACATGGAATGTCATGGGGCCCAACGCAACACAGTCATTTTGAGACTCCGAACTCCATCGGGATCCCCAAAGCACAGTAGTATCTTAGAACAATTTGCAAGAGTGTATGAATTGAGCAAGCAGCGATCCCAGGAGAACCATTTCGTGGTGACAGTGGGTGACGCAGGCGACATTCGCGTCCACAACATCAAGGCGAGACTCACGACACATCAATGGGATGCCTTAAAAAGCAAAGTCCTTCTTGTCATTCCTCTTGGTTTTGAATCACATCAGCCGAATGCCGCTGAGTTCTTTCAGTTCAAGGGAAGCACTTGTTTTTGCAGAAGGGCCGCTTGGGATGACAGTTATTCTTTGCAGGAAGTACGTTGGCAAAGAAAACACGACCTCACGTTGCCGCAGTTTGCAGCTTTAGCCGGGAAGATTTGCTTGATCCCGTGCGTCAGGGTCAACTATCATTTACTCAGATTTACCTTTGACAACTATTTGAGGGGGGGGGCAAACCCTCAATCAAGGGGCTCATGTTCCCTGTGTAGGTAAAAGCAGGGGGTGCCCCCGTGTTCTTCCCGATGAGTGGGAACACATAGCCACTGCTGACAGCAGACTTGGACTTCCCCAAATATGGCAGGCACTTTTCTGAGGGGTCTGTAACAGAGCCGTGGTGGACATTCGTTACATACCTTTGTTACATAAACAAAGCCGCCTGGCTGGTTGCATGCTCTTCGTTGCAGACCCCGATGCTTATTGAGACTTTCAGTTATTTCCCGTTGGTGCCTGCAGAGTAGTCTTTGGCAGAGCATGCGTTCGCTGGACAGACCTTGGAACAGTCTACATGCAGAGAGAGCTTGCCATTCAGAAGAAAGTTGGAACAGCGTTGAATAGTTGCAAACTTCAAAGTGGAGATGCTGAGGTGCGCTTCGCGTGCTGCACTTGTACTGGATGGTTTCGACGCTCAAGCTGGAGCTTGGCAAATTTGTAGTTCCACGCTACATTGTGCTACGACGTGTCACCGTTACACACCTACGTAATTTGGACCCCGCCGCGTATCTGTAACTAGACTCGTGCCGCGTCCTGCGTTGCATACCCTCAAAACTAATACATAGCCATATAGCCCGCTCGCCGGGCTGCAAATTGGGCGGATCCAAAGGTGCTTGTCAGGAGTCTGTATACTGTTCCGGCGGGACAACATGGAGTTCAGCAATGCCTATAAAGATCTCCATTGTCATTTTCATAGCGCCAACACTCAATGGGCTTTGCGCGCTTCTCACCTGAATCGGCGAGCATGGAGAACTCTGCGTGCTGGCGCCCAGATCATCGCCAAGAAACAGAAAGCAGACGTGTGCGGCTCTCAGCGGAAGCTGCGTGAGACTGGTAGCTTATTTCTTCGTTTTGGGGGTGGCTACAATGCCTTGAGCAACACGACAGGAGAAGCTGAGTAGAAAAAACATGGCGATGGAATTGTGTTTTGGGGCCAGTTGGTTCATTTACCTTAGTAGTAACCAAGCGGATTTCCACTCTTGAAAGATCAAATGGAAAATGGGGAGGTCTCCTGCTACGTACGGTGGCTTGCCTGGCATCTGGGGGCTACGCGGCCACCTTTTTCAAGCAAATCAAAGGGGGAATCTTGCTTTCCATCCCCCAAGTTGCGGTTTGTCTTTATTTCTCCTTGTGGTTTCTGATGGGCCCAAAAAGGCAGGTTGGGGTCGACAAAACATGGTCACCTAAGTAAAGAGAAGCTTGGACGAGCGCAACGGCAATTTTTCTGGCCTGTACTTTGCTTGCTCGCAACGCGGTAGTGGGACATACGGTTTTAGGGCCAGGGCACACCATGATACCAAGGGAATCTCTTCAAAGTGATGAAGGACACTGGAATGACCCAACATTATCACAGGAAGTGAGGATTTTCCACAACCATGGCCCACAACCACAAGCTTGGTCAACCTTTAAGGCTCTCGCGCAAAGGCTCGCGCGTTGAAGCAAACAGCGCAGAGTGTGCGCGTTTGCCATGCTCAGAGGGGCCAAGTACCGTCTCAAGAGGCGAACACTCCCTTTCTATGAAGGCGAGTCCTAAAAGATACCCTTTCAACATTGGTTTAAAAGGAAAGCACTCACCAAACACAGCCCAAATCGAAATGTTGACAAAATTATCTAAACATGTAGCCACTTCCTTCTTACCCATCCAAACAAGATTTTGAGACGCCCTCAAGCTACGCATACTTAACCATCCTCTACCATTTAGGCAAACTTGGCCTAAGGAAGGACTCGGGCCATGAGGAAGAAGAAGCGCCCAAGGGCAAAGACAAGGAGCGAACCGCACTTTTCGGCCCAGGGTTCGGTCGCTTGCGCCGATGGTCCCCACTGTTTTAACCCATGTCACATACCCATGATATACTGATTCCGAGCAGGGAAGAAAATCCTGGAGTCTAGCCCTGACTTGAATGGGTCCCCTATTGGGTATGTGCCGCTTCTTGAGGTTCACGGCTGGCTGATATCAGGGGTTCCTATGTGGCCCCTTGGTTAAGACATCACCTTGTGGGCTGGATGAGTTTCCTGGTGATGTCGGGGAACGTATAGTGAGCCCTGTGAATGGGAAGCTCAAGAGCACAATGACTCCGGGAGTATTTGCGACATGGGGTGACCGGGTGACCCCACCTAACCATTGACTGGCCATTTGAATGTAGATTCTCTCGTGTTTTGTCTCGCCCGCATTAGGCCCCATTTGAAGCGATTTGGCCTTTGCCTATCTTGAGCTCGCGCGTGATGGGGCGCGTTCGCAAGATCAGCGGTGAGGATGTAATGACTGAGGATGAATTCGCTGCATGGTGGAGCGAGTGTGAGCACCTGCAGGGTGAGAAGTTTATCGATGTGCTCAGGCGCCATTTGGCCAAGAAGCTGCAGGTGAAGAACTTCAGGCAGCTTGCGCTGGTTTGCGGTGACGCAATGCTTTCAGTAGACAGCCAGTGGAGCGATGCAGAGCTGGTGGTTGTGCAGCGGTCCTTCTTGACAGACCCCGAGGGTGGGAGGGCGCTGGCGCAGGCGGTGCTGAACGCGGACCTTGCAGGAGTTGTGAACCTCCTGGAAAGGCCCCTGGACCCGGACACCGAAGCATATCACCCAGGAGAAGTTGACTCAGAGGACTCAGAGAGTGACCAAGGAGACAGGGTGACACCGCTGCAGCTGGCTGTCCAGAACGACCATCAGCAAGTTGTGCATTGCTTGCTGCAAGCCGGCGCTGACAAGGACAAGGCCTACGATTGCGGAAGGACTGCCATGCACTTGGCTGCCATTAAAAACTCTGTGGAAGTCGTGCGTTGCTTGCTGCAAGCCGGCGCTGACAAGGACAGGACTGACAACGTCGGATGGACTGCCTTGCACTATGCTGCCAGCAGTGTCTATGAGGAAGTCGTGCGTTGCTTGGTGCAAGCCGGTGCCGACAAGGACAAGACCAACAATGAGGGGAGGACTGCCATGCACTTTGCTGCCATAGATGACCATGTGGAACTCGTGCGTTGCTTGCTGCAAGCAGGCGCTGACAAGGACAAGGCCGACAACTACGAATGGACTGCCTTGCACTATGCTGCCAGCAGTGGCTATGAGGAAGTCGTGCGTTGCTTGGTGCAAGCCGATGCCGACAAGGACAAGACCGACAATGAGGGGAGGACTGCCATGCACTTTGCTGCCATAGATGACCATGTGGAACTCGTGCGTTGCTTGCTGCAAGCAGGCGCTGACACGGACAAGGCCGACAACTACGGATGGACTGCCTTGCACTATGCTGCCAGCAGTGGCTATGAGGAAGCCGTGCGTTGCTTGGTGCAAGCCGGTGCCGACAAGGACAAGACCGACAATGAGGGGAAGACTGCCATGCACTTTGCTGCCATAGATGACCATGTGGAAGTCGTGCGTTGCTTGGTGCAAGCAGGCGCTGACAAGGACAAGGCCAACAACTACGGATGGACTGCCTTGCACTATGCTGCCAGCAGTGGCTATGAGGAAACCGTGCGTTGCTTGGTGCAAGCCGGTGCCGACAAGGACAAGACCGAGAATTTTGGATGGACTGCCATGCACTTGGCTGCCATGAACAACTCTGTGGAAGTCGTGCGTTGCTTGCTGCAAGCCGGCGCTGACAAGGAACAGACTGACAATGTCGGACAGACTGCCATGCACTTTGCTGCCATGAAGAACTCTGTGGAAGTCGTGCGTTGCTTACTGCAAGCCGGCGCTGACAAGGACAAGACTGACAATGTCGGACAGACTGCCATGCACTTTGCTGCCTAAGATGACCATGTGGAAGTCGTGCGTTGCTTGCTGCAAGCTGGCGCTGACAAGGACAAGGCCGACAACTACGGATGGACTGCCTTGCACTATGCTGCCAGAGGAAGTCGTGCGTTGCTTGCCGCAAGCCCTTGCCGACAAGGACAAGACCGACAATGAGGGGAAGACTGCCATGCACTTGGCTGCCATAGATGATCATGTGGAAGTCGACAATGAGGGACAGACTGCCATGCACTGGCTGCTTGGAACAACTCTTTGGAAATCGTGCTTTCCTTGTTGAAAGCCGGGGCTGACAAGGACAAGGCCGACAAGTACGGAAGCACCGCCATGCACCGCGCTGTCGAGAATAGCTCTTTGAAAGTTGTGTGTTGCTTGCTGCAAGCCGGCGCTGACGAGGAGAAGGCCGACAATCACGAACCCACCGCAATGCACTTTGCTACTGGCCATTTGAGTTTGGAAGTCGTGCGTTGATTGCTGCAAGCTGGCGCTGACAAGGACAGGACTGATCACGGACATGCTATGCACTGCCGAGAACGGCCATGAGAGCGTTGTGCCTTTCTTGGCCCCCAGCGTCAGCGGCAAGTCCAAGCCAGAACATGTAGTTTCACCAGACAGGCGCAGGCGACAAACCCGTCAACAGAACTTCGGGGTTGCTGGAAGCCGTTTGCGAAAAACTTTGCGCAGGGCGGGGCGTTCTTTGTTCTCCCTTCAGGAATCACTCCGTCATGGGAGGCCAGGGTCAATGCACCCATGGATAGCATACCTGTGATCCAGGAACTTTACCGGACACAATGATAGAGTTGCGTCGCTTGATAGAGGGGTGTCCCGATTTTGAGAGGCTCCTTTACTTTGGGGGGAACCACTCCGCCAGGTCGATCTGGGTTGACATGTTTGCACGTTCAGATACCCAAATACCCACGAAAGCTGTTTTCCTTTTTTTCCCGTTGACCCATTTGGTAATGTTTTCGCCATTCAAAACACGGCATTTGCTTTGATTGGTGCTTTGGGCACAAGGGTTGTGTAGGGCTTTGGGCCCACTTTTCGCGAGCCAGGGTAACCGTGATGTAGCCATGGCCCACGTTCGTATCGCAATTCGGGTTATGTGTCAACCAGCCAAGGCCAGGTGAATCCAGTCTGTTGTCGAGATATGGGGTTCGCGATAGTGGCGACGAGCTTTCAACTTGGGAAAGGCCGATCCGGTGGAAAAGGCGACCGCGAAAGCTCATTCAAAGTTTAGTTTCTTGGCGTTGCGGGCGTTGCGGGCGCCCCCGGTTCAGGAAACACCAAGTGTTTGACCCTCGTGGGCAAGTACAGGCCGCTCAAACAAGGTTTCTACTCTTGAAGGAAGTCCCTAGATGTTCCCCGAAACCAAAAGACGACGCTGGGAAAAAAGAAAAAGAGCTCACCTGAACAAAGCGAGCGCTTTAAATCTTGAGATGCCAAGTTTTGTTCCGTGTTAGCCTCACACAGTCACCCTTGTTTGGCGTGTTTCTTGGAGCCCGCCAGTCTGTTCAGGGCTCCTTAAAAGATCTCCATTTTGCACATTGAAACATAGCTTTTTCAACACCAAAATAAAGGGAAACCACCATTTGTTCCACCAAAATAAAGGGAAACCACCATTATGCAAGGCAATGTTCAGGTGTAAAATGTAAGGATCCCTGTTGTTGCGCGCAGCTTTTGATTTGGGGAAATCCGGCGATTCCTGTTCAATCGCTCCTTTCTGGCACCCCTCAGATAATGTTTGGATCCTCAGGTTCGTTGAATATCAGACTTCCCAAGCTTTGGGACTGTTTTGGGAAGACACATTCAAGTGGCAAACAAAAAAGCTGAACAGCTTGAGGTGTTTCTCAAAGAGACCCGAACATCAGTTGCTTCCTTTCACCATCTGGTTTCTTCAGTTGAAACTGTCCGAACAGGGGTCCACCATTTTGAAGCCCCCCTCTAGGTCCCCCAGCTAGGTTCCCTTTGACCGTTTCTTTTTTTGGGGGAGGGTTCCCCTGCTAAGACAGACTACAGGAAAAAAATGGTACCCTTGTTCGAACCTCTCAAATCTGGAGGACCTAGCCCTTTGTGGAGCACCCCATTGGCTGTAACACAACGTCTCAGCTACTTTTGGCTTTCAGGAGTCGCGCACGCTGAACGTCACGGCCAGCCTGGCGTCGCAGTTCACCCTGTCCCCTGGCGCTCTCGAGGAGGCGGTGCTCAACGGGCGGCCGCGGTGCAGCGGGTGGATGTATCGACGTGTGTCTGTTGTGGTCAGGAAACACGTGAGTCTTAATCAAAACCCGGTATTAAAATGGTCTACCCAGAACCATGTAAAGAAATACAAGAAGGCGGCCGCAGCTATTGATGGTTGGGATTGTCCCTTACTAACCTTCATCTACCCGGGTTTTGATTGTGGCTCACGGGCTGGGGTAGTTTGGATGGACACCAGAGGGAAACAAAGTACAACCCTTCACGTGGAATCGAAAGTGGCCAATTCCCAAACAAAGTTTCCTCATATGATGGCTGGCTGGGTTCCTCTTAACCCTACATCCTTTACAGTCCCTCTCCCTACAACCCCATTCTATCTGGGTGAATTGTAACGACCTCACACGACCTCACCCCAAATGGTGGTTTATGTGGGGAATAGCCCCCCAACCACCGCAAGTTTCAGGCTGGTGAAATAGTAGCGTGTGTGAAGCCGTTTTTGATGAGGAAAAGTAGAGCGACCTGAGAAAGGTTTCCATAGGTTATGAGCCCAACAGCGGCCTCTTAGAAAGGCCATGGAGGAGCCGCAGTCTGCGCCGGGCTCCGTGGAACCCCTGGAGGATGAAGGGGGCCTGGAGCTGATCGGGCAGGAGGTGGCGGTGATCACGGGCAAGGGCACGGGGGCTTCTGGGAGGTCAGCGACTGGGCGCCCTCGCGAAGAGGGAACGCCAAGAAGAGGACTGGCGACGAGCTCGGGTGGAGGTGCGCTAGGCTCACCGATGTGGGTGGGCGGGCCGGTGGAGAACCCGAGGACCCTGGGGCCGCTGTTCAGCCCGGAGCAGATGAGCCGACTCAAAGAATGGGAAAGGGAGGCCCCGCTGATTCATGGCACCCCGATGGACCAAAGGAGGCCGGAGCACCTGCCGATTCTGGACGCTGGGCAAGAGACCAATGAGGACATGGCGGTAACCATCAAGGAGCTCCAGAAGCAGAATAAAATGTTGATGGAGGAGTTGGGCCGCATCAAGAACTATGTCAAAGAGGAGCGCTACGGGACGCCGGAGAGCCAGGTCAAGCCCGAGGTTCAGAAGGTGCCCAACGGGACCAGCAACAAGCGGGACAACCAGAACGAAACGGTTGGCGACGAAGAGAGTGTGAAGAATGAAGATGAGGATTCCTCGGAGATGAGACCGGCCAGCGAGAGCGGTTCCGGAAAAGAGAACGCCAGGCTGGACGTCATGCTGAAGTTGATGGAAGGGATGCAGGAGCTTCAGAAGCACATCCTGGACAAGGGCAACAAGGAGAACGAGAACGCGGAGGTGGTACGGCAAGGAGTACACGATCTTCCGCTACTACCAGAGCCTGCCTCGGAAAGTGGGCCGCTGGATTTGGGTGACTGGTTGATGATGGTGGAACCCATGATGGCCGACTTGTCGGACACCTCGGGAGATTGGTGGGTGCTGATGGTTGAAGAAAGCAGGAAGTGGTACCGGAAGTACATGGCGGAGGACCCCATCAAGAGAGCCGAGACGTCCACCGAGAAGCCGGAGGCACTGGATCAGAAAAAGTGGGGAAGGTTGGAGAAGCGAGCGATGGCGATGATGGTCAAGGCGGTGCCGGAGTCGATCCGGGATGAGCTCATGGCCATGAGGGCATTGACGGCCTTCGGGACATTGTGTCGGTTGCAGGTGCTGTACCAGCCGGGAGGGAACGCGGAGAAGGCCCTGGTGCTGAGGAATTTAGAAGACCCCCCAGAGGCTACCACAGCAGGTGAGCTGGTGAAAAGTCTGCGGAGGTGGTTAAGATGGCGGAGAAGGGCGGAAGAGGTAGATCTGGCCATACCTGATCCGACGGTGTTGGTCAAAGGGATCAACAAGATGTCGAAGAGTGTGTTGGAGGGCAATCGGGAGTTGCTCTTCCGGATCTCCCTTGCCAGGTCCACGATGCAGATTGACTCCAACCCGGATCAAGCTGTGGTGAAACAGTTCGCGGAACATCTCTTGGCGGAGGTGGAGCAGACGACCTTCGTGTTGGAAAAGAAGAACGTGAAGGGGCAAGCGATCGCAGAGCCGAAGGTGAAGAAGCTTGGAGATGCGGAAGGGGAAACGAAGCCGTGGAAAGAAAGGCTATGAGAAAAAGGAGCGCCCTTGTCGGTTCTTCCTGACGGATGGTGGTTGCCGCAAGGGCAAGAGCTGCGAATGGTCCCATGTCATGGAGGAGGGGACGAACAAGAATCGGTGCTGGGAGTGTGGCGCCACAGATCATCGACGGCGAGAATGCCCAAGAAAGACTAAGGCTAATAACAGCACCGAGAAGGTGACCCCAAAGGTCAACAAGGCGGAGGTGGACGAGAAAGAAGATTCGCCCGGGAAAGAGAAGAGGGTGGAGGAGACGCAGCACAATGGAGAAAAGAATGCGAAGGAGGACGGGGACACGTTGAAGGGCATCCTGCATGAAGCCAACGTGATGCTCAAGTCCATCAATGGCGGGAAGGAGACAAAGGGTAGCCGAGAGCGAGAAAAGAGACTGGAGGAGTTGCAAAGCAGCTGGACGACTTGAAGGTTCGGGCTGTGAAGGTCACCAAGATCAGCTGCAAGGGAGGCGGTTTGCTGGACTCGGGAGCTACTCACGCCATGAGACAGATGGGCAAGAGGGAAGACCGGAGTCGATTGGAAAAGACGGTGGTGACCATGGCGGATGGTGGGAAGAGAGAGATGTACATCACCCCGGGCAAGATCCTGGTGTGCACGGAGAAGGTGGATCCGATCCTGCCGTTGGGAGGATTGGTGGAGAAGCTGGGTTGCCGGGTGGAATGGCAAGGATCCTGCTGTCAACTATGGCATCCTGTGAAGGGAAGGATAGCGGTGGAAATGGTCGACGGGTGCCCGGAGGTGTCAAGAAGGGAAGCGGAGGAGCTGATTGAGGAGATAGAAGAAAAGGTGTCTGCGAGAAGGGTGTGGGACATCGGAGCTAAGGGCGCCGTGCCGACGGAGACGTGCAGTGCCAGGTGGAGAGGGAGTGGATGAGGAGCCTTATGGAGAACCACGAGGTCTTTCAGGGGCTCCCGGAAGAGATAAAAGAAAGGGTGTTGGAGTTGCCGGCGACTGACTGGTCGAGCCTGCCCTGGAGCCGGAGGAGGAGAAGACAACAAGGAAGTGGGCAGAAGGTGACTTTACACCTCTATGCAGGCCCAGATGAGGGGTACACCTTCCGGCGAGCGTTCAAGGAGGTCGGAGGAGATGCCAGGAACATCATGGAGGTGGATATCCTTCGGGGGCCAAGAGAAGACATGGTGGAGGGCGGCCTGTACGCCGGATTGCTGAGGCTGTGCTTTGACGGGGAGGTGGGAATGGTGATGGGTGGACCGAATTGCCGGAAAAGAAGTGTGCTGCCTGGAGGTGGACCACGACCCCTGCGAGGAATGGCCCGAGAAGAGCAGTTCGGGTTTGAGTACCTGGAACCATGGGAAAGGAAGCAGGTCGTCGAGGATGACGTGATGATGTGGCGGATGATCATGCTGTACCTGGTTGCCGACGAGGTGGCCATGAGGAAAAGAGAAGAGCCGGTGGGATTTCTGGTTGAGCAACCAGCTGACCCGAGCCACTATCAGCCCGAGTGCGTATCATGGTGGAGGACGCCGCAGTGGCGAGGGCTGAGGGAGGACAAGGGGCTGCTGGAGGTGACGTTCAATCAGGGAGACTATGGCGGCGTGGCGGTGAAGCCTACTACGCTGGGGACTAACCTGGTGGTGCAGCTTCCGCAGGAGAAGGTCGAAGGGCTCGGGACACGGGGTACGGCAACAGCAGTGGACATCAAGGAGACAAAGAACATGGCCCGGCGGGTACCGGGACTGATGAGGGAGATAGCGACAGATGTGCTGGAGCAGATCTACAAGGAGAAGGCAGAGGTGAAGCGTCTTAGCTGGGGAGAGCACGTAGCCAACGGCCATGTGCCATTCCGCAAGGACTGCCGGGACTGTCAGTTAGCCTCTGCAAAGGACCGCCCCCACAGGCGCATCAAGCATCCGCAGGCATATGTGTTAAGCTTGGATGTGGCGGGTCCCATGAAGCGTGGATGGGACATCGACGGCAAAGCGTGCAAGTACTTGCTTGTGGGCGCGTACACGTGGGCGAAGCCGGGGCAGCCAGGAGTGGAGGAAGAAGAAGATAAGGGAGAAGGAAGAAAGGCAGGAGAAGCGAAAGAAGATCAGGAGGCAGATAAAGAAGAGGAGATCCCCAAGATGGAGGACTATTGGACAATGAGCAGCGATGGAAGTGCAGTCATTCGAGTGCACAAGCACCATCGGAAGGTGAGGTGCTTTCCTGGAGACGCAGAAGGCTGTCCTGTACCCGTAGACAAGCTGGAATCGGTGCGGAAGACGGTGGCTCGGAAGACCAAGGGAGGCGCCTACACCGTGCATGAGGACGACTGGAAGAGTGCGAGAAGAGAGGACCAGTTGTTCGAGGACGGATCGAGATGGGCGGGTCGGACGATCTTCAAGGTGGAAGGAGTAGAACCAGAGCAAAGGTTGGAAGAAGGTGACCAGGAACTACCAGCGGGAGAAGAACCATTACCGGAGGGGGATTGGGACTTCGAGCTGGAGGATGTGGGAGGTGAACTTCGAGAAGCAGGAGATGACCCAGCACCGGAGGAGGGTCAGGAGTTAGAAGATGAGGGTCCGGAAGGACTAGAGGTGGAGACGCACTGGATGGCTCTGCCGATGCCGACGAAGAGCATTCCCTCGGTCATGGAAGCCGTGCAGGAGATGTACTTGGCATTACGGGCAGACGGTTATCCGGTGGCAAGGATGCACACGGATAAGGGCCGCGAGTTCCAGAACCACACCTTGAAGAAGTGGTGCGGCAACCGTGACATCTGGAAGACGAGTACGGCCGGGGACAATTTCAAGGCCAATGGGAGAGTGGAGGTTACCATTCAGAAGATAAAGAGCAGGATGAGGCGAGTGCTACATGCTGCAGAGCTGGATGGCGAATGGTGGCCATGCGCTGCCCAGTACGTGCAGGCGAAGGACAAGATGATAAGAAGCAGAGAGGAGGGTACGATCCCTGCTTTTGGGCAAGAAGTGCTCTTCAAGAGGAGGAAATGGAAAGTCAAGGATGACATGGAGGTGACGCATCAGAAGGGATACTACCTGGCGCCGGTCAGCAACATTCCTCACGGGCATGCGGTCATGAAGGAGAACGGCGACGTACAGGTGACGTCCTACGTGCTGAAGAAGTGGGACGTGCCGCCTGCGGTGCAAGGACAATGGCAGCTAGAGGAGAGAAAACCTGGTCCAGAAGGTGATCCCCACGAGGTGAGAAGGAGAATTTGGGGCAAAAGCAGACCCCCAGGAAGAGAGGATGCAGGAGAGCTGGTTCGCGTGAGGAACATCCAGCAGATCATCAAGGAGGAAATGCAGAATGTAGAAAGGGACGAGCCGGACAGAAGGTGAGGAGTGATGGAGATGAGGAACTTGGAGGAGAACAGCGGCAAGTACTACAAACCCGGATCGTGTCGCTGAAGGAGGTAGAAGAAAGAAAGGAGGAGTGGAAAGAGCCAATGCTGAAAGAGATGATGGCGTTGGCGGAGGAGAAGGAAGCGGTGACGAGGTTGAGCGCAAAGGAAGCTCATGAGCTACTTGAGGTAGACAGAGAGGTGCAAGTGCTGCCAGGCAAGGTGGTGTGCACGGTAAAGCCCGGAGGGAAGAAGAAGTGCCGGATTGTGGTGTGCGGCAACTTCGGAGAGAGTCATCAAGAAGGCCAGTGTCTCTACGCCTCGGGGACTGACGTGATCGGTCTCCGTGTAGCCATCAAGGAGGCGGCGAGGAGAAGGTGGAAAGGAGGAACCGTGGATGTGCGGTGCGCCTTCTTGAATGCCCCCCTGGAGGCGGAGAGTGGAGGTGCGACGACAAAGGTGGCAATGAGACCTCCGGCCATTTTGGTTCGGATGGGCTTGATCGGGCCAGGCGAGCTGTGGGTGGTCAATCGGGCTTTGTATGGACTACGCCAAAGTCCGAGATGTTGGGCCACTTATCGGGACACGAAGATGAGGAGTTGGAGGTTTCACAGCGGTGGCCAACCGGTCAAACTCGAGCAGATGATGAGCGAGCCAAATATGTGGCTGGTCATGGTAAAAGCAAAGACGGAAGGAGAGAAGGAGGAGACGGTTGGCATCATTGTCGTGTATGTGGACGATATGATGGTGCTGGGACCGGAGGAGACCGTGACGGCGGTGTTTGATCAAGTGAGGAGAGAATGGGAGACGTCGGAGCCCGAGTGGTTTCAACAGGAAAAAGCGGTGAGGTTCTGTGGGGTGAGCGTCAAAGCCCTGGACGAGGGGTACCTGGTCACCCAGGAGGACTACATCCAAGATGTGTTGGACCGCAATGGAGTCAAGGGAGTGGCGTCGACCCCCATGAGCAGAGATGTCAGTGACCCGGGACCGGAGGAGGACATCACCGCTGAAGAGGTGCAGGCCGCACAACGAATTGTGGGAGAGTTGATGTGGCTGGTCACAAGGTGCCGAGCGGACCTCGCGTACACCGTGGCGAAGATGGCATCCCAGGTGGCAAGAACTCCAAGATGGGTGGTCCAAGTGGGGGAGCAGGCGCTGAAGTACCTGAATGGCACGAAAGAAGAAGGTCTACTCTTCAGCGTGGACACCGGCACTGACTTGAATGGCAGAGTGGGAGCTGGTTTGGAGGTGGCGACGGATGCAAGCTTTGCGCCGGGAGGAGGTCTTAGCCATGGCTGTGTGATGGTGAAATGGATGGGCTCCGTGGTGGCGTGGCGATCGTCAAAGCAGAGTTTTCCTGCGCTATCTACGGCGGAGTGTGAGTTGATGGAGATGATCGAAGGAATGATCGTGGGCGACAGCGTGGATGCCATGATCAGCGAGCTAGAGGAGGACGGCTACATGAGGTCACTGCAGGGAGACAACCAAGCAGCGATCGCGCTGTGCTCGGAAGAAGCTGGAAGTTGGAGGACGCGGCATTTGCGTCTGAGGGCGTTCCATGTCCGTTGGCGAATGCAACAGGGAGATTGGAGGATCGCCCACAAAGCAGGAAGTGAGCTCATCGCGGACATGGGAACGAAGGCCCTGGCAGGTCCGAAGCTGAAGGACCTGAAGAAGAAGGCGGGAATGATGGCTGAGCCACAAACGAAGGTGAATCGCATCAACGAGGTGAAGCTCGACATGGTAGAGATCGAGAAGTATAAGCAGGCGCTGGCGGTGATAGCTTGCTGCTTGCAAGTGCAGGGCACCTCGGCGATGGAAGATGAGAAGGCTGGCAAGGAGGAAGATGAGGCGTTGATCCGGTTCGGGATCATGGTGGCGGTGTTCACGGTGATCGCAATGAAGATCGTGGAAAAGTGTGGAGCCGCTTGTAGTCGAGCTCTACCGGTGGTAAGGGTTCTTCGCGTTGGGAGAGAACGGGAGGTGGATTCCCCGCCCAGGAGGTTGAGAGATGAGCAAGCTGATGCTCCAGAAGAAGTCTCAACGAGATCCGGGGGTGGAGAGGCATCGGGAAGTTCGTCTACTACCGGAGGAGGAGAGGCATCAGGAAGATTGCCGACTACCGGAAGTGCAGAGGCATCGGAAGGGTGGTCCCCTGGGGAACGAGCATCGGGAAGTTCGTCTACTACCGGAGGAGGCACAGAGGAGACCCGAGGGTTCGTCGCTCCTACAGCGAAATGGAACCCAGGGTGCACCAAAAGGAAAAGGGAAGGGCAAGAGAGCGCCCCACCCGGCAAGGCCGACGGCGACGAGGCGAAGGGACCCAGAGCCGGAGCCGGAAGATGATGAGATCCCGGTGGAGCCGTCGGTGTTCTACACGGATCGGGGAGAGAAGTACCATCTGCGGGAGAACTGCTACGGGCTTCGACTGGCCACCAGGGTGCGGGAGTCGTTGCCGTGTCCCAGGTGTATGACGCCGGACTTCAGGCGTTTGCTGGGAAGCACAGTTGGAGGGCTATACATCGGGCGGAACGGGCACTACCACTCGGTGATGATGTGTGCGGGCAGAGAAGGCATCGAGTACAACGAGTATGACACGTGCCGGTACTGCCTCAACGGAGATGTGGTGGTGGATTAGGCGGCTTGAGCAGTGTTTTGGAGCTGAGTAGGCGATAAGAGCCGAAGAAGCTGAAGCGAGCAGGTGCCGGATGGCATGTGCTCGGGAGGAGCGTGTGTGAAGCCGTTTTTGATGAGGAAAAGTAGAGCGACCTGAGAAAGGTTTCCATAAGTAGAATTCACCCAGATTCCAGCTAGCATGGCACCCCACAGAGGGGCCCTTCAGGAGCAAATTGATCTTCCAGGTACCCTCCAACAGGTGCTATGTTAGTGACAGAGAGGGCACCTATCGTAGGGATCCTACAACCCCATTCCATTTGTTTCGCCTCTGGTACTGTCATGAGGAAGTCTTCGCCTGTTCCGCCAGGCACGGAAGCTGAACGTGGTGCTGCCCATCGAGCGGCCCGGCGAAGAATTGAGCAACCGGAGGTTCACGGCTGCGTGGGCCTTGGGTGTCAAATAAAGCCCCATGGTGGTTTTATATTAGGAATAGAAAAGCTACAAACACCACGGTGTGTGTATGTGTGTGTGTATTTCTTTTTTAAGAAATAGGACAAACAAATGAAGTAGCTATGAACCCCATGGTTGACATGCGGTTGTCTTTTTGTGAGGGTGCCAACCCGAAATGGGGGTGGCTTAAAGGGAAACCAAAGGGAAGCCAAACATTTTGGGGCGCCCATTTTGAGACAGCTCCACTTTGGAGCCATCCTGAGGATGCGCTTGGATCTGGGACAGGTTTTGGCTGGACTACTTGCCGACGTGAAGTATATCTGCTGACGTCCTTTTACACAACCACAAGTTTGTAGTCTGGATTGGTGGGAACTGGGGAGTTGAACCCCTGATTCTTTTGAGACATGGGAAACCACAGCAAACCAACAAGAGGGCTGCGTCCGTGGCCTGGGTCGCCCAGTGCCGCGTTGGGTTCCTCAATTCGATCGAGGCGGGGATCCCAGACCTTCTTCATCGCGGGGGACTCTCTCGGGGGCATCTCCGTCTTCTTCCGAAACGGCGCGCGGAGCGTTGGGTCGACCCGGCTTCCCCAAAGGTCGACTGGTCCGGTCCCTTTCCACCGCTTTGTACCATCCATTTTACACCTGGTTTCGCCTTTTCACCCCTTTTCGCGCCTTTTCACGTCGCTTCCCCCTCTCGCACCTTGTCACCCCTCCGGACATGAAGGGACCTTCAAAGCCATTCTCGAAGGGTACCGAGGGGCCCTTCTGGGCTGGAGATTAGGCACCATCGACATGTTAAAAGTTTAGAAGGCCAAGGCTTCAGCAGTATGTCTCGAACTCAGGGGACACAAAATGGGAGAGTGGTTTCCCCGTGGAATCCTTTTAAATGGGTACGCTCAACAAATGCTCATTCCTTGCCCGGGGATTTGATGGAATTTGTCAGCATAAAGTTGATAACTGGACCCTCAATACACCCTTAACAATTGGATATTGTTCCAAAATCATTGAGTGATGCCTTTTTTTTTTTCCGGGGGGGATAGTTGGATGGTGCAGGTAGTCTAGTGTTAGTTTAAGCCGCCATGGGAGGCCCACCTGAATTCAGCTGACAAATTGCCCATTCTCTTGGAGAGAAGCATTGCCCATAACTTGCACGACTTGTTTGTCGTTGCTGTGTACAAAGGCGAAGCAATTTACTCCCCATTCCTCAGTGAAAGGACATTCCACTGGGGGATGGTAACGCCAATGCAGCTGCCTATCTTATGGCGAGCTTACCTGGAGGTACAATGAGCTCATGATCAAGGTCCTTTCCCTGAAGATCCCTGAATTAGCTTTTGGACTTATAGTGAAATTCGCAGATTGCGTGAGACTTGTCAAACTGCTGTTTGGGCAAGTTCCAGCCCGAGGGCTGAGAAGACTCCAAAAAGCGCATTAGATGAAACCGGTTTCTTCTTTGTTTTTCTCGTTTTGAGTGGTCCATGCAAAAAGGTGAGTCTTCCCGATCGCTGGCATTTGGCAAAACGGTAGTGACCTCACAACATGGTTTGTGGAAATTGGGATTAAGGACCAAGTGGCACGGCGGTGACGGGCATATACAGGAAGATACCTTCTTTTTCAAGGTCACGCAGCAATCGCGAGCCTGTGCGTATGTAATTTTGGTTGTCTTTTTCGGACACCCCCTTTTGGGGGCGTTAACTCCATCTGGGTACGCAGTTTTAATGTGTGACCCTTTCGTACATCATTTTTCATGGGTATTTCTGTTCAACCATCTTAGAGGCCAAGTCTACAGTTGAGTGTTCAACAAGGGGCGGTTTGGTGTTGCCATTGGTCCCCTACAGGAGACATCCACTCCGGAGTCCCACTGGGGAAGTTGGCTGAGGCTCAGAGCTTTTTCGGGGCATTTCAGCCATGATCAAAGGACCCATTACTTGGTGTAGGGTTGGTGATCAACATCTGCATAGGTGCTTTAGACAACCCATGTATTCATTCCTGTGAAGGGAACTGGGGGGTCACTGGTAAACAGGGATAGGTTGGACCCTGCCTCACACCAAGATGAACATTTCGTTTGAATCAACGGGAAGAGCGGTCCTTCAAATGTGGTTTCTGCTAGTTAAACTCGTATCGTCTTTCCAACAATCGTGGAAGTGGACAGATGTGGTTTGGAAGACAACCATCTTCTTGAAAAGGCCCCTCGTCCACTACCGTGAGTCTTGGAAAGAGGGTACTTGAAACCGGGTCCAAGGGATACGGACAACCCCTCATTTGGCGTCTCGCTCGCCGTCAGGCACCATGCGGGGTCGCGTGCGTGTCACAGAGGACCCTGGAGGCGTTAAGGGCCTGATCCGGGCACAGGCGCCACACGAACACCTCGATCGAGTTGTTTGGTGTGAGGTGAGCAACGGAGTGGTTTCCCCATTGGTGGTACCCTGGTTTCACGGAGGTGTGGCTCTTTTTCCGTTAGTTCGGCAAACCGTCACGCCTCCCCTTTTTAGGGGTGGCCTCCAATCGGGTTTTATAAGCATCGGTGTATCAGATGTGGGCGAAGAAATGGGCAGCTGTCTGGCGTAAGTGGTTAGTAGCCCTAGTTATAGCCCGCAGAACAGAGACTTGCAACTGGGTGCAGGTTATTTGCTCATGGTGAAACACTCACCTTCCGTACCCGCTCGCCCCTGCAACTAGAACTGGGCATGATTGACCTTCCAGACCTTGGCCGCACTTTCAGCTGCAACCCCAGGAGGTGGCTCAAAGCGAACAGGGGTTTCAACACATGCAATCAATTGAAGATGGGGGGGTGAAATTGCCCAAGGCTGCCTACCATGCCCAGGTATCTTGGCTGAAAAACAGGGCGCCCTATATACATGTTCTCCTTTGGTCGTTTAAATCATCACGTTTGCGCTGCCAACAGCTGCCAACGAATTTGGCGAGTTCCTTTGGGTTCAGTGATGTTTCAGGAACCCCTGGCAAAAGTGGGGAACCCTGGATACTACCCGAAACTCTGGAAAAGAACCCCTAAATAGGGTTCCTAGTGGCATCTTGAGGTGGAGATCTGGCTGGACAAACAGTTTGCGTGTTGCGTGATATGCCACGCATCGCGTTAGTGCCATCTTCAGGACACCTGGTTTGCACACCGAGGCTCCAGCCCCGCGATTTCCGGCATTTCCCGCGCAATTCTCCGAGCTCGAGTCGGATTTGCGCATCAGACCTCGCGAAGCCCGTGTCCTAATTTCTGCTCGAGTCGGATTCGCGCATCAGACATCGCCGCGCCAGGGGCAGCAGCAGGTGCTCTTCTACAGCAGCCACGCCTTCGGCTTCTTTAGTCCATCGCAGGTGGACTTGCAGCCAGAGCCTCAGAGCCTCCGGGGATGGTGGTTCCATGGGGGCGTTGTTTGTGGCTTGACGTTTTTTGGTTTGGTGCTCGGTTTTGTGGAGTCTTCACGTAGAAACCCGGAAAGCTGGGGGAGTCTGGTCCATCCGTGGGGTGAACATTTGTGTGTGTGTGTGTGTGTTTTGTTGCACGTGTTTGGTGTCTTTGTTTGTTTGTCAGGGAAGAACTCTCTGTATTTGTTTGGTTGGTTGTGTTGGTTGACCGTCTTTTCTCTGTGTGTGGCTTCTTTGGAGGAGCTGCGTCGTTGGTGTTTCCCCTCGCTGTTTGGTAAAGGGGTAATCTCAGAGGGAAGATTGGGACCGTCCAAACTTGAAATTGACCGGACCCTGAAACTACCCTCAAGAAGCGCATGTCGCTCACTCGTTTTTTGGGGACGAAACCTAAATTTCCCCCGAGCCTTCGCGGTTTCGCAGGTACCCTCCGTGCACTGGCTGGAACAGCCCCCTCTACGATCTTGCCATGGAGCCGGGCTATTCGCCGGGAGACCCGGAGAACTTGTCAAGCACTGCGAGGTGCCAGTGTGTTGTTGTTTTCGCAAGGTTAGGGTTTGTTTGTTGTGTTCGGGGACCACGGATTTTGGGAAGCTCGCCTTGTCTTATGGGGGGAACCCTCCAAATGGTCTGTTTCAACCCTCAAAATCGTTTGCTTCCGAATGGTTTCCCTTGAAAACCAACCAAGAGGGTCCCAAAAGGGAGCCCGCATTTGGGCTTGAGTTGTGCTCAAGAATCGAAATGAGTTGAGCTGCTCTTGAGGTGTTTCACCGAGTCTGATGATTCTGTGTACACGATTCTGCGTGTACCCATAGGTGTTGGCGAAAATTGAGAACCCATCAACACACAAACAAACGTTCTTGGGTGATTTGGTGTATAGTCAAAGCACCCGGTTGGTTATCGTACCCTGAGGCATTCCCAGAAAAGTAGGGCAACCAACCATTTTCCCCATTTCGTTGTTGCCTACTATACAAGAACATGAAATCACTGGATAAGGGTTCCTATTCAGGAAGCCATGCATAGCACATGTAAATCATGGGATCTGCAACTTCAAAGCTTATTTTCCATGAGGTTTCCTGGTGTCTGTTGGTTGTGTTTCCTCATCATGACCGGGCATCGCAAAGCTTCTGGACAAGGCTGCGTCGTTGAATTTGTTTGCTTGCCTTCAATGATGCAACACAGGATTCCCCTTTTCGAGGACACCAGCAACCCTTGGGTTGGAAAGGGGACGATGTCACGCGTGTCACGCAAGCACACAAGGGAAGCTGTGTGTCGTATTCCAATCAATGAGTGCCCTCCCAGCAACTAACATGTAAGCTGGGAGCTTGCTGAAAGGCAACTTCCCTAGGTGAGCGAGGGTGGCAATGCTTTGCGTGGATGCGCCAAAATCCAGCACCAGTTGGTAGGTGGTTTATCCTAGTATTTAACCATCATGTGAAACCTGGAGGTGAGCATACTTGGTTGCCTAGTGTAGTGGTAGCTGGAAGCACTGGGTATGCCAAGGTTTCTCTGGACGCTTGACTGGCCCAGGACCGGACGAGTGCTGCTGGCGCTGCAAGACGGCGATGTCTTAGTCTACGCCACCACCCGCGGCAAGAGCAAGGCGCGCGGCTTCGCGTCGGCGTTGGAGCGACTAGACCTGGGCCCATGCCAGTGACGTCCTGAAAATTGCAATGGGAGTGGTGGTTTCAACGGCAGACCAGCCTCCAAATGTGCGCAGAGTGCAGAAATGCGCAGAAAGCTGTTCTAGCTAGATGATTGCCCTTGGGTGGCTCAAAAGGCACCTTTAGGAAAGGCCAACTTTGGGTGACAATTTGACGTGTCAGGAACCCTACACAGAAGGTCGTTGCTTGAAGTTCCGTTTGGTCAAGTTACGACTCAAATAATTTCGCAACCTGCCCCATGAACTTTTCTGCAGGGGACGCCTTTCCTTTGGGTGCCTTGTTGGTTCTGTGGGTCTGGCATCTAAAAGCAATTTGTTAGCGGGTTGCATGTCCTTGCAAAGGATTTTTCGAGACATGGCACGGTTTCCCAAGTCCACAACTTGTTCACCCACCTTAAGGACTACCCAAAGGGCAAAGCAGGTCTCTGGACTCTCGACTCTCCAAGTGCCCAGTTCAGCCGACCGGGTTTTGGACGCCCAAGGATGGCATGGACCAATAGCCATGTTACTAGAACCAAAAGTGAGTAGGTGTTGGGCGCTGCCTAATTGTGAGGGCCTTTAGTAAGGGATAGGAATTTGGTTCGACCGATGCGACCGAGTGATCATTTGTCGACGCAGCACTGCACAGCAAATAGGGCATGCCTAGACAGACGAAGCTCTGGAAAACCGCGTTGCTGGCCCACCCGCCCCGCGCGGAAAATGCAGTATGGAGGGTCCTGATGACGAGTTGGTTCCTTTCGCTGCCAGAATCGAGGCCTCAAGCCCAGTGGCTCCTTAGCTTCATAGGCAGCCAGAGATGTTAGTTGTGTGTTTGTGTTTTCTGAAAAACTTGGCGAGAACTTTCTGGTTGCCTGCCAGGTAAATACAACCGTTTGATAGGAAACCGAGTGGCGCTCGAACTGGCCGATTCGGGAAGACGTGAAAGGAACGAAAGCCGTGAAGGGTCTTTGTGTCGGGATCCATATCTCATTTCAGGAGTCTTGCGATTCTATGTAGCAGATATATGCCTGCAAGTATGGTGTTCCCCAAAAGGGTTGAGCTGGACTTGGAATGCCTTGCTTTCCAGTTTGGTTTTTACGTGCTGACTGGCCTCATTCCCTGAGGGAAGACAATTTTAGTGGCAAACGGACGGTTGGGTGAGTTTTTTGGGCAACTCCACGAAAGTGATTTTATTTTTCAATGGATGCCAGCAGACACCAACAATCTTCTCTTCAAGCTTTTTTTTGGGGGAATTCGACAAGCCCATGAAAGCTTAGCACATTGACCTACTCGTGGCTTGCAACGGCCGTCCTTATAGCTGTATTTCTCAAAATTAAAGAGCTGCGGTTACGCGTGTGTTAGCCTTTGGTTCCATTTACCAAAGTGCCATTTTGGTACCACTTTTTCGAGCCACAGCCATAGGCCTGCGACCTCGCGCTGAAGTTCCCCCATGTCTCGGTGATGCCTTTCAAGCTCCACAGCTTCAGAGGCGCGCGAAAACGCACATCTTCCGGAGACAAATGGGGCGCCCCCTGGGCCCCAAAATTTCTGGTGCCTGACCCACGGGCAGAAGAAATGGGTTCATTCCAGGAAAAATGGATTGGGGCAGATCTTTGGAGTAAATTTACCCACTTTTAGGGGCAGAAGAAATGGGCCCATTGCGGGAAGAATGGAACTGGTGCAGAACTTTGGAATAAATTTCAGCCGGGCGATTGGATTTCTGCGGGTGCTTGGGTCGGGGGAGGATCGGGAGGTGTGTCCTTTTGACCGACCCTCCGAAGAATGGTTGGTGATGACCCTTGATTTCGGCTGTATTTGTAGTATGTTTTTCAGACTTAGGGTCTTCTTTTGGTTTCAGGGGGTGGGGTTGTGGATTGATTGAATGGCAAGATATGCGCTTTGTGGAAAATCGCTGCACTCCCGTCGGTTTCGCTGAAGTTCTCGCAACAAAACCGCTCCTTCTTTTTGCAGTGCTTTGAAACACAAACCACCCAGCTGGGATTTTGGTGTGCCACGAGAGAACCGAACCTTGAAAACTGAAACTGGCAACATGTTGGAGGATACCCTATTTGGAGCACGAGCCACTCACGAACGAGCGAACTGAACGAGCCGCGAGGGCCGAGGGTTTGCTTGGGTTCCAACATCAGCTTTTGTTTTTGGCAGAGTCCTGCACAGGGTCCAACCGGATGATACCAGATGTTGTTTGTGCCCCACGAATTGCAGGGCACCTCAGAAAGGGCTAGTTTGAGGTCCCATGGAAGACCCAATGATGCTTCGGATGGACATGATGGACCGCTCCAACATTGCAGCTCCTTTGCCTTTCAACAGAAAGGGCTTTCCCGCTGGTGCCACTCATTCCATGAGTCCCTGGGCTTTATGCTCTTTGGGCTTGGTCGGTTTTAGTGGTAAACACAGAGTCTGGACGTTTTGGCCCATGTACCCAGGAAAAACCATATCAGGACAAGAGTTTATGCAGAGCCGTGCGGGTCACCCGCGGATCTAGTCGGGGGATGCTGATCCGCTGAAATGTAAGTTAAGGCCTACTTTAAAGGCTTTGGAGTGTGGTAATTGGATCGCGCGAATGACCCAGCAACAGCTTGCAGGATGCTAGCAAAAAAGGGTTGTGGTCTTCAAGAAGGCGCAAGAGGCGCGACTTTTGTCCTGGCCGGTGTATATGAACCGAGAAGCGGCGCCAGGTCATGTGATGGCGCTGCCCACGCCTTTGGATGACATGGATAAGAAGGAGACTACGGCGGCGATGAATGTGAGTATGGGATAGTTCCAACCATACCCAGGGATTTCATTTTCCTGGAAAAAGCAGCAACCAATGGAGCCACCCTTTCAAAACCAGGAAGAGATTGGCTGGTTCTACCTACTATTAGGCAACTGGAATCCGCCGGGATGAATTGGTGTGACCGCCTTTTTAGTTCGCTACATATTGAGGGTGTATTTGGGGGCACTTTCGCCGGGCCATTCGAAAGTGCTACCAACTCCTTCATGTCATCCATGTCAAGCGAGCATCGTCCAAAACCTTAGAACCCGCGTTCTACTGCCTGGTGAGGATTATGGTCAAGATAAACGTCTGGAAGGCTCTGTTGGCAGACGCACAGAAGGCCCATGTCGCCTTTGCAGGGGAACCAAAAGGAGGTTGTTTAAACGGTACAGTGGTCAACCATGTGTTTAATCAGCTTGGCCCACCCTAGTTGCGAGCCAAAAGGTCAATTGGGACCCCCCTTCTCAAGTGCATGTGTCAACCAACTGTTCCGGAAAGGAAGCCTTAAATCTACCAGGTCTTTTGTTTCCCTTTCCGGGAGTCGGTTTGGTGGGAAACTCACAGTAAGCCTACTTGTTGTGGGATGTGAACAGATGTGAGCTGCTGTTCTGAACGAGTGTGAACAGGTTCGAGTATGATTAGCCTTTTTGCGGATGGTTCAAAGGCTCGTAACGACTGATACGGGTCCGAAAACAGCCTCTAATTTCGGCATTGGCATCCCGTATTTTGTTTGGTTGTAGTATGGAGAGAGTTCAGATTCGGGGTGTGACGAGCCGTTCCTAAAAGAAGATAAAACCACATGCGTAGAACATTGCGGTAGAAGCTTGCTTAAAACATACTTGGTCTTCCTTCAGCATCCATTTTTCGGACCTCGATGGGATTTCGGAGCGACGTGGTTGAATGACTGCAAACTGCACACGGATGCACCGCGAAAGGGTACAACCCTACATGACCTCGCCTTTTGTCCGTTTTGCCGTTTTGCCTTTCTAGGTTTCCTCCTTTTCCCTTTTGAACCAGCAACAACAACAATTGTGGTGGCCATACTCCTCGCCAGTTGAACATGCACCCAGGGAGTCCCATATCTACACGTTTTAGTTGTGAAAGGGAATTTGGCTATACGACTCTCCAAATGCCGCAAATATATAGCACTAGTATATCAGTACTAGTACGTACTACTTGTGGTAGTTGTAGTGGTAGTAGCAGCGGTAGTGGAAGTTGTACCAGTACTGGTGCCAGCACTAGTGCGATTAACACTACAACTACCACTACCATATACTGCTACTACTACAACGGCTACTACGACTACTAAGCTGCCTTGCGATTCAGGCCGCCGCCATTTGATTTCACCAGGATGACTACCTCCGGGAGATCTTCTTCTTTAACATGGCCGGGCGCTGAATAGGCCCTCCCAGGCCCTGCTTTTGGAGGGGGACGTGGGAAAACCCCTTTGAAAGAAGCCGAAAAACCGTGCCCTGGACTTCTGAAGCCTTTGGCTTAAAGCTTGGGTTGGCTTATTTCTTCTGGTTGACTCGGCACGCTGACAGAACTGGCAACATTATTTATTGTGTGAGTCAAGACCTCACCAGTTTGAGCCTTCTGTGGCCGCAGCAAAACTCAGTAGGCTGGACTATACCACTTGAGGTTAAATCGAAATGAGGAGTAGGGAGGAACGTGAAGGCTAACTAAGCCCAAATCAGGTGTGTGTGTATATATATATAGATATATATATATATATGTATATACTTGTTTTTTTCTCCGTAGTGTTCCTGCTCCCCCTGCATGCAAGAACTTCTCCATTGGCTGTGGTTCGCCCAATCATTTTGTATTTTTCGGGCACTATCCCACTGAAGGCAGTGTCTGAGTCTCTTCCAACACTAGGCAACTTTTTTGGTTGATAAAATATGACCCGAAATCACAAAACATGGTTTTCAGTGTACCCCTGTTTTGCGCCAAGGTTTTTCAGGAGATGCATGCAGCAAATGCTGCAAGGACACCCCTTTGAGTGCGCCGATGGGAAGCCAGGACAAGTACACCCCCGGTTGGGTATGGGATCCAGTTCATTGCAACACCCCTTGAACGCATTGCTTGATATGGTTTGTGTGTGTGTGTTTGTGTGTGCGTGTTTGCGTTTGTGTTGGTGTTGCGTTACTCGTTGTGTTAGTGTTTTGTGTTTGTGTGTGCGTTTGCGCTTGTGTGCGCAGGGTGCCTTGTTGTGGCTTAGTTGGCTTGAAGGGAGCCCGAGGAAGGTCCATTTGGAGTCCAAATCCCTTTGCCACAGTCTCCAATGGCGGTTGTTTACTCAGCTAGCTAAACATGTGAAGGCGACCCGCGTGGCCATTCTGAGAGAACTCGTAGCCAATCTTCGCCTAGCATCTGCCAGTGTCCTAGGACTGCTTGGCCGGAACAATGCAAGCACTTTCCGCGGATGGACACATCCAGCACCAGTTGGTAGGTGATTCTAGTACTCCATCTGCCTGGTCAAGGATATTGCGCATAGCAATGTAAAGGCCTAAACGATTGGAATGGGGCTGTGGGGTGTGAGTTAGCATGATGTACTTGCAAACCAAATGGAGTCATGATGTGTGTAATTGCTTAGCCCCTTGTAGTAGTTTCAATAAAGCAACAACCCTAAACATTGGGGCTTCTAGTTGCTGGTAACGTCACAGGTCGCCTGTGCACGGTTGGCAAATTTGCAGAAAACACTATTTGGCAGAGTCACTGAGTATGGCGCAGGGTGTAGGGGGGGGCTGTGGGAGGGGGGGGGGCTGGGGGACGGGAATGCTTGTGTTTATAGGATGGTTGCGTTCATGGGATGGTTGCGTTCATGACGGATTGTGGAACATGCACGGTTGGGGATCCCGTGTTGCGGAGACCACGGCTAAGAGTAGTTCGTCAAACCTGCGGCCTGCGGCCCGCTAGCTCTCCTTCGTATGGCTGGCAGTGGCAATTCAAAGCAACTTTGTGACCTTGGTCACCTTACTTCACAGTCACAGCATAGTTCTGCAAAAAAAAGCGGTGTTGCTCCACTTCGAGGATGCCGGTGAAGGCCCCTGGGCACGGAGTGTTTTTGGGAATTGCAAAAAGGTGTCGCAGGAGCGGGCGTGTCACTGTAAAAGTTCCGAACCCTGAGCAACCCACAGGTACGTCTTATTGTGAATCATTCCCGAGCGTAAAATGGGAACATTTCAGCATGTTGGTCGAATTGTGTTTGGGCTCGAGTTCCCCTTGTGCTCCTCGCATGGCACATGTTTCGCCACGCACATGATTTCATGCGACGTGAGATGGTGTGGTTTAAATTGGTCTAATTTGGTCTAAGCGCGCTGGTGCGCGAGTCGTTAATATGCAGCAATCGTTCGGTGTTGCTCTGCGTTATTCCGCGACGTTTTGTATGTTTCATGCAAGTTAAGATTTGGAAGCACGTGCCATACATGTGATTACATCTGCATACATGTGCGTATATGTGTGTATGACGCATGCCAAGATATGGAAATGCATCTAAATGCATCCGAACATATCTGAATGCATCCAATGCACTGGAATCCTTCTGCTCCGCCTCCTCCTGTGCCAGCTCCTGCACCAGCTCCGCCGGCTTCGTGGCCCCCTCAACGTTCACGAAGCAGGCCAGCTCGCCAGACCAGGCCTCCATCGGGCCAGTGGTATTGAAAACCAGGCAAGGAGAAGAGTGCGGAACTTGCAAGCCATTCTGGATTGAAAAAACATGAAAAACCTTGGAGCTGGTGTGGGCATGTGTGGGCAATGTTACCAGAGGTCACCAGCATGATCGGCGGAAACATGTGGAAATAAGTTGGTGCATGCCATCACAGGAGAGCGATTCACCAAAGACCGAAGTGACAAACCATTTTGTCCCGCTGTATCCTGAACGGTTGCCTGTGTTTGCAGCCATGGCTTCCAATAGTTCTGCGTGGTTGAAGAGTTTGAAGGACAGCGCATGGCAAATTTTCATGAGTGATGCTTCGAAATTTCCGAAAGCGCTTGACGCCCTTAAGAAAAGGCAGGTGGTCGGGCACTGGAGTCGGTCACAGCTGACCCGAAGCAGTTGGTGATCACGGTAAAGTGGCAGCAGGAGTGAGGTGTCATACAAGCAGCAATGGATTTAATTTCCCGCTGCCTAGTTGATGTGTGCCCTTGCGGGTTCAGCGTGAAGCCACAAGGTTGGCCACGCGTGGCAGGGCGCCAATGGCTCACAGTGAAGGCCATACGCTTGTTGCAGCTGCAGCAGGCCCAGGATGGGCCCGCCAAAGTTCACCGACCAGGCGGTCACTTGCACCGCATGACATGGACACTGCCTTGGAGAGCAGTTTGATGTTTCAACCATGCCAGTGGCTGGCGAGGGATCGTGGCAGCCTTAGTGGAGCCAGACAGCTCTTGACAGCTCCCATGCACCCACCCATACCCACCCTCAATGTATAGCATGATGTCACCAAGGTTTGTGAGATTTTTTCAGGTTGCGCATGGCAGCATATGGCTGCAGAAATCTGCAGAATGCTGCAGAGGGCTGGCCTGTCAATGTTTGAGAGAAGCAACAAGCATCAAGAAGCTATTTTGACCCATTTGCAGAAATGGACAGAAATTGCTAGAAGTTGCTTGAGCAGTGAAGCTTGCGTGGCTGGGCTAGTAAAGTTTGGCATTGTCTTCCTCCTGAAAGATAAGTACGCTATCAAAGTGGTGAAGAGCCCAGTGCTTCCTGGAAGAGGTCTGTTATGGAGCGCCTGTCTCAGCATCCTGGCAACTTCGACAAGGACCTTCGCGATCTCAGCTTGGCAGAAACAGCAGGGAGAGTTGTGCAGCTGGTTGATGTTGGTGTCATCGATTCTTTCCCAGCTTTAATGATGGAGAATGCAGGCATTGAATTGCACACCTGGCTTCAAAAACCTGCTTGGAACAGAGGCGTGGCCGTGGCTATGATTTTGCAATGCAGCTCCTACAAGGCTTACGGCATATGCACAGCCACAAGATCATCCATTGCGACCTGAGCTCCAAGAACGTGCTGCTGCGTCAGGTGGCCTCAAATATTGCGGGCAAGAACGCCTTGGAGCGGAGCAAGAGGGAAGAGGTACAAGAGCGCAGCTAGCGCCGGGTGGGGGATAAAGGTGTGAGACCCAACGGTGGAGCGGCCTTGCCCGACCTCCACGGTGCAAGTGTACGTAATCATTAAACGCCTATTCGTGTTTTTTGGGGGTTGCCCCTGCCCCACTGGCACAGCCGACAGCAATACGTTGCAGAGGCAGACCGGAAGATGCGAAACCTGCCACGTCTGCAGAGTCTGATGGGAACGCAGCGCATGGACAGAAGTTGGCAAAGCTTGAAAAATGTTTGCCGTAGGACAGAAAATCATGGGCAGAGCGCTGGATCGACGACTTTCAAATTAAGACTCTGCAGTGGAGCTATGATTGCAACAAGACGCAACAGAATAATGAATGAGTTCCTCTCATGTGTCAGGAAAGTCGCTCAGCCCAAATAGTTTTCCCAGAGGCCACGAAGACGGCTTTTGCAAACCCCGTTGGAAAATGGAGCGGCGCGTGTGTTTAGCGCACAGGCGACTAATGCGCTTCTGACCTAGTTCGGCCTTTGCGGCTTCTAGTTACCAGGAAAGCCGAGTCGTTTTACTAGTGTTGAAAGGGTGGGTTGGTTGATTCAACTGGAATCACTGGGAAACGTTTTTGGAGACGCTGGACGCTCTTTTGTGCGACCTTCTGCCTTTCGTCTTTCAGCAAATCACAGTTTCCAGGCTGTAACACATGTTTGCAGGGCGAGACCAACTCAACACCACTCTTTTCCAAAATAGGGTCCCAAAGCCGTATTTAGGGGCCGTATGATAATGCTATAAGCCCCTCACATTCATTGTCAAATGAGCTCCTAGGAACCCTTTCCCTTTGGTTTCTCTTGAATTGATTTAGCCGCTGTTTAGCCCAACCCAACCCGCAAGGACTCGGTTTAAAACGGATCCCCACATTTGTTCGTGTCACCTCAAACACACAAGCACATACACGCACACACACACACACACAAATGGGTGTGTCTTAAAATAGCGGGATGCCCCCCAAAACGGTTTCTTTTTCGTTTCCGAAACAAAACCAATCCCAACAAGAGGTAGCCTCAACAAAAAGACGCATGACGCATCTGTTGTGCCCGAGGCCGCCATGGAAAATGGCTATGGCTCCGCCCCGTCTAGAGCCATCACCCTCCAGGCGCGGAACATGCCAAGCTGGGTGCGGCTCCTTTTTCCAGCTGGTATTGTGCCCTTTTTGGTGTGGCTTTAAAGTGAAGCCGAAAGGACACCACCCATTTTCGAGGGGCCTCTACTTTGACACATCTAGTACAACGGGTTTGCTGGAGGATTTTGGCGGCGGCGAGGGTTACAACCGGGTCGTGGGAGCCTCGGTGGCTGCTGACAGTTTCAAGGTGTCGGACAAGGCGGCGGCAGACTTTGCATTGGAAGGCGGCGGCGGAGTGAGTCGCTAACATGAAGCTCATGCTGCTTGAGGGCGGCTTGTGGGGCGAGCAGGCGGAGCACACTCGAAAACGCACACGGTGCTTCGAGCAGTGCGAGAACGGCTTGTGGGGTGCAAGAAGCGTGGTCCAGATGGTTTCTGTTTGTGAGGGACCCTTTGGAGGTGATTTCGGAGATTTTATGCTAGAGGAGAACAAAAGGAATCCTACCGTTTTTGGGATTTTCATATTCTGGGGCAATCCCACATGAGTAACTGTCAATAGTGCTAGTGGATGTTAAGTGGTGCGTTGTCGGCTTTGTGAGGACTAAAAGGGGGAACCACCCGAGTTTCGCAGAAAACCGACCGATTTTCTCGCGTTGCTTTGGGGAAACAAGTCATCTTGTCTGTGGCCCATATTATGGGTTTGGCTTCAAATGGGCGAGCCTCTCAACATAAGTGGCTTCTTATTCAGTTCCCTTCAAGACCACCCACAACCTGCCAATTCCAACAACAGCAACAAGTGGAATGTTTTTTTGCTAGTACCGTGTTTGGGATTGGTGGCGGGGGGAAATATGGTGAAAGGCGTCACCTTGCGACAAGGACCAAGCCGGAGTAATCCGTTACCATCATGGCAGGTAAACAGGGGAACCCATCTTTTAAAACCCAAAGGTAAGAAACCCTACTTGCCTAATGGGGATCCCAGGATAAATAAACAAATTCCTGGTTGATTAATCGGGGGGTTCCCCTGTTTGGTTGGGGTCATCACTTTTGGAGGGAACACGCCCCTATTGCTAAAACCGTTTTGTTAATCCGGGGTGTCCGGGTCAACCATCCATTTCGATTTTCGCGGCGGGCTCCGACTCCTGCTTTGGACACGCCCACAATAAGAGTCGCCAAAGTGTATGACTTGGCGGAACAGAGATGGGTGCTAAGATTGGGGATCCCTTGGTCTACTACTGCAAATATAGTTTGTTTTTCCAGGGGGCGTGTTTGCGCAGGCGGGTTTCCGTAAAACCAACGGTTGGGCAAGTAGAACTCCTTGATGCACTTTGGGTAAATGGGTTTATCATTTCCGAAGCCGTTTTTTGGGGTGGAATCCAGGGTTGCATATTTGCTGAAGAAGTGTTCATCTAACTTGGGTCCTTGCCATTATGTTAGTGGGGGTTGAGCCCTATATGGGCTGAGGCCATTTGAGAAAGAGGCTAAACTCTCTCATCTAGACATGTGTCTTCGGTGATTTGGTGAAACCCCAAAGGCAAGTGTCAGACATATTGAGAACGATATAGGGAAACCCCAAAAAACGATAACTTCCTACTCGAAATCGCCCAACGTAGTCTTCGGTTTTGCCGCACGCTCATTTGTTGTTGCCTCCGTTAATTAGCGGGAGAGTAAAGGGAAACCAAGAGGACGCCAACTTGTTCTAGGGGTTCAACCTTAGGGTGGCCTTTTGTTGCTGCCTCCGTAACTTAGCGGGAGAGTAGAGGGAAACCAGAGGACGCCAACTTGTTCTAGGGGTTGAAATGTAGGGTGAGGCTTTTTGTTACTGCCTCCGTTATTTAGCGGGAGAGTAAAGGGAAACCAAAGAGGAAGCCAACTTGTTCTAAGGACCCATTTTCAAAACCCTCATGAGGGTCACCCTGCCACTAACATGGAAGTGCATAGCGCCCCTTTCCAAAAACGAAAGCAGTCTTCCGAGGGGGCTTGTGCATCCATGTTTGTGGTTGGACTTGTATTTTGTGATTGTTTGAAACCACCCAAAAAAGGGTACCGATTCCCAAAACACGTGCGCACACACACACACAGGGTCGTGGGAGTTGAACTGCAGCGAATCTGCAGAACAGCCCCTCAAACTATACCTTTGAAACTTGAATGAGCATTTGTTATGCGGTCCAGGCATTTCCTGGTCCCTCAAAGTGATTGCGGTTTGGGGTTCTGAAAAGTAGTGAAAAGGGTTCCAGTTGAGCCACCACGAGGCGTGTGACTTTAGGGGACCGCAAAATGGCTTCGGTTTTCCTTTTGGTTTCTCTTCAAAACAGAACCCAACAAGGGGTTTGCCCTTCGCCTTGAGCGTCATTCGGCAGCGCCGTGAGTCACCTTGGATGTTCAACTTGGCAAGTAATTAGCTAACAGGGTTGCAAGCGGACCAGGGATTGGTTGAGGGATTGGTTGGCCAACTTGCAACCGAGTTTCCAAGTTAGGTTGCCTGTTCGCTTGCGTGATTCCATTTCATTTGCATAACGAAGGAGTGTCCCCCCTTCCGCAGCAGCCCCCCTCCCCCCGGAAAAAAAAAAAGTTGCCTGGACTCCTTCATTTCTTGGTGGCTCCCAGCCATCCCCTTGGCCTTTTAGCTTTTTAGTCTTTAGTGGTAGTTTCCGTATTTAACCCACTAAAAGTGAAAGCCACTTTTAGCCGGGGAAACAAATGGGTACCAACTTATTCTACCCACTCCACAGCAGGACCTAGCCAAAAGTGTAGTTTCCGTATTTGACCCCAAGTCACTAGAAGTGAAATTCACTATTCGCGGGGGATCTAAAAACAGATTTGGATGAGGCCTCCTTCAAGCCCAAGCAGCCGGAGACCTTGGCCATGCTGGGCCAGCCCTCCACGGGCTCGGGGCCAGGCTCGCTGCCACCCGAAAGGGGCGGGGCGGGAGGGGGTGGGCGGGGCTCTTGTGCTGAACCGTTGGCAGACCATCTCATCAGCTTCTCCGGTGTTTTTTTTTGGAATCTATCACTGGAAATATATGTGATTATTTCTTGTGTTTTTTTTCCGGGAGACGTAGTCGGAAAAGGAAGTGCCCTGGAGGGAAATGGGATCACCTGCCAGCCCATTTGTTTCCCCAACAGGGTGGTCGCGCGGCCGCTGTTTCGCCAGCTGCCCAAAGCCGAGTGATCCGGAACTCCTAGGTACAGGCCCGGAAGGGTGCCAGGCTTGGGGATGCCACCGGATTTTTGTTTTTTGTCCCATGGTGACTTCCTGTTTTTGGGCATACCCTTGCAGCAGTGGGCATTTAGAGGTTACAGTGGACCTGTTTTTCTTTGGTTTAGCCACCATTGCGGGGTTTGGCCGTGGCATTCCCAAAAACTTCATCCACGGAGGGATGCCAACAGTGCAACCCCCTTTCGGGGGCGGGTTTTTGGTTTAAATGTAGACTCGTCGGGACTTCCCAACCCCCCAGCTCCTACGGTGGATGGACAAACTCCTGCACCACTTGGAAACCATATGGGAAACCATGGTTGGTTGGTTACAGGGAAACCATCCTTTTAGGGTCTAGCTGGTGCGAAATGGATTTCCTCCATCCACAGTCGGAGCTGGGAGGTATGTCCCAGGGTTGGGGTTAGAAAACATCCAAGGCAGACTGAAACCCATTTAAAGACCAAAACACGGCCCCCCCTTGAAGGGGGGCTACCTCCCTCAGCTGCTCTGCCAGGCGGTGACAAGGCCAAGAGTCAGGTGGCCATCAAGTTCAAAGGCGTCAACGGCCTGGAGCTCTTCGACCTCACCTTGAGGCCACCAGCGCGCGACGCGTGCGACGAGCCGACGGCTGGCGCCAGGGAAACCTCGGTGGTAAACCGAAGCTTCGATCCATGTGGGGCCCTCTTACCTTTGAAGGTTGGTTCCATTTGGTATTCTTCCAAAAGGGCAGTTCTAGGGGACACTTCCCCATTCTTTCCAGGGATCCTTCTTGTCAGAAAACCATCAGAATTTCAGGGGAAACAGCGATCGGTGTTTGAGAAAAGAACAATGGTTGAAAATAATGGTTGGAATCAACCTCTGGATCAGTGGTAGGAAACCGAAACTTCAATCCATGAGAAAACTCTCGCCTCTGAAGGTTGGTTCCATTTGGTATTAGTTTATTGGTATTCCGTACGGTATGCCCCTTCCATTTATGTTGAACTTATGGGTGTAAAAGGGTAAGTGGGATTTCTGGGCATGCAAAGTGTTGCTCCGGAGATATGTGTGTGTGTGAATGCTGAAATTTGTCCAATCTCCGCCATGGACAACCAGGTATCTTATCAAATGCCAGGTGTCCCTTTGAATTCTCAACGATCCGGAAACACTGCGTTTTCCAAACAAACATCGTGTGTTTTTCAGGTATGACATGTTCATCGGTTTTGGTGGCTCTTGGTATAATATACATGTATTATACATTTGTACTATATATATATATACATGCGTATGTGTTTGCCAATCACCATAGAGGACCTGCCTATGTTATGCGGGTGTCCCTTTCCACCAGCTGAAAGCACTTCTCGATTGGCAGGACGCCGCCACCGCCCAAAGCTGCGGCGGAGAGTCCGGGGCCAAACCTTTGTTTGGGTTGGGACGGAGCCGGTGGCTTCCGACAAAGACCTGAGGTGCCAAACCCGGTGCTAGGCATTTATTTCACCACAAGGACATGTCACTCATGTTTTGGGGAAGCATTTTTTGTTGTTGGGTGTGTGTGTGTGTGTTGATCAGTGAAACCAAGCACTGTGTTTCCAGGGGTTTCGCCACTATAGGCAACCGTTTGGTACTTTTACCTCTAGCTTTGACAGTTATATTTTTCATTTTTTCTGGTGATCCATGGTACCAGGTTACCATACCCAATGGTCACCTACTATGGCAATCGAAAGCATGAGGCAAGGATGTGATCCATCTCCAGGACCCTTAACCGACCCTGTTTGTGCTTTGACCTTTTCGTAACCCCCACCCCAAGTGGACGGAAGGAAGCGGGAAGCCACGACCTTGGAAGCCCAGGCAGCCATCTTTGCCCATGTTGAAGCATGGTGTCCCCCTGCTTTGGCGGCACTGTGCACTGTGAGCCTGGAAAGATGGGGTGTCCAAGATTTGAGCCGTCATCAAATCCGATTTGAATACATGAAGGCAAGGTCGGGTAGATTTGGGTAGACCATTTTAAACCCGGCTTTGGATTGTAACTCTATTGGAGTCGATCCTTTGGATGGATGGTATCGGAATGAACACCGAACAGCAATTGTGTGTTGGTGCCGGTTTTACATCACACCTGTCTAAACCCTGGTGATATTTGGCCTTTGGTTTTCCTTGAAAGTGTCAACGGCAGGAACGCGGATGTCGCATGCCACATGCCCTTTTGGGTAAGTAAGTGCCTATTTTGACTTCGGCTCATGATTACCAAACTCTCTTCTGAACGCTGGATTGTCCCGCTCCCACTGTGGAGAGACAACATTGCCGCCGCCGCCCCCCCCCCCCCCCCGCCCCCAAATCCCAGAGATCCAAACCCTTCCATCAGAACCAAAGGGCTTTGATCAGAAGTTGGGAATTGCCTGGAGTCGCCTTCCGACCCTTAAAACCAGCGGTGATGTTTGCTGAATTTCGGGCATGTGACTCGATTTGCAAGGGTCATGGAGACACCCGGGAAATGGTTTGCCTTTGATTTGCTTTCCACTGATTCTAAGCAGTTCGGGGTCTTCTAATCCAAAGATCCAGGAACACCTTGTATTTGCGGTTTTTGGGCAGGTGCAATCAACAACACCCCTTTCACGGACCCAAACACCGCAAATAAGTGGGCAAGACACCCTCCGAGGAGAGGGTGAGGCTTGAACCTGGTGCCTCCCAAGGCAAGCCACAATCAAATTCCAGCTCCATTGGGTGGTACTGCAGGACCCGCACAGATCCCCAAAATAGGATATTGTTCAAGATTGTGGGTGCAGGTACCAGGTTTTGATTGAGTGAGAGAGTGACCGCGCGCCGGCCCAGCCAACAATTCTAGCAGCTGGGACCTGTCGAACATCCTGAACTGGAGCTGCTGGCATGATTATCGGTTTGCGACTCGATTTCCCTCATAGGGCTGTGGGTCAACACCAATCATACGATTTTGGGGTCGATGCACCACCCATTTTAGTCTATTTCAGTGGGGGTTGAAATGTTTGCTGGGGGTACGATTTGGATTTTGACCCATGGCCATAGATTTTCTGGGTTGCAAAGCGGATACATATGCGCCTTGTTGAATTTCACGTGTACCAGCTGATTTGGAGGGTCCCCACTTGTGAATCGGGACACAATTGGACGTATATTTTTGGGAGCCCTGAGGTGCGATTGGTGAGAACTGAGTCCGCAAATCTTTCAAGCTCATTCGACCGCATTCTTCTGACAATTTTTGACTGTGTGGCACAGCCAGAATTTGAGAGCCGTGCCCGCAGGATGGTTTGTTTGGTGGAGGGAGTGCAATGTCGTGCCAGCGTTTGGGCTGTTCAACGGCCGGCAATCCTTCATCCTTGCTTTGGGTTAGGTAGTGGGTGCCCTGTGTAGTAATTTCCCTACAACTAGCTTGTTCAAAACCCTCATCCCCAAGCGAATTTCGGATTCCGCGGTTTACGGATTAGATTATGTGGCTTGCGGATGGCGGATTCTGCGTTGCAGTATTTTCCATGCTCCAACAGATTGCGATTAGGCCCCTGGAATGTCAAACAAGCTAGCTACAAGGATTTTGGATAAGGATTGGCCAACCCTCCATTTTGAACAGCCCAGAGTATCACTTGGTATACCTCGCTGTAGCCGCCATTTCCGGGTCCCGGAAAGCCCTTCATGGAATGTGTTGAAGCATCATCCCGAAACAAAACGTTAAAAAAAAACCTGCTTGTTGGACAGCACTTGGGATTTGGACATGATAAAATGACAGCACTCGTTGGTGTACTGGAGGTGGGTCTTTCCGGAATTCTTGGATCAGCGAGCCAGGTTCCCAAAGGTGGGCGTCTTTGGCATCGCGCTCATCGGCGTCATCTTTTGGAACATCCGGAAGGCATCGCATCTCATCCGATCAGATCCGACATGTGGATGCATCACTTGCCTCAGGTTGCTTCGTTCCCAGTGCTTCCAGGCATTTCGCAACTTTAGTAGGGAACCAGAGGAAACCAGCATGTAAAACCCTGAGGTACACATACCGAAGGGTTACCCACTATGGTGGCAACTGGAAGCACTAGGCTTGACAGGGAGATGGGCCAGACAGGTGATGGTTAAGCCCTTGGCTCAGCGGACCCAGCCTCAAAACTACCTTTGGTAATTCGATTTATTTTACCTGCACCCTCCAACTTCCCAGAAACATGGGACATCACCCCACTAGTTTGGGGCAATATCCCCCGTGTTTAAGGGTGTTTGAGGGTACCTGTAGTAGGCAACCAAGGGAACCCTTCAAGAACGAAACTGAGCATGGGAAGGGTAACCTACTATTTCTTTTTGCCTGGGATCCAATGGGTTGGCATCACCCTAAGATTGCCCAGTGATGTTCCATGTTTTGTGAGCGGGTCCAGGTGGCCCAGTTCGAATGCATCGGGAAGCACCAAGGGGACTTCTTTGGGTGAGTCATTGTGCAGTTAAGCACGCACTTTTTAGGCACATGTGTTTTCATGCCCAGCTTGGACTAGCTGTGTTTATGTGAGCAATGGGCAAAACGATGCAGCACTTCGCAATGTGTATTGATTGGTTCGTCATGAGTTTGAGAATGAACCGTCCAAGCTTGTGCGAGAACCCAATTGGGTGTTTCTCCCAATGGCTGAGTTCCTTTACCAACCAAGTAGGGGTCCATCATTTTAAGGGACTCCCAAATGGTGGTTGGTCATGTCAAGTGCCGCACAGTCGGCAAAAGGGCGAAAGCACCATCCTGCTGTGGGGGTCTACACACCCGGGCTGGGCACAAAATACAGGAACACCATTGTGTGCTGAATGACAACCAATTGTTTTATTCCCCACCCGACAGGAAGGGGTTGTTAGATTTTATGTTGGAATCCGCGTTTGCGATGATTCTACACCACGCCCCCACCCAGTATCCCGCCAAGTATCCGGCTCGCCAGTGGATCCCGCCGAGTATCCCGCCAGAGCTGCTCGCCAGTGGATCCCGCTGAGTATCCGGCTGGCCAGTGGATCCCGCCGAGTATCCCGCCAGAGCAGCTGGCCAGTGGATCCCGCCGAGTATCCCGCCAGAGCGGCTCGCCATGGATCCCGCTGAGTACCTCGCCAGAGCAGCTTGCCAGTGGATCCCGCCGAGTATCCGGCTTGCCAGTGGATCCCGCCGAGTATCCCGCCAGAGCAGCTGGCCAGTGGATCCCGACCAGAGCAGCCCGCCAGTGCATCCCGCCGAGTATCCCGCTGAGTATCCAGAGTAGCTCGCCAGTGGATCTCGCCGAGTATCCCGCCAGGGCTCGCAGCCCGCCAGTGGATCCCGCCGAGCATCCCGCTGATTATCGCAGAGTAGCTCGCCAGTGGATCCCGCCAAGTATCCCGCTGAGTATCCCTTGCTGGTGGATCCTGCCGAGTATCCGGCCAGTATCGAGCCGGAACGGCTCGCCAGTATTCGCCAGTGGATCCTGCCAGTATCCCGCCAAAGCAGCTCGCCAGTCTGGTTTTGCTTAATGCTCCTGCCCGGCGCACAGTTGGGTTTACATTTCATGTTGGCGCCTTCGTGTTTTGAGTGTGCCCTGAGGCTCGGAAAGGGTGATGCTTTTGTGTTGCTTTGGGTTGTGAATAAGAAACTTTGTTTAATCCCCCGTCGGGTTTCATTTTGGAAGGGGCTTGGCTTTTGTTAACGGAACCGATGTTTGAGTTCTCGAGATCGGCTCGCAGACAAGTGGAGTTTGACACACAGACAGGTGCATAAGGCTCTCAATGCAAAGCTTGTTGGGCAGTCATAGGCCCCAAGCCGCTCGAAAGCCATGCTTGAATTCACACAACCGTGTTCACGGTGGTAAGCTCGTGAGTGTTGAGGGTGGGGATTGCTCGAAGCGAAGTATTTTTGGCCTTCGTTGTTGCTTTTTGTCCACCTCTATTCAATACCCAGCTCTTGGAGATCACGAGAAAGAGGAACTAACCTGAAAGTAAGTACTGGTCATAGACATGTCAATAAGGGGAATTGCAGGCAACCATTGCCAATGTTCCCATGAACTTTAATTGCCCAACCAAGGACCCCCCATTTTCCAGCATACTAGGTCCTTGTATCCTATCTCCTGTTGTTTTGTTATAGAGGTGTCCCTATAATATATACTGGGGTCATGGCCCTGTACTGTTTGGGTATACCTTGTGTCTTATATGGCCATGGGTCAAACTCCCGCACCCCCAGTGAACATCCCAATCCCCACTAAACTAGATTCTGAAATGGGTGGTACACCTACCCCAAAATGGGATCCCATTGGTTTTGACAACCACAGCCATACAAGGACCAGACTGCTGAACCGGAGTCGCCCCCTTGCTGGTGCCATCCAAACCGGAGGTCTCCAATCAGAACACCGGGGGGATGGAAGCCGATGACTTCGACGCCTGAGCCATAGCCTGGGGATTGGGCAAATCTGATGTGAGCCGCTGACCAAGGTATGCATAACAAACCGGGTGAAAACGAGTCTGCGAATTTGGAGACGAGGGCGGGGTTTAGTTCGGTCGAGTGCAGTTTTGGGACACAGGGCTCATTTGAAGGGCCATTTGGAGGGGGCACCGTTACTTCCCCACACACACACACACACACACACATGTGGCACGGCATGCGCTTGATGCCTTTCATGTTGCTGCCGTAGAGAAACTGGGTTAGGTCCTTTTGGATGTACTTGATGTGTTTTGTATCTTTATTTTGCGAGGAATGAGAGTTGGTTTGTGCCCAGAGACAATCCCACCAAGTCCGTGTTGCGGGTGACGTAGCGCCCTAGTTACACGTCACATGCTAAGCCACCGGCTCCGAAGGCTACATTTTCGCCTGTAGAGTTTCCTGTCGCTTCCGCCCCAAACCGGGGTGCCCGAAAAAAAGGCGGCATACATACAGGCATGCACAAAGTTGTTTATTTCGGGGCGTCGGCCCTGCGTTTTGTGTTGGAACGCTTGAACGCCTAGAGTGAGTTCCTTTTTTCATCCCAAACCGATCACGTAAACTTGGACTCGACATGTGCGTGTGACGAAATTTGGGGCCTTTTGTTCACGTTTGCCAAACCACAAGAACTGAAGCTTTCCCGGGGGCGCTGGGCCTTTGCTGCCAACTCGAACCTGCAAAACTGTCGAGAAGGGAAGCCAACATGAAGCAATTTTGGCAGTCATACCTTGAGAATCCATGGCAAAGCAAGCGGGCACCATACAAAGACGAAAATGCCTCATGTTCCCCCTGGCTCAAGCATAAGCTTGAATCTAGTCAAAGGCAGTGGACACAGTCCGTTGGCAATGGTCATGGCGACAGCCCAGCAGGTTCAGTGCAAGGAGAATCAAAGGTGCAAGTCCCGCACTGATTCCACAGAGTGCAGTCTGCTGAAGAGACGCTCGCAATTTCGGAGTAGTTCAAGTCCTCTAAGTGTGCACTGTGAACATTCTGAGTTTGACAGCACCAGCTACGTGAATCTGTTGGCCATAGACTGCCCTGACCCCGACAGCCAGAGGCACTTTCACGACTTTCACCAGCCAACTTGCCAAACGTCACTGCTCTTGCAGTGAAGCCTCCAAGTCTTGAGTCTTGAGATGCCAAGTTGCGGTCTCTGATGAGGTAGTTGACACTCCGTTGTACAGAGTTTCCGAGCTTGATAGGCGAGGTTGATTCTAAATCTGCAGCATGGCCAATGTGCTCATGCCCATGTCTCACCTCCAGAGCGAGGTGTTGTTGGGCTGCCGTTTTTCTGTGCCGACACGTTCCACGCTCTGAAGCGCTCGAAGCGGTCAGCTTTACGGAAGACATTGCCTGTGCGCCAAACAAAAACACCACATCATGCTCCTCTTGATTTGTGGAAGCCTTCTTGGGGCCTAACTCCCCAAAAACCACCCACAAAATCGGGGTGTCGCCCCAGTAGTGGTGCTGGTGCTGGTTCTTTTCGGGCCCAACACGGCGTGTTCGCTCCCAAACATCGGAGCCCCTGAGGAAGAGCTGTTCAAGGAGAAGCTCCGGGAGCGAAGGGCCAAGCGCGGAGCCCCAAACAAAAATCCCCGGAGCCCGGCGCGGGCGGTGAGCCGAGGACACGTCCAGTCGGTTTTGGCCTATGTGTAGGAAGCCTACACCCAGTGGTGCTCATGAAGGTTTTCTTGTGGGAACTGGCTCTCCCGGAAAAAACAAATGAGAAAAAAGGAGAAAAAAACGCACTCCCCAAGAAACGCGACTCCTTTTTCACATGGAAATCCACGGGTCTGGGATAACATGGTTGGTTTCCTGTCCCTCAACCAACCAAAAAGGGGTGCCAACCTCCAAAAGGGGTAGTTTCTCAAACTGGATTTCGGAGAAGCCCCCTTTGAGTTGAATCAAAGGAGACCAAGGAATAGGGGCTCCTCCAAGATGTGTGTGTGTGTGTGTGTGATACACTTCGCCTAGAGTCAGTATGTCTTAGGATCTGAACATGTGTAGCCGTGTAGCCCATATGTGGGCAAAGTGATTTGTATGACCTCCATGGCCCAGCGACCCAGCTTCAGTTGGCTGCAAACCACACCAGAGTGGATCCAT